TGTCTGAATTTCAGCTATTAGACAGACCCCTGAATAAACACAATGTAATTACTTTCACCATGAAAGGGATCCAAGATGAACAGGAACTATACCTGAAGACAGCACATAAAACCAGTAACTTTTTATGAAATCTTTATGAACACAAACGCACACAGAGAAACGTGGTTTAAAGCATAATGTAAAACATCACACATGACATAGTCTGTAGGTGATCTCTGTTGTGATAATAACACAATATCATCTGCATATAGCATTAAACTGACATACAGCTTCTCCTCTTTCTGCCACTCCCTGCCTGGCGGTCAGGTGGATACTTCAGAAACGTTCCTAACTCTTTCTTGAAATTTGCTTCGGATGCATTCCAATCTCATTCCCATGAGATAGGACACATTCTGAAATTTTATATTTAAATACATGAATAATTTTATATGGAAGATATATTGTCTTAAATGATTCAAGTATTTGTTTAATCAATCACTTGAAATGTTCATTTCACTGATGTAACTTGCCATGTGAACATATGAACAGCATCAATACAAAATGTGACGAAAAATATAAACAATTTATATTTTCAACTAAACAACTAAAGGAATGGAAGTTTTCTTAAACATTTTCAAAGAAAATCCTCAATTGCAAGTTGATTATTCAATTAGACTATGAATTAGGATGAATTAGATGATGCTTTACTGTCATATATTATTTGCTATGGTCATGATGAAAATGCTGCATTTGGTAATTAAATTGCCAGAGATGATTGAATACAACCTTGTATTCTTAAAAGAAAAATTGCCATTTTGCCCATCAACATTCATTCTTGACATCAAATTGTTTGACATTGTCCTGCAAAACAATGGATGATTGTTCTTATTCTGTAAGATTTAGTTTTCTTTAGAGATTATTTCAAATTAAATAGGAGTTGTACTGATGTAGCAATTTTGCTAACAGGAGTCATAAATTGTAACAAAAGCCATTTTACATTAAATGATAAGAAAACAAAATGGGTGGTGGTTCACAGGTCAAAGAACAAGTCTATGGGAGGTCTTCCAACACCATTTATTCCCAAACACAAGGAAGTATGGATCATGGAGTTCTGAAAACAATAATGAGCTCTCATAAGTATACAATATATTCCCTATTATCTACTCTGTCTCTCTTTGTCATTTGTACACTCATAAAACTCAGATAAATAACTTCTTCATAATTCAGAAATGTTTACACTTAATCTCTTGTAGGAACGCTTAGAAAATCTCTCATATAATGAATTATGTGTGCCTATAATATCTGCGACGTCATAACTATGCTTCTCTGAATCATGAACAATAAAATAATGAGATTAAACTCTACACTGCCAGAAATAATCTATCATACCCTGAATAATAAGACACTGAATAACAACTCCAATCTACACTAAAAAAAACATAAATGTATTCGTAAACAAACATCGCTGGCACACGCAAATTCTTGGAAACAGTGTATCTCTGACTCTCAATTCCAAGAAATGGAAGTCCTACTCTATTTGACCAAAGGTGACAGGTGGCCAGAACATATTGAAATGTAGGTCATACACTGAAAATAACTCTGATTTAAAACACTACAAATATACACCTTCTCTCTAATATACTCGATAGATGATCTTGACAAGGGAACATGTACATAAAATGCTGATATCTAACAATACCTTACTCTAAATAATGAACTCTTCCAAATCGCAGCATGTTTCACTGCACAGACATTTAAATGCAAAATAATGAAAAACCTACACTTTGACAATAATAAAGAAACATCATATTCAAATTCTACAGCTGACCAAATACCTGAAGAGTGTGTCTCCCAGCAATAAACATCTATATATCTCTATAAATTTATGACTTCTGTCCTCTCGCGCTTTCTCGCATCCAGCTCTTTTACGGCGAAAAACAATATGGCCAAGCAAGGGGTGCTCATTAAACTAAACATCTCCGGAGAAATCATTGTCAAATTTTTCTCTTACATGATCAACCTTTGTGGTGGATATGCTGGAAACAAGTGAAATGTTAAAAACTTGTTACCTTAGCATTGCTCCTTTTATGTGATCCACAAAATTGATGCCACCCAGTTTTCGAAGATGAGATTTCTGCAAATTCCATTAAAATTATATCTTATTTCATAATTAAATGTTCCTTACTAAATTACTTCTTTTGTATGCAACATTTTAACCTTTAAGAGACATGAATCATCACATCCCTTCCAAACAAGTGTAAGAATGAAAGTCTGTGAGTGCAGTTTTGTTAATTGTCCCATCAAAGAATCATTAGTGAAGTTACACATTTTGTAAATAAATAAAAGTTCAAATAAATTATATGCAATTTCATCCTTATCAAAGACTTGCACAAGACATTTTGATGTGAATTTTCGTTGCATGATCTGAGAAAGATTTCCTTTCGCCATTCTCCACCCTCCCCCAAATAATATGCATATGTTGACAGGGTTCAGAGCGTGCTCAATGCATAATTTACTTATTCAAACGAACAAATGTTCATAATAATGTGATGCAATATATAATGTTGATAAATTCTATTCGATTTTGTATAGCTGCCCTTAGGGACCGTTTCATAATGTATGGCTTGGGGGTGATGATGATTTTATGAATTACCCTCCCTCCCCGTGAAAGTGTATGTAACGAAATAGGTGACGCCCCACCCTGCATGTCATGTACGATATCTATGACGACCTCTCCTCTTCCCATAATTTCTAAGCATCATATTAAACATAGTGCGGTACATAAATGCTGACCCCCTTAGCTCCCCTGAACAAAATGGGTGACACCCCCACCCCACGACCCCCAACATTCATCACCCCCACCCGCAGCCATATAATTATGAATGGTCCCTTTATATTGATGTACTTCATTGATTATTTGAAAATGTATATTTCCAAAATTCAAATCAGGTGATGGGTACGAAAGGAAAAATCTTATTCGAGTATATAATAAAATGCCAAATATATGCATGCAAATATATTGAAAAATAACAAAACAAGTTCATGGAATGCACGGGCTTCCATCAATTTTGAGAAACATGTACGTGATATACCGGTACCCTTGTGAGATAAAACATGAGCCCTAATTCGAGTTTCTTGCTACATTGACCTGCTAGATTTCAACAACATTCCTACGCTTTCATTATACATGAAGGACATACTTACCAAATAAACACCAGCATGCCGTGAAGATGTTGAAAATAGAACGATATTGCGTTGAACTTCGCCAAAGTAAACTGACAACGATCAGCTGCCTTTGCGCTAGCTGATAATTGTGCGCATGTCCCGATATGGCCAAACGAGGCGATCTGGCATGTGTTTGAAAGCAAATTGTCGGGAATTATACAATTTTGACAGTTTTGTGGGAAAATATCAAATGTAATGCAATTGGATAACTGATGACTTTATACCTAAAATCATTGATGTCTTCATTTTCAATTATGATTTACGTAATATTTCCGTCCGTTGATCGATGCACAATCAAACAATATATAAGATTATATGTGTCACTAGCTCGATCTTGATCTTTATGAAATTAATGTTCCGAAATGATAGTTGCTAAGTTGGAAACCTATTACCAATATGAATTATGTATCAAATTTACCAAGGAAACAATTAGTTGACATTTTGTTGGTTCCTTACGTTGAAACAACGTTGACAACTAAACAAATCTCGACTAACTTTCTTTGGTCGCATGATAAACGTTGAATCAACGTTTATGAAAGGTTGATCAACCAAACAACCAAAATTCAACGTTGATTCAACGTTGTTTCAACGTTGTGTGCCCGCTGGGTTTTACACTCATCGTATCGGTACAAGAGCAAACTCGAAACGAACACCACGCACGTCTATTCAACAGAACGACAGCATGAAAAGTGAGGTACGAGGTAGACGGCGAGAGTTACCTGCTCTTGGCTGTAGGGGGTCCGGTGGGGCCCTGTAGGGGTGGTCTCACAAGACAAAAACGAGTTTTTTGTTTTGTAAAAAATATATAGTTACAACTGTCGTAGGATTTAAAATGGACATTTAAATGCATATATGTACCCCAAGGAGGACTTCTTCTGAAAAAGAATGACAAATAATTTCAAACCATATTGTTGGTAAACGATTCGTAAAGCCTTATACAGCTAATTTAGTAACACAGCCTAAATTAGAAAAGGATATAGTGCCGTATAGGGGACCCAGGCGCTCTCACAACCGTCCACTCGGGCGAAGAAGGAGAGAGTAAGGAGCATGGTGACAGCTGGCGCCGTTTCCCGCCAAAACCTTGGGAAGGGAGATAACACCTGGTGAGTGATTTTACGTCTGCTTTTTTTAAGGGAGCTTCAAAAGGGGATTCAAGTGTTCCACTAGCATTTGGAAGGAAAGGGAGACAAGCAATAAGCATGAGTCAGGATAAGGAAAAATTGTAGAAATAAAGGCTGTGAACCGTTGGACCCCAGTAATAACCCATTTACAGCCCTGACAGACATCGGCTGCAGGAGGCCTATTGTAACATGGAATCCCCACACTGACAGGGAGTTCAACCTTGATAACTTGCCACAGTACACAGCTTACTTGTACAATTGTTTTAATTAGGTCTAAAAAATCTAACTAAACAAGCATAATTTCATGGAAGTTCTACATTCCTGCAGGATCACAGCTATGGCATGAAGAATATACCCTTCGTCAACCAGTAGAGAATCGAATGAGTCTTCTACTGGATACAAGAACACTTTCACCACTTGGCTCCCATCCTCCCCTCAAGAAAGCCATACGGTTACATGTTACAGATGTGGTACTGACCAGACCCTAGATTTTCGAAGCTCTCTTAGCGCTAAAATAGTCGTAAGTGCCATTCATAAACATTAACTTACGACTGTCTTAGCGCTAAGAAAGCTTCAAAGATCTAGGCCCTGCACATTAATCTGAAGGAGGATTTTTTCTGTGAAAATACAGCTGATTTCAATAACTAGAAAAAAGACGACTTGGACCCAACTTACCTGGCAGGTGAGGTTGAAGTAGCCATTGACAGCAATGTCTGAAAGTGTCGCTGCTGCGTCCACCACAGGTGCATCATGGGAGCTGGACCAGTCAAACAGTTGCTTTACCTGACCAAAAAAACAACACAATTCTCCATCATTCTTTTACAGGCATTTCGTAGACGTTGAGAGATGATGATCTGGACACAATTCATGGATATCAGCTTCTGTACTGTACATCAATAGCAATGTATTCATCTTGATACCAAGTCAGTCAAGGTGAGTGAGTGAGTGAGTGAGTGAGTTTAGTTTTACACTGCACTAAGGCAATATTCCAGCCATATGTAAATGATCGAGTCTGGACAAGACAATCCAGTGATCAACAGCATGCGCATCAATCTGTGCAATTGGGAACCGATGACATATGTCAACCAAGTCAACAAGCCTGACCACCCAATCCCGTTAGTCGACTCTTACGACAAACATGTGTTACTGAAGATCAATATTCTAACCCGGACCATCACGGGTCGTTTCCTCTATGAGATGTCATGCCAATCAAAATATAAGGACTGAAAGGTACAATTAGGTAGCACAACAATCTATACTGTCAGACCATCAGCTTAAATAATCACCCTCTTCTTGTTTTCCTCGGAGTATGTGTAGCTAGGGGAGGAAGACTGTGGTCTAGACTCGGGTGTGTTGAAGACAAGCCAAGAAAACCCTGCTGATGTACCACCTTGCAGCTCCCCCTGGTGGGTCCCGATCTGGAACACAACATACAAGTGAAAATCTAAAACACATGACGGAGGTATAGTTCCCATCTGGAACACAAACACATATTCAGTCTAAAAATGAATCCATGACAAGGTCTTGTTCGATACATTGTACACAAGTATTTCTCAGACATATTCAATTTCATAACTTTTGTCAACTTGTATATAATTCCTCTGTCCAACAAGTGGCCATGTCAATGTTAAACAGCCCCTTTACTTTGAAGTGGTTAAACATTTCTTCCTTCTTGGGGTGTTCTAAACAGTCTCCTGTCACTTGGGTACCTACCTCGAGACAATGAAATCGTACAGCACTGTTGACCAACACTTGAGGTGTTCTAAACAGTCTCCTGTCACTTGGGTACCTACCTTGAGACAATGAAATTGTATAGCACTGTCGACCACCACTTGAGGTGTTCTAAACAGTCACCTGTCACTTGGGTACCTACCTCGAGACAATGAAATCGTACAGCACTGTCGACCAACACTTGAGGTGTTCTAAACAGTCTCCTGTCACTTGGGTACCTACCTCGAGACAATGAAATCGTGACAGCACTGTCGACCAACACTTGAGGTGTTCTAAACAGTCTCCCTGTCACTTGGGTACCTACCTCCGAGACAATGAAATCGTACAGCACTGTCGACCAACACTTGAGGTGTTCTAAACAGTCTCCTGTCACTTGGGTACCTACCTCGAGACAATGAAATCGTACAGCACTGTCGACCAACACTTGAGGTGTTCTAAACAGTCTCCTGTCACTTGGGTACCTACCTTGAGACAATGAAATTGTATAGCACTGTCGACCACCACTTGCGGTGTTCTAAACAGTCTCCTGTCACTTGGGTACCTACCCCGAGACAATGAAATCAGACAGCACTGTCGACCACCACTTGAGGTGTTCTAAATAGTCTCCTGTCACTTGGGTACCTACCTTGAGACAATGAAAGTGTACAGCACTGTCGACCAACACTTGAGGTGTTCTAAACAGTCTCCTGTCACTTGGGTACCTACCTCGAGACAATGAAATCGGGTACAGCACTGTTGACCACCACTTGAGGTGTTCTAAACAGTCTCCTGTCACTTGGGTACCTACCTTGAGACAATGAAATTGTATAGCACTGTCGACCACCACTTGAGGTGTTCTAAACAGTCACCTGTCACTTGGGTACCTACCTCGAGACAATGAAATCGTACAGCACTGTCGACCAACACTTGAGGTGTTCTAAACAGTCTCCTGTCACTTGGGTACCTACCTCGAGACAATGAAATCGTACAGCATTGTCGACCAACACTTGAGGTGTTCTAAACAGTCTCCTGTCACTTGGGTACCTACCTCGAGACAATGAAATCGTACAGCACTGTCGACCACCACTTGAGGTGTTCTAAACAGTCTCCTGTCACTTGGGTACCCACCTCGAGACAATGAAAGTGTACAGCACTGTCGACCTCCACTTGAGGTGTTCTAAACATTCTCCTGTCACTTGGGCACCTACCTTGAGACAATGAAAGTGTACAACACTGTCAACCTCTACTTGAGATGTTCTAAACAGTCTCTTGTCACTTGGGCACCTACCTCAAGATAATGAAAGTGTACAGCACTGTCGACCTCCACTTGAGGTGTTCTAAACAGTCTCCTGTCACTTGGGTACCTACCTTGAGACAATGAAAGTGTACAACACTGTCGACCTCCACTTGAGGTGTTCTAAACAGTCTCTTGTCACTTGGGTACCTACCTCGAGACAATGAACGTGTACAGCACTGTCGACCTCCACTTGAGGTGTTCTAAACAGTCTCCTGTCACTTGGGCACCTACCTCGAGACAATGAAAGTGTACAACACTGTCGACCTCCACTTCAGGTGTTCTAAACAGTCTCTTGTCACTTGGGTACCTACCTCGAGACAATGAAAGTGTACAGCACTGTCGACCTCCACTTGAGGTGTTCTAAACAGTCTCCTGTCACTTGGACACCTACCTCGAGACAATGAAAGTGTACAACACTGTCGACCTCCACTTGAGGTGTTCTAAACAGTCTCTTGTCACTTGGGCACCTACCTCAAGATAATGAAAGTGTACAGCACTGTCAACCTCCACTTGAGGTGTTCTAAACAGTCTCCTGTCACTTGGGTACCCACCTTGAGAAAATGAAAGTGTACAACACTGTCGACCACCACTTGAGGTGTTCTAAACAGTCTCCTGTCACTTGGGTACCCACCTTGAGAAAATGAAAGTGTACAACACTGTCGACCCCCACTTGAGGTGTTCTAAACAGTTTACGGTCACTTGGGCACCTACCTTGAGACAATGAAAGCATACGACATTGCCGACCTGCACTTGAGGTGTTCTAAACAATCTCCGGTCATTTGGGCACCTACCTTGAGACGATGAAAGCGTACGACACTGCCGACCTCCACTTGGGGCACCTTGTTGGGTTTGAGAAACAGTACACACTTCAACTTCTGCTCTTGTTCAAACAAAGTTTCATCTATGAGACTGAGGATCATGATGTGGTCTGGAACCAAGAACACACGTTAGACAACCTGCTACACAAACATACAGACAGCCTTGCCTGAAACCTCCCAAACTGTCTAACAACATTAAAATGTTTGGACAACAAATGAACAGTTATATACACAGAAGAACTATGTTTTTTCTAAAATATCTAAAATATATAGTATGACTAGAAATTATTGAGAATTTTAGGAATATGTTTAATTGGATTTCTAGTATAAACAAGTTAAACAACCTTGTTTGGTTTCATTCAAGAGAGACAACTCCGTTAATCCTTTGTCATTAGTTTGTGAAGAGTTATCCCCCTTTGTTTACCTGCTAGCAGATGACATTTTCAGTGATCCTCAGTATGGATGATTTAGAGAAGAGGAAGTTGATTTTAGAGCATTATAACAAGGACATCAGATCAGCTAAAGTGATTTCAAGTAGAACAGGCACCCTTTTGGCCACTGTTTATCGTGTTTTGAAAAATATTGCAAATGGATATGGCATTGAGCACCAGGGAAGCGCAGGTAGGCCCAGAAAATTGACTGTCGGTGACAGGAGGCGGCTTTGTATTCTTGTTTCTAAAAACAAACGAAGGAGTTTAGAAAACTTAAGGCTGGATATGATTGATAGAGGAACTGTGGCTGTCTGTAAGGAGACAATGGGGAACATTCCTGGAGTTGCGCCCCCTTGCCCGCTTGGAGTGCTGCAGTAGTTACGGTCCAACAGTAGCTGTCACTCTGATACTGGCCTGCCTATCGGCCAAACCTAAACTTAAATCGACATTAAACCTACTTTTTACTCTGTGGTTCTTATATTACGAATTACAGAAGCTAGAAGTTGTCCCGACTGAAGACTGTTGTCAAAGCACGAAGAACTAGCGTGTCTGGACGAAAAATAATGCTAATAGAACGGTACTGCAGTTATTGTAATATTGCCGTTTCTCGGATTTTCTTATTGAGTAGTTGCTTTGTAAATTCGTCATACCATTTACTCCCCATTACGTCACATTACACAGAGCATTAATGGCGTCGTAATACTTATTAGAACATAGGATTAGTGTACACTGAAATTAGCGTTAGACAAATAACGTTAGCACTGACCTGATTATGCGCACAACATAAGTGCTTCAGTTTTCGTTTACGTAAACAACCTATTCTCATAGCCTATAACGCTTTGGGATTCAGTGGAAAGAGGAAATGCTATGCCAACGGATCGTTTTCGAGAGGATTTGAAACATAAATAATTGTTATCGCATTAACGACTCGTTGACAGTGTTGAACAAAATATATTACACCCATTCACACGATAAATAGGCACACGACTTCCGCTTTATAGTTTCTACATACATATTTAAGTACCATTCATAATTAATGGGGTGGGGGTTTGTGATGATTATTATGGAGAAGCATGTACAATGTGAATGACCTCCCTACAATTCATGTACAAAGTAAGTGACACCCCCTTTGCATATGTCATATTCAAAATCAATTAAACCCACCCCCACCCCATAATTTAAAGCATAATCTGTTTTATGTACAAATTTGCTTACCCCCCTAGTTCAAATTTGATGACCTCCACCTTTCCAGAACAAAATAGGTGATCCCCCTTACATTCATCATCACCTCACACTCCATATCCCCCAAATATATTATGAACCCTTAGGCTATTATTCAATCCCCCAAATGTACAGTAAATTGGCATATTGCTTGCACAATATCATTTGGGACCCCACCCCATTCTGTACCATTTTTAAAAGCTGTCTCTTCTCAACACAAATAATCAGTATCTAAATGACAGATCACAGTTTGAAAACACAAGAATATTATTTGAAATTGTGTTTCAGGTGTTGTCAAATAATGTAAACTAAGCATGAGTGAAATACTGAAATATTATAAACACATTGAACCATTACTGGAGGTCTGAAGTATCTGATGCCAGAAGCAAGGGGGTATCGGTTTCATAGTCTTTTAAGGTGGGAGCCTTTTAAATTTGAATACAAATATTTCACATTTGTTATTCCAGCATGTGTGAAGGGTTTGCAAATTACATCAAGGCTCATCACAATTATAATTGACTCACAGTGTCAGTGAACACAGTGTGTATTTGAAATACTGAAACAAGGAATAACTTAGCTTTTGAATGGTAGTCTAAATGGTACAATCGAGATTCTACAATACTTACGATTATCCCTCATGTGTCAATTATCATCAGACAAAAATCAAGTCTGGGTTGTCATTTCAGTTTTTATTGTTCAACATATTATATTCTGCATGTATGGACATTCATAAATATAGACATACATACAGTAAAAAATGGTCTCCTTTGAAGAACCTTGATTAACACTTACATCAGATGCATGTTGTTGTTTTCCACACTGACAATCATACTGTCAATATTGCTGTACAGATAATTTAGGTGACATGCATATGCACCAAAAATGGAAGTACAACAGTGAAGTCTGAATATTTTGACAGTCCTGTGTAAATGAAAATTGCTGCAGCACTTAGCATAGTAGTTAGCACGGGAAGCACTGACATGTTTGTCTCTCTGTGTTGATATACAGTTACTTTCATATTTGGCCTGTGCCCAGTATGGAGAGAAAATGTTTGGCTCAATATTCTTGCCATCAAAATCATCATGGGTGACTGTTTCCTCCCCAGCGACCTCACTGATGTTACATTCAACATCACAAGTATCCACCAGCATTAAGTGGGTCAGCTGATACAGTCCAGGGAAAGAATTGGTCATACAGCATCTGTTTTTCTCTGTTGCCTCAGACCTGTTCATCCTGGAAAACATCAGCCGAGTATTACTATCCAAACTGATACAGGGTAATATTATCTCATGAGAAAATGTATCATTATCAGATTTAAGTTACTATTGTAGAGAAAGACATGTCACACAATGAACATATTCATTCGGATAGGTCAAAGGTGGAAAACATTATTCTTAACAAATGTTTCAGCTATGGAGAAGCATAATTTAAATATGCTGACATGTTTTCCTTCTCTGAGTGGCATTTAGAAGTTGGTGTGATGAACAACAAGGAGAGTTCTATGGATACTTCTTTAATATAATATGAGCGACATTGTGGTGTAGCTACTAACACCGTTATCAAGCAAGTAACTCTCCTCATTAATTAGGGAGATATGTCTGATATAAAGAAGAGTGTTCAACAAGTACACCAGACATTATTCAGACAAATTCATACCAAAAGTAAACAAACATTAACCTGTATCATGTGTATTCTGGAATCACCTGGGTCTCATCTTTGTGGACAACAGGCACCTGTAGGGAGATGTAATATGATGCATTAAAGGGAAAAGTCAATTGTGTATTAGCATTCTTGGTAAACTTTTAAATTAACTCAACAATGAAGGGAGCAAAGGTGTTATAGTCAAACATAAACAACTTAGCCAACATGTATATAATGATGCTAACTTGCTTTTTAAAAGCAAGAAGCAAATGAAAGTTAACCCACAGGTTCACATGAAAATTTACTTGTGAAATGCCAATTACCATAAAACATTGAAAATAACAAATTGGGGTCTGTTCCAATTTACTTGCCTACTCTACCTACCTGTCATCAGGAGATATAAGCATATGTGAAAATATCACATACATTAGAATTTTAAGTAGATTACTCAATATAACTCAAGTGTCAAACTGACAACTGTATTTAAGATGCATGACCAGGTGCTGTATGGGAGAAGACAAGCAGGTAAAATCAACAGGCCATATCAAGTGATGAATGCTTTGCTAATATATAATTGAAATATAGTTGAAAATAAATTCAATAGATTAACCCGAAATTAGAATCCAATAGCTGTGTTCAAGTACGGTGGAAAATTTTGAAACAATGTTAACGATAAATAAAGCCTAACTACTACAGAAACTGTTTTATCATGTTTATAGCTAATCCTCACTGGGGTACCGATTTCAGACGATAACATACAGATGGTGACGCCTTTGGCTGCACCCTTTGTAAAGCGAAAAGATTGTGTACTGTAAGTTTTGATGATTACTACAGTGAGGGGCCCCTAATGTTTCGCGTGAAAAGTTTTGTACAGCATGTACCTCTGCTCGTAATTTCGGTTGGCATGCACTTTAAATAAATTTGGCAAGGAGAATAACAATAACGTTTTCTTCAAACTGTAAAAGATACAAAATACGTGGTACTTACCATAATAAGTTACAGTAACGAAATCACTCTGTCAGAAGTTGACAACACTGAGAGTGAGACCAGCGAGAGCTACCTCGTCATGCTTTTGTTTCATTCATCGCTACTTCGAATGATAGTCAACCACCATATTCAGCAAGTTTTGACCTCTCGGACACGTCGAACTTCTATTGCAGCATCCCGAGGCACGGCAGCACATCTCAGGCATCGTAATATTGCTGCGCATTTGAAATCGACCGTGCAACAAACTTTGAACGCCATCATTAAGCCGGAAGTACACTTAGGACCGTAGTGATTGGCGCCATCTATTGGCGAAGCAGTAAAGGGAGATAACTGAGGAATGTTCCCCATTAGAACTGAGCTGCATGCAGTGGGTTGGCAGAAAAGTCGAGGAATTCCATCACCGATCATGAAACCTGAACAAAAGGAGCGAAGGTTGAACTGGCGCTTACAGCATAGAAATTTTAACTGGGACAATGTGATTTTCTCAGATGAAAGTTCTGTGTGGCTGTTTCCTAATACACTAAAATTCTGGACCAAACAAACTGAAAAACCTTTGTATCAGCACCCAAAGTACAGTCCGAAATTTAACATGTGGGGTGGCATATCTGTGTTAGGGGCAACGCCCCTCTTGTGTATTTGAAGGGAATATGAACAGTGAGTGGTACACAGATATTCTCGATGGACATTTACTTCCATCTGCTCACGTGTTCTATGGAAATGTTTGGATTTTCCCGCAGGACAACGACCCAAAACATCGTTGAAAGCATTTCGGACCCAAAAATGTAATTTTCTGAATAAAATTGATATTTTATACTTATCCTGACTCATGCTCTTTTGCTTGTCTTCTTCTTTTGCGAACATAGTGGAACACTTGTATCTCCTATATATAGACGTAATAGACGTAAAATCACTCCTACCAAGAGTTATCTCTCCAGCCGTTTAGGCGGGAAACTGTGGCGCCACCGTGCCCACATGCCTCACTCTCTCCTGATTATGAGCCAGACACTTGAATTTGCTGGGAAATCCAAAGTGTCTAGTGGGGAGGCTGGGTGGGCTTACCTCATGAGTCAGGATAAATATAAAATATCAATTTTATTCAGAAAATTACATATTTTTCCTTATCCTGACTCATGCTCTTTTGCTTGTAGAACTGACGGAAAAGGTGGTGGGAAAAGCACTTTAGGATTTCTTTAGTGAATTTTACGTCATTATATACCCCCCTCACACGGAACTTCATTAATGGCACTGTATTTACTGGTAAACTCTGCTGCTGTTGCGACCCTGACCTTCCAGCTGCCTTTAAATGGGGGCCACAATAGTTAACTTTTGGTCCTTTCTTCTGTTAACATTTTATGTGGATTTTTGCGACTCTATCTCTTGATGCAAGCACCAAGTGGAGAAGCGACCCGTTCCTGTACAAGTATCCTTACAAGTACTGGGTCATATCACTTATGCTAGTTGTTAGACGTGCATTGAGACTTAAGCAGAACTCCGCTGAGTGTAAGCTTAGTAAGTCATGCGATAAAAAGGGCGAGACTCCGTCTCAGCGCCTTAGTGGGACTGTCAATTGTTGTGTTACAATAAGTGGGCCAAAATGGTGAATGTAAGAGCCGTCCTCAGTGGCGATGTCTCTCAGGTAGTGGTTGGCAAACACCATGTCCGATTTCCAGAAGCAGCCCTCCATTATCGTCCTGATAGAGCGATTCCCAAGTATAGAGCGCGTTGACGTCAGAGCTCTCACTTCATGTGGGTTGGAGGCTCTTGGAGGATCCAGTCCTGCTGCTTTGTAGGCCCGTAGTATGACAGTTCTGATCCAGCTTGATATCTTAGTGCGGAAGACCTTCGTCTGTGCGGCTGTTGATAGAGACGAAAAAGACATTTGAATTTCAGTCTCATGGACCTGGATCGTTGTAGGTAGACTTTCCATGCTCGTACTGGGCACCAGGATAAGACCTGCGTATCCTGTGGTCCAAGGGCTGATGATAGAGTTGGGACGTGGAACTGTCTGTCTGGATGACCTGGCAGTTGATTCTTTGCTATGAAGTCCCATCTCAGTGCCATATGCACGATATTTGATTTGCATCAAATCGTGTTCTCTCAAATCCAGAGCATGTTTTCCCGACATCCTTGCTGCTGTTACTAAGGTTATCAGGAACAGCGCCTTCTGCGTCAAGAACTCTAATGATGTTCTCTGTAATGGTTCGTAGATGTCACTAGTGAGATGTCGTAGAACAACGCTGAGGTCCCATACCGGAGCTTTAAATCTCTGATGTTGGTCCTCCAATTAAAGGGCATAGTAAGGCCAGTAACTCTGGTACTTTTGTCAGTTGCACTTTCGTCCTCATGGCGATAACTGATCTCAATGCCGCTAGGTATGTTGAGAGTGTTGACCCTTTTAACCGCTTCCTTTGTCTAGGTGACAAAGGTAGTCTGCCACTTGAGGATGTGTCACTTTCATGGCTGTGAAGCCGATCCTCGAAAGCGTATCTTTGTCTCTCGGCGTCACTACTTGTCGTCAGACAAGTTTGCGTGAAGAATTCGCGTAAAGCTAGTGTGACTGCTTTGGCTGCTCTGGGTGAAATATCCTCTCTTGTTCAAGCATGTCTGATACAGTCCACACGCGTGTAGCCGAACACCTCCGGGTTGCCGTGTGCCTGCTTTGTGTGAGGATGTACTAGTAGATTCGCATTACACTCTGGTAGTTGCAGTAGAGGCAGTCCTAGGTCTTGTATGAGAATAGGAATTCATATTCTCGCTGGTCAAAAGGCGTGCCCCAAATAGTTGTGGGTCTCTCGCCTGACTGATTTCTGCAATACCCTAGGTATTAGAGCTGGTGGAGAAACACGTAATTAAGTGTTTAGTCCTAGGCAGGAGATGCTTCGCATGTCCGTTGCCCCTGTCCGTGGATCTGGTATTGGTGAGACGAATGTTATCAGATGACCCTTGTGGGGAAGAGGTCTCTTAAAGGTTCAACCATCTCTTATATGATCTGTTTGAAGATCTCTGAATGTAGCATCCAGTCTGTTGAGAATGGCTGCGATGGACAGGATAGTGTATCTGCTAACACATTCTTGGTTCTTGGAATGTGGCATACTCTGCTGTGGACAGTCAGGTCGACTGTGTTATGCTGATCAACTGAAAGCAGAGGTCCAGAAGGTTCACCAACTTTGTTGATCCTTCTGTGGATGTATACCGTCACTGTGGAGGTGACTGTGTGTACCGTTAGATGAGCATTTTATAAAAAAGCTGATCCGGTTGAGTATGGCGTTTATCGCTGCTTTCATTTCCAGCATATGGAAGTGCAGATCATCTCTGCTATGGTCCATATCCCAGCTGACACATTGTTGACAAAGTGTTCTCCCACTCTAGGAGAGATGCGTCCCCATGGAGATGCGTCTTGTACTGCGACCCCGCTAATTAGGTGCGTCTGCAACCCTCCTCGCAGAGAGTTCACCATATATAGATATGGGTTATAACCTGTCCGGATCGTCCGGACAGAGTAGTGCTTGAGATACAAGAACTTGTATCTATATCCTACGATCTTGACACCCTTACCGTGTCTGTAAGGAAATGAGGCGATGGCCGACTCTGTGACTGCCATCGTTGAGAACTCTTTGTAAAAATCGCCTGGCTGCCACGCCCTCGTCTTCAATGATGACAGGGGAGGTCTCTAACCCCATGAAGGCAGCCAAATCACGAAGGTCCAGTCTAACTGGACTGTAATAGAGGCGTTGCTCGCTTGTTGACCTGTTGTTGTCACTTGTAACCCATTTCTTGATCTGTGAAGTACGTCCGACCTCTGCGCAGGGCGTTGTCCCTCGTGGTCCAATCAAAACAAAGCATTTTGATTCTTTAGGCTAGCCGCGCTGTGATGTCACCGGTGTAGCAGGAAAAACATCCTTGTAGAATCTAGTGCCGTCGTTGATATCTGATCAATCGTCGGTCTTGTCTGTAGCTTTCGAAGTTACACGAAAGTGACCACGTGTGTCGAGGGTTAAATGGTAAACTTCGCGAATATTTCGGTAAATATCGATGCTGGGTAGGCTGTTTTCCTGGCTGCTGTGACTCTTACTTCAGTCTTGAAGATAATGCCGTCGTCCTTATACATAGGCTCAATTGAACTTTCACGTTGTCAGCTTGTAGACTGCATACATCAATGAAGCGTCGTAATTGTAGAATTAATGCTGAACTTGTTGTAAATTTTACTCAGGGAATCGGTGGCGAAAGTATGTAATTTCCTAGCTGTAGCAAGGCTGCTGTTGAACTCCACCAGTGAGAATGTCTGCCGATCTGTATGCGAAGGTGAAGATCTCTATAAGGCCATGAATCTTCTAATGTAGATATATCAATCTATGTGAATCCCGTCCTGGATTCCGTCTGAAGATCCGAGCTAGTGATGAATTCTGACAAGAGTACCTCTCTTGTACTGTATGACCTATCTTCAGTCTGTGTATCGACGAAGATCTTTTCTCTTCTAGGATGACGCCTTCCGCCCGTGTCCTAGTTGAATAACCTCGACGATCTGCTAAGTGATCTGCGTGGTGGTCGGCTTGGTGTGACTGTATGGCGCCTTGCATGTAGATAATCGTCTCAGAGTAGTCGGGATTGCCTGCCTGGCAATATATAGGAAATGGTGATTCCATTGATGATCTGCGGCGTCGTTGATGCCCTTGATGTAGGTAGTCGGCCTGAAGATCCTTTATTAGGCTCTTCATCTGTTGACCGTCTCTGAAGATAAGCGCCGTCCTTGGCAGCAAGTTGTAGACTATATGTAGCGTTCTGTTAAGAAGTTAAGTACTGCGGCGTCTCTGCCTTGTGGATGGCCTGTGCGAATGCCTTCGCGCGCAGGCTCGGTGATGACTGCGTAAGCGTTCTGTTGAGAATGTAAGTACTGCGGGCGTATCTGCGTTGTAGATGGCCTCTTGCGAATGCCTTCAGCGCAGGCTTGTAAACGGCATGTGGCGTACAGTAGAGAGACGAAGTACTGCGATGTCTCTGCTTCGCTGGAGACCTGTGTGACGACCTGCGTGAAGACCTTCATGGAGACCTGCGCGGAGACCTGTGTGGGGATCTGCGTGGAAATCGGCGAGAAGATCAACGTGGTAAATAGCCCGACGAACTGTGCCTGTAGGGTAACCTGTGGGTACGCGAAGGTCCTGGTGATTCCCTCGGCGATCTATAGGACAAAGATGCTTGTATACTGTAGCTGACGTCCTCGGGAAGGCTTCGCGAAGGCTCATCTGAGTCCGCACTTGTGGAGTGGCGACTGGTGCTTAGCGAGCGCCAGCGCTTAACGGCTCAGTCCGATCGATTCTGTATCCGGGATGGAAGAATTTTCCTTCGCGAATGCCTTCCCGAGCGCTTGATTCATCTGGGGGATGCGCCTGGTCCTTCTTGAGAACAGCGAGCAGCGGTGTGGTGCGTTTCTGTATCGGGGATGGCAATTCCTCCTTAACGAAACGCCAGCGAATGCTGATCGTCCGTGTCCGCCCAGGGGATGGTTGAGTCGACCTTAGCGAAGGCTGGCCTGTAGTGTAGATCTGCTGCCAGATGTCACGTTGATGGAGGGTCCCTCAGAGACGACGTCTGCGTTGGAACCTTCGCGAAGACCGGGACCTCGTTGTGGGCTGTGACTTCTTCTCCAGGCCGTAGCGCTGTTCATCTCCTGCATAAGGTCCCACCGGTTTGAAGGTCTGCGGTGGTAGTAGCGCTGCCCTTTCTGCGTTGATAGCGACGTGGCCCACAGGACGCTCATCTGTTGTCATCGTAGATACCTCGGGTACCATGGAGATCTGCGCTGTAGTCACCGTAGCTAACTGGTTGTTACTTGTGATGAACCTCTGGGAAGATGATCGGTTGATCATCGGAGAGTCCCTGTACCGTCAAAGGAACAATCTCGGCAGAGAAAGTCCTTGTAGTCTGCGCAGACATCCCCGTAGAGTTGTCGTCATCTAAGGGGTGTGTAGCCTTCTCTGGTTAGAGGATGGCGTCTATACATCGTCTGCGATGATTGTAGAGCTGCCCTCTCTGCGTTGATAGCGATATGGTCCGGAGATCGCTCATCTGTCGCCCTCGGACTGCGTGCTGTATCTCTGGGATGATCAGCAGTGGCTTATCATGAAGCCCTCTCACTGGCATCAGGATGAGGCTTCATTCTGCATAGATGATGGCGTCTTCTACGTCTGCGTTGAGGGGTTGTCCGATGTAGAAGCCAACGTCTTCGAAGTAAGGCGGACAACATCCCACGCTTAAATTAAAAGCTGATAAAGATTACAGCTACAGCTGGAAGTACATATTGTTGTGCAGCTAGGGCACAATCAACGCGGGTCTGCAGCAGCGAACCTAAACTAACAAAGAAAATAGGTTATCATGAAATGTAAACAACTGAACAAATACGGACAATACCGTGAATAAACAGTGCTAAATAAGATTAAATATTCAACCATATTGTTGTAGGATACTAACTAAACCTCTATAAAGTAGAAAAGAGGAGAATAACTAATTAATTAAAGGATATAGTGCCGTATAGGAGACACAGGTGCTCTCACAACCTGCCCACAGGGCGAAGAAGGAGAGAGTGAGGCATGTGGGCACGGTGGCGCCACAGTTTCCCGCCTAAACGGCTGGAGAGATAACTCTTGGTAGGAGTGATTTTACGTCTATTCTTTATTGAAGGGAGCTTCAATAGGAGATACAAGTGTTCCACTATGTTCGCAAGAAGAAGAAGACAAGCAAAAGAGCATGAGTCAGGATAAGGAAAAATTATGACATTATTAGATTGGCCAAGCTATAGCCCTGACCTAAATCCAATAGAAAATGTTTGGGGACTTATGAAGGAAAGTGTCAATAAGAAAAATCTGACAAATATTGCTGAAATGAAAGAAGAGGTGGTCCGATATTGGGACAGCATGGACCACGACTTTCTAACTTCTTTGATCAGTAGTATGCCCCACCGCATTGAAGCCTGCATTGCTGCCCATGGTGACTTGACAAAATACTAACTGTTCACCTGCCTTTGAACCTGGAGTAATGTTCTGCTAATATTCACATTTAATACGTGAGTAATACGTGAGTGAAAAAAAATATAAAAAATAACAATCTTTAAATTCTCAATAATTTCTGGTTGTACTGTATAAGGGGATCTGGCTGTTGTAAAACACACAGTTTACTACAATGTCAGACGGTATCTGGCTCTTGAAGACTTCACATTGATTGGGGACTGTGTTTCGGTTTTCTGAGGGTTAATCTATCTCTGGCAGAGACTTTAACCTAATTCTATGTTATACTGAACAGTTAACAAAGAATTATGCAGTACTGTGGTAGCCAAAATTATGCCGGACAATATCATGAAAAAAAATAAAATACAACACAGAACATAATTGTGAGGTTTCATAACTACAGAGTATATCATCTCTTCCACGTGTTTGTTTGGGTGGCTTGAGGCACTTGACCACACCAAACACATCTACCTGTGTTGTGTTCACCTGTTCCACGTGTTTCTTTGGGTGGCTTGAGGAACTTGACCACACCAAACACATCTACCTGTGTTGTACTCACCTGTTCCACGTGTTTGTTTGGGTGGCTTGAGGAACTTGACCACACCAAACACATCTACCTGTGTTGTACTCACCTGTTCCACGTGTTTGTTTGGGTGGCTTGAGGAACTTGACCACACCAAACACATCTACCTGTGTTGTACTCACCTGTTCCACGTGTTTGTTTGGGTGGCTTGAGGAACTTGACCACACCAAACACATCTACCTGTGTTGTACTCACCTGTTCCACGTGTTTGTTTGGGTGGCTTGAGGAACTTGACCACACCAAACACATCTACCTGTGTTTACCTCACCTGTTCCGCGTGTTTGTTTGGGTGGTTTGAGGAACTTGACCACACCAAACACATCTACCTGTGTTGTACTCACCTGTTCCACGTGTTTGTTTGGGTGGCTTGAGGAACTTGACCACACCAAACACATCTACCTGTGTTGTACTCACCTGTTCCACGTGTTTGTTTGGGTGGCTTGAGGAACTTGACCACACCAAACACATCTACCTGTGTTGTACTCACCTGTTCCACGTGTTTGTTTGGGTGGCTTGAGGAACTTGACCACACCAAACACATCTACCTGTGTTGTACTGACCTTTTCCACGTGTTTGTTTGGGTGGCTTGAGGAACTTGACCACACCAAACACATCTACCTGTGTTGTACTCACCTGTTCCACGTGTTTGTTTGGGTGGCTTGAGGAACTTGACCACACCAAACACATCTACCTGTGTTGTACTCACCTGTTCCACGTGTTTGTTTGGGTGGCTTGAGGAACTTGACCACACCAAACACATCCACCACAGTGTTGGTCTGCACATCTCCCAGTGTTGTGTAGAGGTACTTCCTCAACTTCCAAACGAAAATGAAGAAATCCTATTATTACCCAGGATGTACAGATTCCGTTTCCAGAATCACATCTCATCATGTGACAGTAATAGGGTTGTCGTCATAACCCTAACATTACAATCTCAATACTAGGTGAGGTAAAATTTGGTTTAACGTCGTGCTTGAGAATATTTCACTCATATGACGACGTGCATGCGTGTGTATGTGTATGTGCGGCTGCTTGTACTAGCCCAGACTGAAGCTGCTTTTATAGTGCTAGCCCACTGAGATACCATGCCGCAGTGAAGAATGAATACCCCACTCAGACACATTATACTGACTCCGAGCTGACCAGTCCTTGTTGTACCCATTAATGCTGAGCACCAGACAGGGATCGAACCCGCGACCGTCCGCTCTCTGGGCGGACTCTCTAACCACTACACCACGGAGGCGGTCATCTCAATACTAGATTCAACAAGAAGACAAAGTCATCAATATCTCCCGCAATGGCAAAATACTCTTCATGATTATATCTACGAGTTATGATTATGTCAAATATTTAGGTGTGTATATAGAAAAGTGGAAGGAGAGTATTGAAAGGTTATTAAAGTTCTGCTCCAGAAAGGAGCACTATCACCAATTTCAGTCTAAGTCAAACTTGTCGCAATGGAAATGCCAAACATATTTTATTCAGAAATCCAAAAACTACCAAAAGGCACCAGTACACCACCAGATCTATGTATGTGCCAAGTTTGGTGAAAAAACATTGAACGGTTTTTGAGTTCTGCTCTGGTAAAGAGCACTACCACTAATTTCAGTTTTAGTCAAACTTGTTGCCATGGAAATGCCAAAAATATTTTATTCAGAATTCCAAAACTACCAAAAGGCACCAGTACACAACCAGACGAATCAATGTGCCAAGTTTGGTGAAGAAATAGTGAACGGTTTTAGAGTTCTGCTCCGGTAAAGAGCACAGCCACTAATTTCAGTCTAAGTCGAACTTGTTGCCATGGAAACACCAAAAATATTTTATTCAGAATTCCAAAACTACCAAAAGGCACCAGTTCACCACCAGATCCATGTATGTGCCAAGTTTGGTGAAGAAACATTGAACGGTTTTAGAGTTCTGCTCCGGTAATGAGCACAGCCACTAATTTCAGTCTAAGTCAAACTTGTTACCATGGAAACACCAAAAATATTTTATTCAGAATTCCAAAACTACCAAAAGGCACCAGTTCACCACCAGATCCATTTATGTGCCAAGTTTGGTGAAGAAATATTGAACGCTTTTAGAGTTCTGCTCCGGAAAAGACAAATGTGCACGGACGGACGGATGGACGCACACACGCACGGACGGAGTCCATTTTAATACCCCCCGCAAAACGCAGTGCGGGGGATAAATACAGCAGCAGTAATCCTCAAGAAAGTCAGGGCTTTTCATTTTGACCTCTATCATTACAGTATTGGCTCTGTATTTCACATATACATGTACCAGCTCGTCAGCATACCTGCATGCAGTGTGAGGAATAGTTCCCAGATTTTGCTAGCCAATCGGGCTAGTTATGCCTGAAAGTTACTATCCCACAGGGGCGGTGGGGTAGTCTAGTGGTTAAAGCGTTGGCTCGTCACGCTGAAGACCCGGGTTCGAATCCCCACATGGATACAACGTGTGAAGCCCATTTCTGGTGTCTCCCACCATGATGTTGCTGGAATATTGCTAAAAGCGGCGTAAAACCAAACTCAGTCAGTCAGTCAGTACTAGCGGCTAAGCCCACAAAATAATTCACTAGCCCGAAAATTGAATGCAGACACTATTATGAGCAAAAGATAACAAAAAGATAAAATACCATCAAAAACAAATAAGAAAACACATGTCTGAATTTCTGAAATATTTGTTCATGCTCAGATAACTTGAACAAGTCATCATTAAGCTGCTAATATGATGAATCAGGTCATGTAATCTTACATGATTTAAAAGTGTATCATAACTTAACATTAAGAGAGAGTAATATATTTACAAAATGACCCCATGAAAACTTACTAGCCAGTCGGGACTGTGGAGATTTACTGGCTGGACTGGAATTTTACTAGCCACGGGCTATCGGGCCAGTGGCTATTTCGCACACTGCATGCATGTAACCTCAGCAAATATGGTATAGCCCAAGGTTTGCATTATTTCTTTCAGTCTTGTAAATATGTATTTTTAAGAGTAAATGATTATCCTAAACTTATCCTGACTCATACTAAAAGGGTCCGCTGCACAAACACAAGTGGAGGGGTGTGTTCGGGTGAGATGTTTTTACTGTTCTTGGGGAACATAACATAGAATGTTTCCACTATATTTTTGGTAAAGGGAGAGAGAAGCAATAAGTATGAGTAAGGATAAGGAAAAATATGGTACGCTTGACTAATGAAGGCATATGTGTAAGAATCATAACATACGGGAAAATTTAGAGGTGGGAGATCTGGCTTGTAAACAAAAGCACGAAATGCTGTACAGGTTAAAACACTGAGTATGTATTTGACAATGTGACCTACCAAGGTTCATCAACAGGAAAGTCTCGTATTCAATCTCACTTACCAGGAACGGCTATGTAAGGGAGGCAACTGTGCACGTCACTCAGCTGTGCACTGACGTGATGGAGAACTTATCATACAGGCTGCATCAAACTGTATTTACACGTTCCCCAGCACTTCATTTTGTCTGTTTCTAAGGGATATATATACTGTACTCTTTTCCCCTAATACATAACCAAATGTGAGTTAATTTGTTTAGAGAATGAGTCATTGACATGGAAACATATGTGATGATGGTGACAACATGGACAGGCTGTACTGCTGTTTCCAATAAATCACATCTGCAGTATAGACAAGAAAATATAGACGGGCATGTACTTATTTGGCCAAAGAAGAGGAACTTATAAAGATTACTCACAGATGTGTCTAAAAGTTTGTCAGGGGACAATTTTTTTTAAGTCTACATATTCTCTACAGGGTAGTGCTTTATATTTTGAATACAGTACCTTTCTAAGCGACTGCACCAGCTGACACTGACGTTTCGGTAAATATCTTTACACAGCTAATGAAGGACAAACCTAATTTCTAAGTATATCTACATTTTCTATACTGGGGAATCAGTCAGAGAAAATGTCACAAGTCATTACCTTTGCCTTGGTGTCAGTGCTGGTAGTGGTCATCGCTGACACTCATACCCTGGAATGTAGATGAATAACAAGTTTATGGACACACTATACAATATTCCAGTTATCACCATGGGACCAGGAGTTTAACACAATACCTATGTGAGGAATCAAAACCAAGTCAATACTGTGATGAGCAAATGCTTCAACCAATAGGCTTACACAGTGTGTGGAATGTACACAGAGATGTGTGCACTCGTACCAACACTGTGTATAATGACCTGGACACTTCACCTTGTGAGAATTATGCCAGCTACATTCCTGATGTCTTAAAGTCAGCAACAGACCACCAAAGGTTTAATAGAGCATACAAACTTCCATACCATTACACAATCAGCATGTCACTGAATGCGACCATTCAACTCTCATTTCAGTGGTAACCATGGTAACATAGGAACCTATTCTGATGTCGGATTATCATAGGATCAATTTGTGTGAGGTACCTATTCGCGGCACACATTTCATAGCTGTAGGACATGGCAGCTGTGCCAACTTACACTTGTTAGAGGGATAGACAAAGTATATGTCATCTAGACCAACAGTTGTCAGACTTCCATTGTTTCAGAAGCCACGGTGGCTGAGTGGATAAGTCGCTGACTTTGTGTGCTGGTTAAAGTATAGGAGATACGATAGCCGCAGCGCTATGATCGCTTTGTGAAACGCGGAATGCTGCCTCACTCTGAGATAGTGGTTTCGAATCTGGATAATACTTGAATCAGTACTTTAACTGAGAAAGTATAATCCCAAATATAAACAAGAGTCATCAGAAGATGACATATCCCCCCGGCCCCCAAAGTCCAAATCGTTTCCATGGAAATCATGAAAAATATAAATGACAAAAATGTGTAAATAGCAAAAGGCACCACTTCAAGATCTGACTCATAAATCTGCCAAGTGCTGTTGAAAGATATTAAACGGTTTTCGAGTTGTGCTCCGGAAACGAAGCTCATCCCTCCATTTTGAGACTAAGTCCAAATCGTTTCCATGGAAACCAGGAAAAATAAAAATGGCAAAAATCTGTAAATTGCAAAAGGCACTACTTTTGGATCTGCCTCACATATATTCCAAGTTTTGCTGGCAGATATTAAGAAGTTTTTGAGTTGTGCTCCGGAAACAAAGCCCATTCCTCCCTTTTGAGACTAAGTCCAAAGCGTTTCCATGGAAACCAAGAAAATTAAAATGCCAAAAATTTGCAACTAGCAAAAGGCACCACTTTAGCTTATGTTTGATATATCTACCAAGTCTTGAAGAAAGATATAGAACGGTTTCCGAGTTGTGCTCCGGAAACGAAGGTCACCCTCATTTTTAGACTAAGTTCAAATTGTTTCCTTAAAAACCAAGATAAATAAAAATAACAAAAATCTGTAAATAGCAAAAGGCACCACTTTAGGTTCTGTTTGATATATCTACTAATTTTTGTTGAAAAATATTGAACGTTTTTTTAGTTATGCTCCAGAAACAAAATGATTACGAGCGGACGGACAGATGGACGAGTTGTCGACTAGATCCCCCTGCATTACATGCCGGGGGGATAATAATGTTATAGTTTCACCACTTTCTAAACATGAAATTGTGCATTCAGTTTACACATTTGATTTCAGAAAGTTGTTAGAGTAATGTTTAGTAGCTGAATCAGCAAGATATAGTCAATTGCATTGACTCACATCTCTGTACAAATTTATTTCATTCACACTTGTTACGGAATCGAACATGTCAGTTGATGGTCCACGGGTCAAGTACCTTGCAAATGTAGCAAAATGATATTATGCAAATTGGCGATTATCAATCACTGTTAGCGATAAACATTGCAGTCATACTATCGGCTCAGGTAAATGTGGCAGTTAAGGGTAGTCCTGTCTGATTTCTGTTAACTTGATCAGTAAATTATTAGGAAAGATTTCCGCCCCCGGAACCCCTGTATTTTTTCATTATCATTCTATGCCTAAGAATAGATTTTTCCCCATAAAAACCCTAACCAAAGACTTAATTCTGTGTGTCCGGTAAATCTGCGCAGTTGCAATTGCGTACTTCCGTAACGAAGGTAAAATCGTCTGCTACCACATTTACCCTTGAAATCAGGACATTTCTACAAGGGACTGGATTTTAATCACTAAAGGTAAGTAAATAACAGTAATTGACAGATAAATTGACTGTTTTATGAAAATCCGTATCTTCAGACTTTTAAACCTTTTTCTTCATTATTCATAATTGGATTTAATATGAAACACTCTTCCTTACGTTGATGAAGTGATTTTTGAAAATAATCTGGCCCTAATACGCTTCCAGACTTCGATCTCCAGCTGGATGTTATGCGCATCAGTTGCTGCGCAGAATTACCGGACAGCAAGCGATGTCGTCAGAACGCCGGGAGGTCAACCGTATGGCATAATGCAACGTTAGAATCTTATAGTCGAGATATGAGAGACGTTATATAGTTGCCGTGTTGCGATCGATGTGCTTAGGTGCGCGGAATAACCGGACGGCATTGTACGTCTTTGCCCTCACCCTAATAAATAGAATACATTTCAACCAGGCAACCAGGTGTAACGGATGGAACTCTTGCCAATTGTTATCCTATTTACACAACAGTGTAAGTTACGGCCTAAGTTACAATCACATTTCCTAGTCTAGACCTACACGAGTCACGAGATATGATCGGGAAATGGGCCCGTGGCGCTATGGTCTCGCTGTCTCCTCCCATGTCACTTCCTATTTACCAATACCGGCGCTCCCTGTCAGTGAGTCAGTGTTTAGGAAGTAATCGGTGGCGGGCTTGGCATTTATATCTGAAAATCCAAATATAATGCACAGGACTTCTTACATAAAGACATTCCAAAATGGGCTTCGCATTATGTCTCATAACAGGTCGAATTCATGTCAGCTGTTTTGACGTTTTGTAATATGGCGCTAAACTTTATACTCTCAAAACATGATGTTTTAGGATGATTGATGAAGTAACGAAATATTTTACATAGGCAATTAAGCATTAGATTAATATTTACAAACAATTGCTAACGTAAGTACCACGATTCCTATTTCTTCTTCATTCGCTTATATGTAGATAACATCGGTTGCTAAAGGTTGCATTGAGAGTTTTGTTGATAGGATAAGCAAAACAACTAGTTTTCAACACATCTTTATTACGAACGCGTTTAGACGAGCGGTGTTATTTCGTTCGTGTTAAATTCACCAATTCTATTTTAAAACAGTGACAAATAGTCTTAAATGCTTTGCTAAAACAAAATAACCGTTGTCTAATGTGTCACTTACAGAACAGTGATGGATACGTCAAAGTGAGAATTGTGATACACAGGCTGTTATAAAGATTTAACAGCTTGCTCTTCTGCCCGGTTAACTGTAAACGTCTCCAAGAACTTCAACATCCATCTCTTGTTACACTAATACCCTTGGTTGTTGTGACCAGACGCAAGAACAGTTAAACGAGTTTATGAATTACCTGTTTCAGCAAAAGTACTAGCAAAGGTTAAGATGGTTTTATTTTTTCTAATACTTGATTTGAATGTGTTTTCTTCCTTGTTACAGTTTTGAAAACTGTAGTAAAGGCAAACAAGGAAAGTGAGAGAATGAGGGATGGGTGTCAGGGTGTGGATCTGGCTGGATAAAGACCCGAGTCGTCGACATGACGAGCATTGCTTGTTGGATAATGTGAGAAGTGTGAATACAGGATCATCTGATCACAAAACGATGTCCGCCAAGTCGGTCCATCCACAGAATAGGGCATCCTTATAGTCTGTTCGTCCACAGAACAGGGCATCCTTATATAATCTGTTCGTCCACAGAATCAGGGCGTACTTAGACTATTCGTCCTCACAACAGGGCGTCCATAGGACTATCCGTCCATAAAAGAGTCCAGGGCGTCCACAGGACTAGCGTTCCGACCGCATAAAAGCGAGTCCGCCCCATGCGTTCTTAGTCTCTGGTCCTCAGTCCGTCTGTCCACAGGACAAAGCGTTCTTAGATTGACAGTTACAGGGCACTTAGACTATCCGACCACATAACAGGGCGTCCTTAGTCCGACCACAGAAAGCAATGCGTTCTTAGTCTGCTGGTCCTCAGAACAGGGCGTCCCTAGACTATCCGACCACAGAACAGGGCGTCCTTAGACTATCCGACCACAGAACAGGGCGTTCTTTTAGTCCGTCTGTCGACAGAACAATGCGTCCTTAGTCCGTCCACGGAACCTTCAGTCCCTGGTCGATCCTTCAGCACCATAATATCCAAGTTATGGGATGATTGGTCTCTTGAAATAAACTATGCATTAGATAATCGTTCGGCCAACATGAAAGTAATGTACAAGGGCCCCCCACTTGACGTTTAGGGATATTGTCCGGTTGTGAGGAGGGGTACATTCATCAGAAATATTATTTCCTAATAACTTTTATATAAAAACTGTAATATCAAAGTTGACAAAAACTATGCATTTATGGCATGCATTTCATTCTTTTAAATAAATTGGGTCGGTTTGACCAAACCTGGGGCATTTTGTAGCTGGGGCAATTTGACTGGTACCCGTGGGGAGCTGTAGGGGATCTAGTCAAATCAGCCGAAGGACAATAGGGCCGAGAAGTGCCAAGTCAAATGGGCCGATGGAAAAAGTTAAATGGGTCGTTGTGAAAGTCAAATGGGCCGTGAAAAAATGTCAAAAGGGCCTTATTCTTAGTCATATCGGCCGAACAAAAATATGTTTACAAATGTTTTGATTATTTATTGACATATATAGCATTAAAACATAATATCATAGAAATATCAATAACATCCTCAGCTATATGGACCTGGCGGACGTGAACAGGTCTTGTGTTGCAGACTTCTTCACCTATAACAACAAGGTTAATTGATCTAAGTAAGAATCAATTCGATTCGTTAACATTCGTCAAAGTAGTCTTCACGAGTCATCCCTGTGCCACAAACTCTGTGTGTCCATTACAGACATTGATCACACTCTAAGGCCTGCTGGTTCCTGAATTTCTTACAGTCTTGGAACACTGCACACTATACATATTAGTAATGACACTGAGTCAAGACACTTAAAAACATTTGTGTCACATGTTCAAATTCCATTTAAAATAACAACAACAAACTAAACACTATTTACACTTTTCTATTATGTAATTTATTAACTTTTTATTTTTCGGCCCTTTTTTTCGGCCTTTTTGACTTTTGATTTCGGTCCATTTGACTTTTGGCCTCGGCCCATTTGACTTTTTTGTCGGCCCATTTGACTATATATAGTACAACCCGAGCTGTAGTAGGTTCGTAGAGGTTCAATTGTTTATAGAATTTGTTTTTTCAGGGTGTTGCTAAAAAAAATGTTTCATTTCTATTTGTGTAGGTCCCGGTTAGAATATTGATCTTCAGTAACCCATGCTTGTCGTAAAAGGAGACTAACGGGATCGGGTGTTCACGCTCGCTGACTTGGTTGACACATGTCATCGGTTCCCATTTGAGCAGATCGATGCTCATGCTGTTGATCTCTGGATTGTCTGATCCAGACTCAATTATTTACAGACCGCCGCCATATAGCTGGAATATTGCTGAGTGCGGCGTAAACCTAAACTCACTCGAAATATTGGGTGACATATAAGATGCATGGCACAGTTACGTCATTACGTGTTAGCAGGGAGAATAGAAGACGCTGTAGATTATCCCTGGTGTTAATAACAATAGCGTTAATTGCCGTCACTAGTGTATCATATAAACGTCTTTGCACTGAATATATCAATCTGAATAACAAAAACTGTGTGTCATTCGCGAGAAGTCTACATGTTGCCATAATCAATGAAAGTTGTTTGTCAGAAACTAGTACATCAGAACAAGCATGGCCGACGTACAAGACGATCAAGCTGTGGAAGAAACAGCTTCGAAAGAAGATGTCCCCGTGAACGGCGTTGAAGATGATGCTGACAACGAAGGGGGGTCATCGGAACAAGTCAAGAAGAAGAAAAAGCGGAAGAAGAAGAAAAAGACAGGTGTGGCATTTCATTTCAGTCCTAACTGGGATGACTCTTAAAAATGTTTCTTTGGAGTGCTGTAACTCCACAGGTTTAGGCATATCACTTCACATTGCTTGTGTCTAAATATAGACGAATACTAGCAAATACATTTGGAGGATGTAAATGCTATATATGTATGAAAGAATATTTTCACCTATAAACTAACTGCTAAGATAGCTCAGCCACTGGGTCCGATCTTAACAGTCTGTGTAGTTAGTAAGATCAACTGTTCATTATTTAATTTTAAGCTGTTAGAACATGGCTCTTTTTTATGACATAACCAAACCGCTTTTGGAACTTATCATATTTCTAACTCTGATGTAGCAAGTATATCATATTTTAATGTATGAAAGACCTGCACCAGAGCAACATGTATACACTGAAAACATGCATTTAATATGCATTTTAAGTACAAAGTCCAAATTAGTTATATTTTGAAAGCATATACAGTCAGCTCTCGTTAATCCGACACTCATTAATCCGACAATCACGTTAATCCGACAAAAATTAGGGAACCATTTTAAACAGTGATAATTACTCTCGTTAATCCGACATTCTCGCATTCCGACTCCGACACACCAATCTAGCAACTGATTATTGTAAATACATTGTAAAAACATTCGTTAATCCGACAATCAACACAGCCGGTCGGATGATCCGACCGTATACAAACAATCACACGTGAGTGGTAATTAGCGTCTGCCTTACTGGCTGCTTGACACCGACGTCAGTGAACATCACACTTGTTAATTAGGAACACAGGATAATTAATTGAGACGATTTAATCAAGAAATAACAGTAGAGCGAGCTGTATAAAATGTTTACAACCGACATGAGTTTTCATCACAAGATGTACACCACCTGCTAAGCGACCCCTTGTAGAAGTTACGCCATTGATCAAGAAAGAAATCTCCTTTTGAAGAAAGACAAACCCCAGACAACACAACAAGAAGTCATCACTTTTGCTGAGCAGAAGTTTGATGTGAAGATTGGACGATCAACGTATCTGACCTCCTGAAGCAGTCTGCTTAGTGGTTGAGCGTCTCTACGACTGATTCCAATGCTTCAAGCTATCTGAGGCCAAAACATCGTTGAACACTTGGCAAATATTTCTGACACACCACTTAGACGTGTTTGATGTTAATGACCATCAAAGACTTTTTCAAGTTATAAATTATATATGTTATGATAAACGCCTGATTGTACATTAGACGTCCACATGTTATTATGGAATTAGTTGTATGGAAACTATAACATATTCAACATCCGGGTCATAATGGCAGCTGATATGCGGTAAAAACAAACGTGAGTTTTGTGCCAATGTGGTCATGAAATATATATGAAACTGTTCGCATACGTGATTATATATGTATGTTATGCCATCTATGAATGTTAATAAATGATAACAAGTATGTATTGTTAGTATTTTGTATTTCTGTGAATATATTTACGTACGATGAGAAAAACTAGATCTACCATTTCTGATATGCATGCAACAGTATGACGATCATGACATTTAGTAAACATTGATATTTTCACACAAATACATTAATCCGACATTTTCATTAATCCGACATTTCCGTTAATCCGACATATTTCTCTGCAACCACAAGTGTCGGATTAACGAGAGTTGACTGTATATTCATTACATTGTTAGGCCAAATAAAGAAAATGTTGTGGTTCCGATTACACTACTTTGAAATTTAGGGTAGGTAGGTAGGAATTCTTTTTTTACAATTTTTTAGTAGAAGTAAAGTATGAACAAATAACACATTTATTAATGTTTAATGGTGCTTATTGTAAGCTGATGTAATCTGATGTAATATAAAGAACTTGTGAGGCTGCCATTTGACTGGAATATTGTTGAGTGCAGATTGATGCAACTTTGGCTGAATGTGTTGTCAGGGAACAGAGACCACTTAATCCTTCCTTTACCATATTACAACCAGGGCTCGATTTAGTGCTTTGTTACTTGCACTGGTGCAACCAAGTGTTCCAAAGTGCAAACTAGTTATTAGTCGAACTTGCACCAGGTGCAAGTACATTTTTGAGTGGGTATACTTCTGAATAAAACATCTAAATAATTCAATGTCACATGTCTTTCATTACATATTGCAATAAAAGCAGAGCAACTGGAATTTGGTTGGTGCAACCAGGTTTTTATCTTAGGTTGCACCTGGTGCAAGTAGGATAACATCTTTTAAATCGAGCCCTGACAACACATGACACATAGCATCATTTACTGTTGTAGGAGGCGAAGGGGATGGAGCAGCTGATGGTGAAGATGGCGATGAGGTGAAAGAAGTAACAGAGAAGATTGAACAAGCAAACTTAGATGATGACCAAGAGGAAGGAGAAGGTAGAAAACACATTGACTTGAAACACCTGTAACCTGTCTAATTGACAGACACTTGATACAGGAGTATTTGTAATACTTCTAAAATATGCGTGTTTGCTTGAAATTCTAACTGTGAATATACAGTGGAATCTGTCTATTATGGACTGGCTTGGGACCGACTCATTCGTCGGATTATTAAGCAGTCCGGATTACTGAACTATTGTCCGTTACTATAGACACTGTCATGATGAGTTACTTCCCACTCTTCGTGACTCAGATTTTCGGTTGGAATGTCATTTGATGATTTATCTGTCATTTATAGGACATCAAACTGACACTCAGTTAATGTTATCTAAATAATGTGTGTTTATAGAATGAATTAACCAATGAGAACAGAAGTAACGGAGATGTTTATTCAACAGACTGTTATTTTAGTCAGCTACGTCCGGATTACAAAGCATTGTTCTCATAGCAAGTTGATTATCGGGATTGTTATTTTAGTCTGTAATCTGTAATTGAGAGAGTCAGGATTATAAAGCAAGCTTTAATTATAAATTAAGAACAATTTTGCCAGGATTATGGAGAAAACCTGTTTATGAAGAGTCCAGATTTGACAGATTCCACTGTATCCATATGCATGCAACCATTGTATTTGCCCGACACATTAAACCTCAGTATTTGTATATTTGTTCATGATTGCGTTGAGAATATATCATTTTCCAATAGAGGAGACAATATTCATTTTAAGTTTATTCATCATTATGTCCCTTAAAGAACAACCAATATTGTTACATTGTTTGATCATTATTGGGAAATGAATGACTGAATTATTTAGTTTAGTTTTAGGCGGCTTTTCGCAATATTCAAGCAATATCACGACAGGGGACACCAGGAATGTAATTCACACATTGTAGTCATGTGGGGAGTTAAACCTGGGTCTTGGGCGTGATGTGCGACTGCTTTAACCACTTGGCTACCCCACCACCCTGATTGGGAAATATCTGTGTTACAGGTGAAACAACTGCTGTTGGGAAGAAGAAGAAGAAAAAGAAGAAGAAGAAAGGCGAGATAATTAATGTCCACAAATACTATAAAGATAACCATTGCTTGTTTCCTATGTTTGAAAGTACTCTATCATGTTTGCAGGTTACTTTTTGCCTGAAATTTTGTTGATTTAATTTGAAATAAGTAGACGCATATTTTATTCAGCTTTATAGTTAATGGAAATAGTAGACATTGAGTACATAAGTCATTGTTACAAGTCTGTATAATAGTGATACTCTAGGAGTTGACAGATTATGCTGAGCATTTTGGAACTTGCTGTTTAGGGACCGTTCATAATTTATGGATACGAGGGGTGATGATGATTTTTATGGAGAAGCATGTACAATGTGAATGGAACCACCCACCCCCATTCCCAACTTTATGTATAAAGTAAGTGACACCCCACCCCCCTGCATGTCATGTTCAATGACTCCCCTTCCATAATTTTTTAAGGAAAATTGTTTTAATATTTTTATGTACAAAATTGCTGAAACCCCCCTATACTAGTACATGCATACAAAATTGATGACCACCACCCTTAAACACCCACCCCACCCCACCCCCAGAACAAAATTTTATGGCTTCTACAACATCCTGCTTACCAACAACGTTCACTGACTTACTCCTGTGTTGATGCAGGTCCGAAACAGCAGACAGTGCCCCCATCCATCCCTATCTGCGAGCTGTTTACAGAGGACAACTACCCGGAGGGACAGATCATGGAGTACCCCATCCTTCAGGACAAGTAGGTTGATCTGTGTCTGTGTGGGGGACGACACTGAGCTGTTTCTCACAGCTTGGAGCATAGAGATGCAAAGGCACCTATTGTTAAAATACTAGAAGGTACCCAAACGACTGTGTCTGTCATGGCCTGGGTTACTAGATTAGTGTAATTAGATGTATCAGTTAGTATTGATCATGATGTATCATGTTATAACTGTATATCAAGTACCAGTATCATGCAGTATCTATAGAGCTACTTTCAAACTGTTTAAGATAATGTAGATTCAGCTCAGTGCTTCAAAAGCTTCAGAGAAAGTATTAAAATATTATGAGATTTTGAGAAAATTGTAATTATAATTTTCATGTTTTATGCGTCCAATCTTCAGACTGACACTCGATGGTGATACCAACAGATGCTACAGACAGACAGACAATACTTTATTACCTTAAAAGGCATTCGTTTTGGTTCACAGAGCTTGACAAAATACAAATGAATAACAACGTAATATGACATTACTAAAAAGATATAAATATGTGCTTAGATAGAAATAAATGAATAATGAATAAATGAACTACGTCCAACTCACTCACTCACTCCTCCTCACTCACTCACTCACCATTCAAAGATATTCTATGTTCAACTCACTTCTCTCATTCCTTCTGTTTGTAATTTAGTCGTACAGCCAAGGATAGGTTCAGCAGTGAGGAGAAGAAAGCGTTGGACCAGGCTCATACATCCCTGTACCAGGAAGTCCGCCAGGCAGCGGAGGCTCACAGACAGGTGAGTCGTGTGGGATTGATGGCCAGGATTCAAACCATCTTTCAGGCTGTTAAGCTTCAAGTCCATTTCAGAAAAAGTTACCAGAAGAATATGTGTCCTATTATTTTTGAAGATGCTAGAGTGAAAGAGTGGTTTGGTTGTCAGTTTACTGAACTGGAATGTGTTACATAATCTTTTCCGAATAATTCTGTAGTATCACAGCATTGAATGCATTCCTAAGATTATCAGATTAATAACTGGTAAGAGGATACTTTGTGCTCTCTCATGTAATACTGAATTCTATGCTTTTGGTTTTACAGCACATTTTAGCACACACTTAGTTACGTCTTACACACAGCATGGTGGTATATGATGTTTTGGTTTTCAGACGAGGCAGTATATGAAAGACTTCATCAAGCCAGGGATGAAGATGTTTGATATCTGGTGAGTACAGTGTGGGCGGAAGCAGGGACCGCATCTTCAGACACCATTATTCCTGTTCACTGCTGTATCCTGTTTGGATTGATGTTTGTGGGTTTGAATCCTAGACAGGCCTGGTTCGTTAGCACCCGTCATGAGCTGGTTTAGTTCGCCATAGCAGCAAACCCTCAAGGGCTGATTGCTTCAGATTTTCTTCAAACATCTTTCAACTCCCATTAAAATACTGTTCAAATGGACATCAAGGTATTAAGGCAATTTGTATGCTGTTGTAGTAGTGCTACTAGATCAGCTTTTATGCTTACAAATTTATTAGCACTTCAGAACAGATAGAAATTGTAATACGGAAATGGGAATAAGTAGTTAAAATCATTATTGATATTCTGTGATTCACATTTACTGTCATAGACCAGATATAGACAGTGTCAGACCAAAGATCGTCAAAACCCGCACCAGTTATTTATGTCCTTTTTTTACTGTTGTCTTTTTCCGGGCACATCAGTGTTGGCGGTAACAATCAAGCCCAGACTTTGCAATTCCAGCTCATTCTTTTACTTTATATGAAGGTGTGTGTTGTTTAACGCCAGTCTTAACAGTATTCCACCTGTGTGATGGCAATCTCTCAACTTCATGAGCATGAGCAAAGATCGATGTAATTGGGATACAATGAGATGCAGCAACCAAATCATTGAGCCTGATGAACTGATCCTGTTCATCACCTCGTACAACAAGCATGGGTTGGGGAAGGCCAATTTTAACCCAGGTGTTTGCAGGCACTATTTGAAGGATGACTTGCCATCACATTCTTGGAATACATCATGACAGAATTCTGTTTCAGTGAGACCCTGGAAGGTATTGCCAGGAAGCTGATCAAGGAGAACGGTTTGGAGGCAGGGTTGGCATTCCCCACTGGGTGTTCCCTGAATCACTGCGCTGCCCACTACACACCCAATGCTGGGGACCAGACCGTCCTGCAGTACGATGATGTCTGCAAGATTGACTTCGGAACTCACATTAATGGTACATATTAGTTACTTGGGAGCATGGCTTTGCTTAATTGCCAAAATGCGTATGGACAAGATGGGTGGGAGATGTCTAGACGTGTCTGGTTGAATTGAATAAGATGGGTGGGACATGTTGTAGACAAGAGGCGTGTCTGGCGAGAGTTGAATAAGATGGGTGGGACATGTTGCAGACAAAGGCGTGTCTGGCGAGTTGAATAAGAGTTGAATAAATATGTCTGGCGAGTTGGGACAAGATGGAGTGGGACATTGTAGACAAAAAGGCGTGTCTGGCGAGATGGGTTGAATAAGATGGGTTGGACATGTTGTAGACAAGGTGTCTGGCCGAGTTGAATAAGATGGGTGGGACATGTTGTAGACAAGGGCGTGTCTGGCGAGTTGAATAAGATGGGTTGGACATGTTGTAGACAAAGGCGATGTCTGGCGAGTTGAATAAGATGGGTGGGACATGTTGTAGACAAAGGCGTGTCTGGCGAGTTGAATAAGATGGGTGGGACAGTTGAATAAGATGGGTGGGACATGTTGTAGACAAGGGCGATGTCTGGAAAGTTGAATAAGATGGGTGGGACATGTTGTAGACAAAGGAAGTGGTCTGGCCGAGTTGAATAAAGATGGGGTGGGACATGTTGTAGATGGGTGGGACATGTTGTAGACAAGGGGCGTGTCTGGCCGAGTTGAATAAGATGGGTGGGACATGTTGTAGACAAGGGGCGTGTCTGGCCGAGTTGAATAAGATGGGTGGGACATGTTGTAGACAAGGGGCGTGTCTGGCCGAGTTGAATAAGATGGGTGGGACATGTTGTAGACAAGGGGCGTGTCTGGCCGAGTTGAATAAGATGGGTGGGACATGTTGTAGACAGAAGTGTCTGGACCGAGTTGAATAAGATGGACATGTTGTAGACAGTTGAATAAGATGGGTGGGACATGTTGTAGACAAGGGGCGTGTCTGGCCGAGTTGAATGAGATAGGTTGTACGAGTTGTAGACAAGGGGCGTGTCTGGCGAGTTGAATAAGATGGGTGGGACATGTCGTAGACAAGGGGCGTGTCTGGCCGAGTTGAATGACATGGTATTACATCTGTATTTCGGGACATGGATTCTTTGTTGACAGTTCAGATTCAAATATTTGCCTTGAAAAAATGTCTAGGATGGCATGGTTTTCAATAATTAAGTTAGGGTGATACTGTTGTGCAGTATTTTGTTGGTGTCTGTGAAATGTAATTTCTGTTTTGACACATTTTTATCTTGAATATATATGACAACACGAAACTCTTCATTTCTTACCTTTCACTGTTGTTCCTGCAGGCCATCTGGTAGATTGTGCTTTCACGTTGACGTTTAACGACAAGTACGACAAACTGCTTCAGGCTGTGAAAGATGCAACAAATACGGGTATTAGGGTGAGTGATGAAGATGATGGTGTTCAAGCAGCTTACTGAGAGGGAATCTTGTAGAACACGGTTGCATACAGTTAGAGGGTGCGGGTGTCAGGGTAAATGGTGGAGTCAGGGTAAATGGAGGTGTCTGGGAGGGGTGTCAGTGTAAATGGGGGTGTCAGGGTAAATGGAGGTGTCAGGGTAAATGGAGTTTTTAGGGTAAATAAGGAGGTGTTGGGGTAAATTGAGGTGTCAGGAGGGGTGGGTGTCAGGGTAAATGGGGGTGTGGGTGTCAAGGTAAATGGAGGTGTCAGGGTAAATGGGGGTATCGGTGTGGGTGTCAGGGTAAATGGGGGTGTCAGGTAAATGGGGGTGTCGGTGTGGGTGTCAGGGTAAATGGTGTGTCAGGGTAAATGGAGGTGGCAGGATAAATAAGGATGTGTGAAGGAGGGGTGTGGGTGTCAGGGTAAATGGAGATGTCGGGGTGTTGGTGTCAGGGTAAATGGAGGTGTCAGGGTAAATGGGGGTGTTGGTGTGGGTGTCAGGGTAAATGGAGGTGTCAGGGTAAATGGGGTGTTGGTGTGGGTAACAGGGTAAATGGAGGTGTCAGGGTAAATGGGGGTGTTGGTGTCAGGGTAAATGGAGGTGGCAGGATAAATAAGGAGGTGGCAGGGTAAATGAGGTGTCAGTGTGGGTGTCGGGGTAAATGGAGGTCCCAGGGTAAATAAGGGTGTGTTAGGGAGGGGTGTTGGTTAGGGTGTCAGGGTAATTGGAGGTGTCAGGGTAGGTGTTGTCTGAGGGTTGATATGTCGGAGGGGAAGCTGTCAGAGAGTGGGGTTTTAGTGGGAGAAGACGACAAGGGTGGTGTTGTCATGATGTTTCTTTGTGAACAATGATGGGTTGTGTGTTCTTGTTCAGTTAACAATGCTCTTCTTCTGGCCATATATCGGGATTGGGTGGTCAGGCTCGTTGACTTGGTTGACACATGTCATCGGTTCCCAATTGCGCAGATCGATGTTCATGCTGTTCAGGGCTCGATTTAGTGCTTTGTTACTTGCACTGGTGCAACCCAATATTACAAAGTGCAGCCTAGATTTTTGAGTGGTTAAACTTCTGAATAAAACATCTAAATAACTCAATAGCATATTTCTTTCATTACAAATTGCGGGGCGGTGGGGTAGCTTAGTGGTTAAAGCGTTGGCTCTTCACGCCGAAGACCCAGGTTCGATTCCCCACATGGGCACAATGTGTTAAGCCCATTTCTGGTGTCCCCCGGCGTGATATTGCTGGAATATTGCTAAAAGTGGCGTAAAACGAAACTCAAATGGAGGTTTTTATCTTAGGTTGCACCTGGTGCAAGTAGGTTGACATCTCTTAAATCGAGGCCTGCTGTTAATCACTGGATTGTCTGGTCCAGATTCGATTATTTACAGACCGCAGCCATATAGCTGGAATATTGCTGAGTGAGGCGTAAAACTAAACTCACTCACTCACTCTGGCCATATATACTGTGGCCAGCTTGATTTCACCCTCTGGCACATTGACACAAGGGATGGTCCAGAACAGAATCACATTTAGTAATAAGCACTCACATGTCATGGTTTAGGGAACTGAGGTAATGAAATGGCTAGACTTGATTATGGGCAGGTAGCGGCCTAGACGGTGAAGACAGGAAATACATGTGCTGAAAAGTTGTGTAAAGGATATATTTGTCAATGATATTATTTGTTTTCATGCTAGGAATGTGGCATAGATGTACGTCTGTGTGATGTTGGCGATCGCATACAGGAAGTCATGGAGTCATATGAGGTGGAGCTTGATGGCAAGACATATCCAGGTACGTTGTTGTTGATTGCTACTCTGGTCGAGATATAGTTAAATTGGGTGATATCCAGTTAAACTGGTCAATATCCAGGTACATAGATCAATATCCAGTTACTTTGGATGATATCCAGGTACATTGATCAATATCCAGTTACTTTGGTCAATATCCAGGTACATTGATCAATATCCAGTTACAACTAGTTGATATTAAGGTACATTGATCGATATCCAGTTGCAACTAGTTGATATTAAGGTACATTGATCGATATCCAGTTACAACTAGTTGAATCAAGGTACATTGATCGATATCCAGTTACAACTAGTTGAATCAAGGTACATTGATCGATATCCAGTTACAACTAGTTGAATCAAGGTACATTGATCGATATCCAGTTACAACTAGTTGATATCAAGGTACATTGATCGATATCCAGTTACAACTAGTTGAATCAAGGTACATTGATCGATATCCAGTTACAACTAGTTGAATCAAGGTACATTGATCGATATCCAGTTACAACTAGTTGATATTAAGGTACATTGATCGATATCCAGTTACTAGTTGATATTAAGGTACATTGATCAATATCCAGTTACAACTAGTTGATATCAAGGTACATTGATCGATATCCAGTTACAACTAGTTGATATTAAGTTACATTGATCGATATCCAGTTGAATCAACTAGTTGATATTCCAGTTACAACTTGTAGATGATATTAAGGTACATTGATCGATATCCAGTTACAACTAGTTGATATTAAGGTACATTGATCGATATCCAGTTACAACTAGTTGAATCAAGGTACATTGATCGATATCCAGTTACAACCCCAGTGACATAGTATAAGAGTTAAACAAATTCTTTTTGATTCTGTTCTAAGTCAGAGAATAAACAGCTGACTGTCAGTGGTCAATGAAGGGACAATGTATGATTGTTTCAGTGAAGTCTATCCGGAATCTCAACGGTCACTCAGTGTCCCAGTACAGGATCCATGCGGGGAAGACTGTGCCGATCGTGAAGGGAGGGGACCCCACAAAGATGGAGGTATCTATGCCCCATGTTGTGTTTTATTGCATTATTGCATTGTGATTATTAAGAAAACTGTCACATTCTTTTTGTGTAACATTTCTGCAGCAATATTGTTAATATGGTCCATCATATTTGGACACAGTTTGTCCAACGTGACTGTTGCATTATTGGTGACTTTTCTGTGCCATATGACATGGTGTGATAGCTCATGTCTGAGTTCCATGATTGTTTTCCAGGAGGGGGAGTTCTACGCCATTGAGACATTTGGCAGCACAGGAAAAGGTGTGGTCCATGATGACATGGAGGTTTCACATTACATGAAGAACTTTGAAGTTGGACATATTCCACTCAGGTTAGAAACAGGGTTACATTGTCGTGGATGGGATTTCCAACTGTGGTTGGAGTGATGATGATGAGAGCTTAGTGATTAACCTGGGGCTGTAGCCATACAGCGACAACTATGATGTCTTTGATACCTAGGGTCGCCTAAAGATTAAAGAGTTCACTCATCACACTGAAGACCCAGGTTCGATTCCCATCATAATTACAACATGTGAAGCCCGTTCTTGGTGTCCCCTGCTGGGATATTGCTGGATTATTGCTAAAAGCGGCATAAAACCATACTCACTCAATCGCCTAGGTGAAGGTGATAACTGATTTGTTACCTGGTGTTTGCTAGAAATGGAACTGGATTGATGGAGTTATCTCCCCTAATGTCAGCTGTGTGATAGCATCTTCTTGAAGGATAGTGTGGATGCACCTGTAATATTGGATGGGAGACAGTAATTTTAGTCTTAGTTTCCAGCAAAAATCCAGCATACAAGAATAAGGTCTTGAAATGTAAGAAACTAGAGCTGTAGAGTTACATTTCAGTGATTCTGATATTTGTTACAATTTGTTGTGGAATATTGTGATAGCAGTGGTATGGTTGGTAGAAGTGATGATAGATATATCGTCAATACATAGAAAGATGCCAGTGGTATGGTTGGTAGAAATAATGATAGATATATCGTCAATACATATAAAGATGCCAGTGGCATCTTCAGTCCAAATGTTCAGTCCATATTGTAGTATAGTGGTATCGTGATGCATATCTCATGCCTCATGCATTACCCAGGAGCAGTCCCGAACATGGCTAGAGACGACTGATCCAGTCATCTGTCACTGTGAGGGATGGAACCGGGATCTATAGATCAGACTCTGTATCTTAACTGATTGCGTGTCCCTGATGGTCCAGACCACTTTCCAGGCAATGATTTTCATTGTCTGAGTTGATTATATACAAACCTGATTTAGCTAGATTAGTAGATTGTTACCTACAGTCAGTCTAAGGCTGGCTAAAATGATCGATAATCGGAAATATTGTCGATAGGAAACAAAATAATGATCATTGATGTGCATTAAGTTTTGTGATAGATAAAAAGTTTTAATTTTCTCGCACAATATACAAAGTTTGGACTTTATTCATGGTCTGCTTCTAAATTATATTCAGGACGCTGTTTTGTTAATAAGCCATGCAAAAACATGTCACCACTTACCAGTGATGTAAAATATTTTCATTTCTTTCAGACTATTTTTGCATTTTTGCTCAAAGTTACCACTTGTGATATTATTGATATTCGATCAATAGTTAGTTAACAATTATCAATCTCTATGATCTGTATCATTAGCCAGCCCCAGTTCAGTTCCAAACTCATTGACTGAGTGATTCAGTGTTTTTCTGCACACAGGTTGACAAAGTCCAAGCAGCTGCTGAATGTGATCAACCAGAACTTTGGAACATTAGCTTTCTGTCGCCGCTGGTTGGACCGTCTCAACCAGACCAAGTACTTGATGGGTCTGAAGAACTTGTGTGATGTGGGGATAATTGACCCCTACCCTCCACTCTGTGACATTAAGGGCTGTTACACAGCACAGTTTGAGCACACCATCATCCTCAGACCTACCTGTAAAGAAGTGGTAACAAGGGGAGACGACTACTGAGTGATTGGAACTCTCCACAGTGGAGGCAGCATGTTGTAGATGACCAGAACACATGGTCACCACAGTCGTCGACAAAGATGAACTTGAAGTATGCATCAACTGCCAGCTGGTTTCAGGTTTATTATAGCACAACGATGCTGCGAAGTTTCTCCGATAACGATCTTTAAATTGACGTATATGAACGAAGATTTCGGACACAGTTTCATTCTACAGTTTGTGTCACAATGTAAAGTATGCAACAGAGCCATAGAAGACTTCAATACTGCGAGCATCAGGGTATCTCTACCTTTGTTGTTTTCACAGGGGACTGACACTGTTTATGTGATTATTAATACAAAGGGTGACAGTTTTTGAAATTGATATCTTTCAAACGGATTAAGTCCATGCTGAGTAAGAACAGCCGTATGTTCATCACCAGAGATGATTTTCCTCATTGTTGATGTTACCATAGTTACTGCTGTACTGTTGCCATTGGTATTACATCATTCAGGCTTTGTCCCGAAAGTGTAGAGACTGTCGAACATTTTGGAAATATAACTGTCAATGATGTTTGAGTTTCTGGTTCTTACAGAATGCATCCAGAGAAGGGGAGATAATTTATGGATGAGACCGAATACCCTGAAATGCGAAGAATATTAACTGCTTCCAAAATACAAAATGGTGTATGTATATACGTGAACTCTTTACAGGTGGTGTAGTTTACGATTTGTAATCAGAAGGTACTAAGTTACATGTTTGTTGTCTCTCTTGGCACCCTTGATGAGTCACTGTGTCCTATCCCTATTCTATTATGATATTTGCCCTCCACTGAAATACTACCTTGGTTTTGTTTTTGAGGTAACTCTCAATTCATTAACTATACTAGAACAAGACATATGTTCAGAATACGCTGTTCTCTCATGATCCCAGCACATCCTGGTGTCACTTGTGTCTGTACCCGTGAAAATCTGGGTTAGAATTGGTCTTCAGCAACCTATGCTTGTCGGAAGAGTCCACTAATGGGATCGGGTGGTCAGGCTTGTTGACTTGGTTGACAAATGTCACCGTATCCAAATCATGTAGATCATCACTGGATTGTCCTGGTTAAGACTCGATTATTTACTGATCTCCATCATACAGCTGGAATATTGCTGAGTGCGGCGTTAAACAACAAACCAACTAGTATCTGTGTTTTGTGTAATTCTTCACTACGATATTCCAGCTATATGACGATGGTATGTAGATATTTGAAACTGGTCAAGATTGGATCATTTCTGACATCCCTGTGATTCACTTTGAATGCATTGTTTAGACAAGGCAGCGATGTTAGGTCAATGAAAAACTCATATTGTATCAGGGCACAAGAGAAATTGTAGCTGGGTGAGTGTAAGAGAGCTGTTAATGTCACTTCCAGGCAATATAAAGGTAGTGAATTGGTCCAGGTTACTGATTATAATAGAAAGGAGATAATGTACCTTTGATAGTCAAGGATGTTGTTCTGTTGTATTTTTAGGGGGGAAATATGAAATGTTCTGGGTGAAGAAAACCTATTGTATTTCTCAGTTCATTTTCAGGCAAGCCCAACAGGGGCAGATAACTCTAGAGGCATTAGTTCACATGGCTACATGTAAATATGTGACAGATTGTTCTTGAATAATATTATGTCATCCATTTTAGAGAACAAAACCTCTTCACACTGATATTCCTCAAATATGATGGAAATGGAAATATCTTTTTCATTCATATGTGATAGGATGGAATATGTTTATTGTATAGCATGTTAATGAAATAGAACGTACTGGTGAATTCAAGTTGTTGTTTGTTGCGAAATATTGTAGGAGTTAAAGATTTACACCTGAGAAAATGCTTTAATGGATGTACACTGCTCTGCAGTCCGGAGGCTGTACAGTGTGTGAATATTTAGTGGATGAGTTCGTTGTGATCTTCATTTGAATCTCTTTGTCAAGTTTCCTGTTGGTGTTGAACTCATATGATTCTTTTTCCATTATTCTCTTCAGATAATTAAAGTTTGTTAACATGTCAGAAATATTGGGATGTATATTTTGGACCATGGGCAACTTCAGTCTATTGACCGTTCATTAGTCACTCAAGGCCCACTCTCTGTGGGTCAGGGGCCGTGGGGTAGCCTAATGGTTAAAGTGTTTGCTTGTCACGCCAAGACACGAGTTCGATTCCCCACATGGGTACAATTTGTGAAGCCCTGCCATGATATTCCTGGAATATTACTAAAAGCGGTACCTGTGTATGGGTCAGGTACAGTATGGTACAGCCTCTGAGGCTCTTCCTGCTTTCGCTCTCTTCAATATGACACAAAACCATTCTCCTCAGTTGATTAATATGAATTGATGCATTTGGAATTTTCATTTAGACTTGCTACCGATGATGATGTTGGTGTAGGTGGCTTCTCCAGTTGTTATTGATCAAAAGTGGTAGCACAGTGTTTGCTCTCGTAGAGCAGCAGAATACTGTTGACAATCTGATAGCCTTTAGTTGAATTACCTCTAGGTTACCATCTGTTGAAAGTATTTTGTATGATTTGACTTTCCACGGTGTTTAATACTCACAGAATTGTACCAGGATACACAGTGTACAGGGCTCAGGATTGTGTCAGGATACACAATGTAGTTGGACACTTCATGTACCATGCTACGCAGTGTATCAGGGTACATGATACATCTGGATCCCTGATGTACCATGCTACGCAGTGTATCAGGGTACATGATACATCTGGATCCCTGGTGTACCATGCTACGCAATGTATCGGGATACATGATACATCTGGATCCCTGTGGATCCCTGTTTTACCATGCTACAGTGTATGGAGATACATGATACATCTGGATCCCTGATGTACCATGCTACGCAGTGTATCAGGGTACATGATACATCTGGATCCCTGGTGTACCATGCTACACAGTGTATCGGGGTACATGATACATCTGGATCCATGATGTACAAAGGTACACAACGTTGAAAACACTTGAGTAGTTGTTTGCGGAAAAGCAATTACAATTACATCTTACAATTCATTGTACGTTAACCCCTTCAGAATGGTATATTTGCAAGTATGGGGAATGTATTTAGCAGAGAATGTACTTTAGAATGCAATATTTAAGTCGTGAATACATACGCAAGAGCAGCTGACAACAAAATCATTGAGGATATGTTACCTTTCAGGTATCTCCATTTAGACTGCAACTATTAAGTCCTGGCTACCTGATCCACAAAGCAGTCAGAATGTTACGACCTATTGTAACTGTATAATTTGTCATAGACTTAGGAATGACATAGAGCTACGAACACTTTGTGGATCAGCCGGATATCTCATGCACATACAAATGATATTTTGCTATAAAACCAACACCAAACCAGTTGTTTTTGACAAAGCCCTCAGTCTAAGAATCTGGACATTTTGCAAATCAAAGTTGCTGTTTAAATGAATAAATGTCATTATATCAGTGTATGAATTAGCTGATCATCAGTACTGTAGATCATAGGTGTATTGTTGCAGTCTCTTTCTATAGTACAGTTGTTGCAGTAAGATACGCTCATCAGCAACCTTCACAAAATATGAGCATTATTATTGACAAAGGGGCCGTTGATGAATGTGATGTAGTTTTGTGACTACAATAACTCCAGTGGACTTACAGTAGTCATGAAACAGGGACCTAGAGTTGGTCTGCCTGTCAGCTGTGATAGTTGCTGGTCATGAAACCCTCTTCTAATGCGCACACCATTGTTGAGATTGACATGGAATGAAGACGGAATAAACTGTTAAATATATATACTCCTGAATGGCTTGTTTTTCACCAAGAAGGCACTTAGTGGCTCCCTGATGCAAATACCAGTGTATGAAATAAGGCCCGTCCGACCGCCCAAGACGGGCTAGATTTCTGACGGACGGTCTAAATTTACAGCTAGCCAGCCCAATGGTTTGGTAAAATTTTTAGATGTTCCATATATCTAAGTAAATTCACCATATTTGGTCTGGTTAAATCCATTTTGGGCTGGTAACATTTTGAAGTTACCAGCCCTGATGTCTGGCTAGATTTTTGGCTTATTTCATACACTGCAAATACGTTTTCATAAATAACATACACTTTACACTATTCACAGAAATTAGGGTATTAGTGGATTTGACATATTAGTACCATAAAAAAACAAGTTTGATTTTGTGTCACATATAGCAATAGAGGACAAACAGTCCAAACATTGATGAAATCCAAACTTACTTGGTTGTTGGAATTAAATCATATTCCACCTCTACCACTGCCTGCACTGCTTGTTTTCTGGAAGAAATCTGTAATATCCACAATAAAATAAGGCTTGTCATGTGAGATACAGGATTTGTATGGGCCCATATAGAGAGTGGTCTGAAAGTCGATCAGGGTACAATCATTGTTATGGAGAGAAAGTACAAGCGTTCCATAAGCTGAGGGCCAACAAATTGTTTTCAACACAACTATCATGTTATAGGGTGGATCTGAAATGAACACATAATTACCTTGGATTACAGGGGTCACCAGATGTAGTCATTGCTTATTTATTTGTATGGGGCTGAGGGAAGATCAAATGAAAGTCACGGAAGTTCGGTACATTTAACAGCATTCACTGTTGCTATGTGATCTGCTTATGTCCGACCTGTGAACATCCGGGTTAGAATTGATCTTCAGTAACCCATGTTTGTTGTAAGAGGCAACTAATGGGATCAGGTGGTCAGGCTCGTTGACTTGGTAAAAATATGTCATCGTATCCTAATTGTGTAGATCAGTGTTCATGCTGTTGATCACTGGATTGTCTGGTCCAGACTCCATTATTTACAGACCGCCACCATACAGCTGGAATATTGCTGAGTGTGCGGCGTGGAACTAATCTCACTGCTTATGTCCATAAAACCAAGCTAAATTTCCACATAGTTGCGGTTAAATCTTTGACACAATACCTTCAACTGTTAATGTAGATACTGAAAATGTACGACCGAAATTATGGGTTATGTGAAAACTACAAATCATGGTAGGGGTCATAACTACAATTTTAGATGGGTTTGATTTGATCCTGATACTGACAGAAGTGGGGCACTGACGGCTCAGTATTGCTCCTGTGGAAGAAGTCAGGCTGTCGAGGAGCAGCCAATTCAATTGTCTGGGCAAAGGATTGGGGTTGCCGAAGAAATAGTTTAACTTGCTTAACTAAAGTGTCCTTACTCATGCATTGGTTTGTAGGGAAATATACAGTGTGCCCTTTACATTGTACAATATACAAGGAGCACCTTCAGTTTGATTAAAATATTTGGTTGCTAAACATCTAGACTATATATATGCTGATCTCAAAACAAAATCCCTGAAAATGAAAGGGTTGCTCTACAATTTGGTGTACACCTTGAATGACATTCCTGAGCTGAAAAGCTTTTGTTTTGTTAGTTGTTTAATGCTGCACTCGGCAGTATTCCAGCTATATGGTGGTGGTCTGTAAATAATGGAGTCTGGACCAGACAATCCAGTGATCAACAAAATGAGCATTGATCTATACAGTTCTGGGTACAATAACATGTTAACCAAGTCGGTGACCATGACAAGCATGGTTTACTAAAGATATATTCTAGCTCAGATTTCCACAGGTCGAGCTGAAAAGCATGACAAGTATATAATTCAGTGTAGAAAGTTTATTCTAGCTCACAATTTACATTCACAGAAAATTAATTACAAATGTTCAACAGAATGTAGTATTTTTCTCTCACCACCGGTTCATACTTCTGGACAAGCTTCTCACAAGTCATCAGTCTGCTGATTCCTCTTCAAACGCTGATTCACATGACATACAACTAAATTTGAATGGCTGCCATGCAGTAGTCTTTCACAGTCCAGTGACTCCATGTTTGTGATTGTCAAGGGGAAAGTATGACAAATGCTATGGATGATATACCGCATGTATGTAGATAAACAGCTTGTCAGCACCATCATTAGTGCCCACAATATTCTTCAGCTAATGTTCAGGAGACGGTGTACTACCACAAACACTACAGTCCGTTTGGCTCAAAAGCAGACCGATGAATTGCAATCTAACTCGAAAACTAATAAACATAAAATACTCAATGAAACGCTGATAATAATCAAAACATCATACCCACTCTGTGAGGTTTTTGCAGAATTTTTGTCCTAAAAATAAAAAAGTTGTTTAACAATCTATCTTTAAAATATTGACACAGTTCACTATTTGTTACGAGGGAGGAGTGCAGAGAAAGGCACAGCCAGGTGTTCGAGAACGGATGGAGACGGCACAGCACAGGTTAATGAATAAATAACTTTGTCTGTGAACATGCTTCTCGAACACCTGGCTATCCCTTTCTCTGCACTCCTCCCTCGTAACAAACAGTGAACTGTGTCAATATTTTAATGATAGATTGTTAAACAACTTTTTTATTTTTAGGACAAAAATTCTGCAAAAACCTCACAGAGTGGGTATGATGTTTTGATTATGATCAGCGTTTCATTGAGTATTTTATGTTTAGTAGTTTTCGAGTTAGATTGCAATTCATTGGTCCGCTTTTGAGCCAAACGGACTGTAACTGGTTTCAGTCTCCCTAAAATGTCACATGCATCTACAATTACCAAAACAGCATGTAAAACGTTATCACCATGTTTATACAAGTCTGACTGTGTCCTAGCAAAACAGAACTGGTCATACTGGACCTGTGTCTAATTCCCACAAGTAGATGCTAGCTATCCCGAACCACACACTATAGTGTTTAGGGCTGTGGAGAGGACAACTAGTTGAAGCCCTAACTCTTCGCACAAAGCGAGAGATATGGGTTTCTGTCACTATCAACAATGTTCAAGCAATATCAAGATGTGCACTCATGGATCGAGATGGGTGGTTCAGTGGATGCGCATCCCTGACTTTTCTGACACCATACATATTGTTTGTGCCTTTGGCCAAGTCAAACAAGTATTGTGCACACACTTTTCAATATCCTACATCTGCATATGTTGGTCGGTGTCCTAGAAATGGGCTTCTAAAATTGTACCCATCAAACCCAGACATTTGGAACAACAAGCAAGTGTCTCCACCATGAACCTTCATAGAGGGAATGAACCAAGATAACTTCTTCTGCCAAATACTGAAAGTACTTCTGTTTCCATATTGTCCCATCATGCAGCACAAGGTCTTGTTTCCATATTGTCCCATCATGCAGCACAAGGTCTTGTTTCCATGTTGTCCCATCATGCAGCACAAGGTCTTGTGTTTCCATGTTGTCCCATCATGCAGCACAAGGTCTTGTTTCCATGTTGTCCCATCATGCAGCACAAGGTCTTGTGTTTCCATGTTGTCCCATCCAGCATCATGTTTCCATATTGTCCCATCATGCAGCACAAGCACAAGGTCTTGTTCATCCAAGGTCTTGTTTCCATATTGTCCCATCATGCAGCACAAGGTCTTTGTTTCCATGTTGTCCCATCATGCAGCACAAGGTCTTGTTTCCATGTTGTCCCATCATGCAGTGCAAGGTCTTTTGTTTCCATGGTGTCCCATCATGCAGCACAAGGTCTTGTTTCCATATTGTCCCATCATGCAGCACAAGGTCTTGTTTCCATAGTTGTCCCATCATGCAGCACAAGGTCTTGTTTCCATGTTGTCCCATCATGCAGCACAAGGTCTTGTTTCCATGTTTCCCATCATGTGTTTCCATGTTGTCCCATCATGCAGCACAAGGTCTTGTTTCCATGTTGTCCCATCATGCAGCACAAGGTCTTGTTTCCATGTTGTCCCATCATGCAGTGCAAGGTCTTTTGTTTCCATGTTGTCCCATCATGCAGCACAAGGTCTTGTTTCCATATTGTCCCATCATGCAGCTCAAGGTCTTGTTTCCATATTGTCCCATCATGCAGCACAAGGTCTTGTTTCCATGTTGTCCCATTATGCAGCACAAGGTCTTGTTTCCATGTTGTCCTGTCACAAGGCCTATCATGCAGTGCAAGGTCTTGTGTTTCCATGTTGTCAAATCATGCAGCAAAAGCGCAGTAAGGCATGTGTTTGCATTTATACATTACTGTATTAGGTGAAAACATCATTAAGATACTTTGGTGAGGTGCACTTGGCAATAGTCCAACTGTATCTCTCCTATATAACGGAGTAAGCACTGGACAAACCAGTGATCTTTTTAATGAGTGACAATCCAGAACATCCTGTTACAAGAGCATGCTATCAGACAAGTCAGAGAGACTGACAACCTGATACTTTTGTTGTCATCTATGACCAGCAAAGGCTTCGGGGAAACAAGGGACTGTTCATAATTTATGGCTAGGGGGGATGGGGGTGTGTGTTTGTGTTTGTGGGGGTGGGGGTGGGTTGATGATGATTTTTATGGAGAGGCATGTACAATGTTAGACTATGTTAGTCTCTGAATATATTTAATTTTGATAGTAACAAACGAGCCCATTTAAATTGAAAAGGAGCCCTAGGGAGACCAGAGATTCAGACTGAGGAAATCTGACTTTATTTAGGGCTTTAGCACTGCCGGGAGGGCTTGGCAGTAGGTAAAATAATGTGGTTCGGGGACTGTGTACAATGTGAATGACCCTCCCCTAAAATTTATGTACAAAATAAGGAGCCCACCCCCACCACATGCTATGTACAAAATCAATGGCCCCCCCTCCCTTCCCATAATTTCTAAGCACAATTTTAAACATAATTTTATGGACTAAATTGCTGATCTCCCTAGTACGTGTGTACAAAATTGATGACACACACACACACACACACACACACACACACACACACGAAAATGGGTGACCCCCCCTTAAAATCATCATCAACCCCCAGCCAAAAATTATGAACGGTCCCTAATTTTGCTAACAAACTCCATGGTTAACTTTATTATAAATATGATGGTCGCAAGGGTATGAAATAATGAACAGTTTAATTACTGCATGTACTCACATCATAACATGTGATTAATCAAAATGGTAAAAAGCCTATGATGATGCCAAGTCCCTGATACAACAGGTTGGTAGGCAAGTGTATGACATAAGGGAGATAACTCGGACTATTGTCAGTCATTACAGTTTTTTTCTGAAGAGATCAACCAAGTTTCTTCTGGCAAGATGTATTTTGACCAAAAAAAGCAGACTTTGTTTGGATTTTTGTGTTGTTATTTTAAAGAGTATTGAAGTTATATGATGCTTGTCAGCGTAACGTAAGAGGTGGATAACACATGAAGTAATGACAGATAGTATGTTTCCATTTATTATGCCCAACAATACTATTCATAGCACAGCATCAATGATAACAGTGAATATTGTAGCTTATCAATAACATATTACCATAAGGTCACTGACATCTGTCATGCACCAACAGTTTCATCATCATCATCATAATCATCATATTTTTTGTGTGTAGTGAAATCGACCACTCACAACAGACTATATTTTGGTAATATACACATTGCAATATGTTTTAATCTCAACAAAGTTGGATCTTAGTTCTTCCTTAAGTTTGTGTAGCTTCACTAAGATCTTATCTTAATCAGTTTGTATAGAAACAGATTTGTAGTAATGCTCTTTTAAGCCAGTTGTTAATTCAGAAGGCTCATTGAAAAACAGCAAATTTCCTTAAAAAACTGCCTTCCACAGAATACATTGCTTAGGTTTGATATAGAGTTACTTACTCCAAGATCATGAGATATTGTTTCTAATACTTTGCAAACCATTGCGATGTCATAAATTACCATGGTGTCACGGTCAAATGATTCTACTCAACTCTCTACCACTGTAGACACTTTTTACACTTGAGACACTGGCGATAGTTTGAACAAGTACAAGGGATGATAAGTAGATTTTCACCATTATGTCTTTTGACATCCAATATATCAATATTCATGAAGAGAGTTTAAAACTCGTCCTCTAAAAATGTATTTGAAAATTTTCACAGAAAAATACATACTAGTTATGCTCATAACAATTGTGAGGTGTTTTAAAGCTTTTACATACACTGATAACGTCATCCTTGTACATAGTCATTCCTCTTGTTCACAACATCAAAATAACAATCTGACATAAAAGATAGAATTTCACAGTCTGTAACAATTAACATTAACAGTTTCAATGTTTGAGCACTGAGTATTCATTACACAGATTACAAAGTACATCATTTTGACAGACTGCATTAGTCTCAGGTGAATCAGTGTTACAATGACATGTTTCTAAATGAATTTTAGGTATCAATTTCAATTGGGCTGCACTGAAAAGACAACACTATGGGCTTGATTGTCAGCAGAAACTTTCATCCTTCATCTAGATAGTTGTGTGATTTCATTGCATGGTGCTGGTAGTGAAATATTACATTTGTCAAACAATTATTATCAAATTTTGAAGTAGAAAGTTTTACACTTTGTCAGTAAAATTTACTTTGATTAGACTCAGATACTGGTATACTGAACATTAAGTCTGTAGATGAATTACTGTCTGTAAATAATAAACAGATTGCATTACAGCATGACTCTGTAAGAGTGACTGACAATGAAGACAGGCCTACTCCCAGTCATCTTCAGCTTCTGCCGCACCGTCTCCAGGTTTGGGTGGGGGGAGGAATCATTGAGGAGATCTTGCCCATCACTCCTCCCCCTCCTCCATTAGAAGAAGACTCCGCCTTCTCTCCCCCACCCCCTCCAGCTGCCTTTCCTGTCCCTGAGATGCCTTTACGCCGCATGGACAGTTTGGAAAACAGGTCTGACATAAGGTCACCACCTCCTCCTCCCCCTCCGCCTCCGGTCGACTTCTCCTCTTGTTTCTTCTTCTTAGACTCCTTCTTCTTGTCTTTTACATTCTTCAGTTTAGCCTTCCCTGCACCTCCCGCCTTACGTATGGAATCCAGCAAATTAGCTCGTCCATCAGAAGGTGCAGCCACTTCGGCTGGAGCAGAATTAAGGTCAGTGCTTGGAGGAGGTGGAGGTGGAGGTGGGGGTGGGGGAGGAGGAGGAGGAGGACCACCACCGTCACTTGGCGGGGGAGGTGGGGGTGGCGGAGGTGGTGCTGATGGTGGTGGTGGTCCTGGTGGGGGTGGCCCCGGTGGTGCAGGGGGTGGAGGCGGAAGCGTCATTCCCCAGGGCAGCTGGTCCAGGTGGCACGGCCTCAGGTAGGTCCACAGAGGGCAGTTCAGGAATGTTTGAGCCCAGAACAGATGGAGCAATCGATGGCCCCTGGTCTGCACTGAATGACAGATCATCAGCAACACCTGAAACATAAAACACATGTTATTTATTATTTTTAACTGCATGCAAGAATAACTAAATGTCATGAATGATCAATCTCTCAATAGCACTCAATAGCTCTCAATATCTTCATCCTTCCCTAATCAAATGAAAGGTTTCTTGCCCTAAAGAATAATTCAAAACAATCATGGTCATTGACCGCTCTATATCAAGTTTAGAAACAGTTTTACCACTGTCCATTAAGCAGACAGAAGCCCCAAATGGGGGGCGATTCATCTTTTCTAGGAAACAGTTTATGTGAGACTTCTCGAAGTCAAGCAATTGCATAACATCACAGTACATCATCATCATCATCAATGGAACCATACCCAGGAGATTAGGTAGGAAATCTGGTACAGCTATTTCTGGGACAGTGCCGATATCAGGGATATAGAAGAAGCTTTCTGCGGCCTGTCTCTGCAGCTCCTCACGCTGTACGATAGTACTGGGAGCTTCTGCTAGTCCCGCCTCTTCTTCAATGGCTGCCCGTGTTTTGGTCACCACACCAAGAGGGTCCAGCATTACATATTTCTTGTACCTGAGAGTGCAAAAGCACGATAAGGATGATAAAGCAACAATAACTCGGTGCGCCTAGTGGCTGCAAGAGTTGTATACTCCCGAGGGAGTTGAGTTTGATAATATGTTGTGCCTTTGAGATTGACAACCAGTGATCGAAGGAAAACATACCAGCACCTTGAGCAAGCACTAGTTGCCTGGATATGTGCGCTATAAATATCCTATAATAATAATAAAAAAAACAAAACATATTGAATGGTATTGCTTTGTTAAAGAAATAGCGTGAAGTATTCGGCCAAGAGACTGAACAAGATGGGACAAGGTCCCTTCAGCATGATTAAATAGGGTCCTTTTCCAAACTTAATGACCACATTTAGACAGCTCATATAGATCTAAAAAACTGATATCTTCTTGGAAGAGCTTACATAAGTGACAACAAATAAACAAGAAATTCATTGATTATCTACTGTTTCTGATACTACCTATTTTTTACCAATTTACTGTATGTAATGTGTGTCTTCCTTCATGCATTTTGACATAGAAATACCAAATACATTTCAAAGCTGTCAAACCTGTGAAGGGTTTTTTTAAAACTTAGTTTCACCCAAACTGCAGATGAAATAACTTGTGGTATTTTTGTGCAAATATATTTGCAAACATGTGTAAGCTTTATTCTGATTGGACCATTTTAGACTCTTAGTCAATGAAAGGCACTGTTAGTAAAGACTAAGAAAATCGGGATGTGTAAAATCAATAATTGGGGTACAGCGAGATTTTTTTCAAATTGTGTCTTAGGGCACCAGAGAGATAATTTAGGTGTGTCTTTGTGAAAATATTCATGTCTATACCTTATGATAATAAAATTAAAACCTGACCATTACAAAAATTCATTGTTCAAATATCAGTAAACATCATGTGCTCCTGTATATTTCAGAGCTGGATTTACTAAACAGTATCAAGACTGCAAGAATAGTTCAGCTTATTTGTCCCGGACCCACAAAGTTATCAGGGTTTCCTGTGATGCACACTGCCATTCAACATGGCCATGCCAATGTTAGGATGTGAGATAGGGAGCGTCACCAAAACCACTTTGATATTTTGCATTTTCCATGAAACGAATCTTGTGTAATATTTTTATGATTTTAGTCATGCTGCCAGGGCACTCTCAAAATATTTCATCCTTGCCATTTTAATATTTACCATGCAATGGCATGCAAATGAAGCACTATCAATCCCTTTAGCAGTTTATTTTTAGTAGTTGACTGAATGTTTTAAGACAATTATTAACTCTTAAAATTACAGAAAATCGACCAGTCAACATGAATGCAACTGATATCCCACTGTGAGACTTTGTAAATTCTGTGAGGCCGCTACTTTAGTAAAAACATTATGTGTTTGGTATGTAATGCTATAAATTCTTCTGTTGCCAGACAGATTAGTTGTAGACTGGATGTTTTACTGCCCTGATGAACATATACTAGTGTTACTTTGGTTTCTGACGCCCGCAATGCTTAATCTGTCACTGAGTCATATCTACTATCATCAAGGAATAAATATTTTGAGAATGTTAAAGAATTTGAATACGATTTGTTTTAAATGATATACATACTACATACTAATTTTCACAACTGAACATAGGGAAATTAACATGGAGTGAGTGAGTTCAATTTTATGCTGCACTCAGCAATATTCCAGCTATATGGCAGCAGTCTGTAAATAATCATGTCTGGACCAGACAATCCAGTGATCAACAGCATGAGCATCGATCTGTGCAATTGGGAACCGATGACATGTGTCAACCAAACCTGTCAGCCTGACCACCCGATCCCATTAGTCGCCTCTTACGACAAGCATGGGTTACTGAAGGCTCATTCTAACCCGGACCTTCATGGGTAAATTAACATGGAAAAATCCCCCCAAGATCAAATGACCAAAAATCAACATATTCTGTTGTTCAATCCCTTGTGCAAATCAAATGCTGGAACATCACACCAACTTACGGATTTTCTGAGGTATTAAAAAAGAAGAAGAGAGCTGACAGAGGGCAGGACTTTCGGCAATCCACCAAGTCCTTCTTCCTTATCTTCCCCACTCTTCTTCTTCCGCTTCAAGTCCAGGTGAACATTGTAGAACTGCAGCTTCTCTCGGATAACCCGATCATCCACAACTTGATGTTTCGCTTGTAATCTGTAGTGGCTGCGTTTGGGATCCTTCAGACCAGGTGTGCCTTCGAATACTGATTTATAGTCCTCAATCCGGTTCCCCGCTGGGTACTTCGCACACGCAAACACCTTAGTGGCCTTATTGCTGCCTTTAAGTTTCTCAACTCGGGCATGTGCCAAGTTCACTCTGTCATTTACCTTTAGCAGTCTTGCTTTGTTGTCTGCGACACGACTGTTAATCCTGTTAAAGATGTCATTTGCTACCTTGTCTAAATAGTCCAGAGAATCTGCTATTTGCATAACAGTTTCTTCACGCCGCAGGTCGGGTGGAATTCCCGGGGACGTTGAAGCCCTTATTATTCATGATCGTCATCTATACACATGCAATACACCACAACTAAATATGATACATCGATATCACTGTGCTCCTACACATCTGAAAATAAAATTAAAACTCCATTACTTAAATATACATTCAATTTCAAGTTAATATGATGCTCAGCATTGAAAATTATTATTCACCGGACAATATCTACTTGCACACATTTTCACACACCTGCTTGAAACTCCCTTCTTGTCATATAAATTCACACTTGTGTATTTGTCCTCATTCACTTCATACTCAGTTAAGACTTTATTACAAGTAGTAATTATTGGTGACAGCACTTGGATAACCTAGACTATGCCAAATACTCAATATTGTTCACCCCTGTCTCTGAGGGTGTCAAGGATAACAATCAGTGGTTCACATTTCGACATTTCTTATGTCTGGGGTAATTATTCAGTCAAACACTGGGTCTTAATAAGGTTTGAGTCATGAATGCATTTTGTGGCATGTAATATGCATGTGGCTTCAATCAAAGGATCAACTGATAATACATTGATTGATTAATCACTGTTATCTTGCATGGTATAGTTTTTAAAAGTGTTTAATATATGTAGGTGTACTAATCAGATGGGTATACACCCACACATAGGCTCCTGTGTGAGTGTGTTTTACACCGCTTTTTGCAACATTCCAGCAATATCAGGGTAGGGACACTAGAAATGGACTTCACACATTGTACCCAAGTGGGGAATCAAACCTTGGTCTCAAGCATGACAAGTGAGGGCTTTAACTACTAGGCTAACAGACCACCCCTGCCTCCAGTGGAAAAGTAATATATTTCTTCATAGGATTAGCCGATAACTTACGGATTGATTGTTCATTGTTGTCTAAATAAACCGATTTTTTTTTAAAGAACTGTGGATATCATCAACAAAGATATCATCTCTGATTTCACATTACATGTATATTCACAAGGTGTTTATCAGTTGTTACCTGAAGCCTTGAAGGGATAATGTGTACCGTTACCTTTTTTACTCTGGGTAATACTGATGTTCACCAATAGCTCCACGCTTTAAGTCTTGTACATTTTAATCAACAACAAAAACATGTGAATTTGACTGTACCTCTTTATCAATAGGTGTCTGGATTTTGGTTTCCCTTTGAAGATCTCAGTCACATCAATGATAACATCTCAATGTTTTGGTCTATCAAACTATCAGAATAATTATGTGTGCTAACATACTTTTTCTTTTCTGTGTCAAAATGAAACATGACAAGAAAAACAGTAATAATGTAATTCACATATCTACTAAACAAGATCTAGTCTTCCACAAGGGGCGTTGTACAAATTACTTCCAGATGGAAATGTAACAGTAAATACTACTGATAAACTTTGCCTCCTACGTAAAAGACGTGTTAAACCTTACGTATTAGTTCAAATGGATTTTGCAAATCGATAGACTGTTGAAAAAACATCTCATGAACTGTTCGTGTTTGGTAAAGTATAATTTTGTTTCACATTAGAAATACTCACATTGCATACGACGCCATCTTTAGACTTTTGTGTCATGTGACTAATCACGTGAGTGTGTTATTTCCTATTTGTGTTGATTAATGTTAATACTGCAGAGTGCGACATGCATATTGTGGTAGTGTGTGCGTTATATTGAGCGAAAGCAGTGCGAATTTGAAATCATAAGTAGTCCTTTCAAAATGCTTCAGACTAGACCAACAAATTACGTCACCTTCTAGGGAGCATTCATTGTAATAATTTGCATATCACAATGTTATGAGTAATTCTAAAGATAACTTCGAAGAGGGAGAGCATTAAAACACAACACCGAGCTCTCCCTCTGCCATAAACAGTAAACGCGATGAACGAGTAACATGTACGGAACAATATGTGTTATTTTTGCAGAAGACATTTCCTCAAATAATGCATTTATATATTGTTGGTTTTTAGATGGTACTTAAGCTTATTGCAGGGGGAAAGGGGATGGTGTTTTGGGGTTGGTTGCAACACTGCAGGTTTGTGCGTCCGTACGTGTGCGTGTGAGGTGTTGTGTGAGTGAAATCAGAGCCCATATAATGAAGACATGACGAAGGGAAGGGTAGTCTCTCACCTCCTGAATCCCCCTTTCGGACTGCATGGCGTATGGGATCCATTTTCCGATTCTCATGTCACCCATTTACACACTGGATAGTTTTGTGAATATTTTTACCTCATTGCTGAAAACCCATATAAATATAATTCGTCCAAAGTAGCCAAACAATTTTCTCAACATGCAGGGGCGGATACCGTTTTTTGAGAAAGAGGGGCTGCACACTCATTCTCACGAGTTCAGGACCACCTCTTCCCTCTGGATCCGCCTATAGATAGATGACATGTCTCTTACGATTGATCAATGGATTGTCTGGTCAAGACTATTATTTACAGACCGCCGCCATATAGCTGGAATTTTGCTGAGTGCGGCGTAAAACTAAATTCACTAACTCACATTTCAATACAGCTTTCCTTCAAGTACTTAATTCGTGGGTCAATCGATAAAACAATATCGTTTTGGGTGAATACTCGAAAAGATGCACATAACCATTTATTTTGCCTTTTGCCCGACATTGTATATAATTATCAGTGAATATACTCCTTGTCTGTTTGATGTTGCCCAACAGTGGCCAACATCAGCCTTCAAAGCATTCACACATAAACTGAAAAAACAAAAGAAACTATACCTTTTAGTCGATTTCATCATAGGTTTCATTTTCAATTGAAAATATCTGAGGTTAGCCACATTATATCCCAATATGAACTGTACACGTGCTTAGTTAGTGGGTATTATCTGCGCTATGACTTCTGATTAAAAAATTAGTAACTCTACACTGTATATATTTTTTGTAATTTCTACATGAACATATCTGTTTCAAAAGCCTGTGTGCAATGGGAGTTTGGGTGTTTCGGAGTAACAGATTAAATATTTCCCCAGACTTGACTTCATAAAACCGAGAAAGTCACAACGGAAATCGTCATTTTGGCGTATACATGTACGCTGATAAACTGACTGTTAGCACGAAGATGTGTAAGTACTAGAGTATATATACACTGTTGAAAAAGGGACGACACTTTGGACCCAATCGACCTTGAAGTCTTGGATAAGCATACACATGCCCTTCAACAATTATATATACCGAACACAAACATATCATAGATAATAATACAAGATAGTATAAACGATGGACCGGGATTGCGCACTATAACGAGACATTAACGGCGCTCCCGACCTTTACCATTCAGCTACGACTCGTGAGTGTATCCCCCACGTCTCTCTCTCTCTCTCTCTCTCTCTCTCTCTCTCTCTCTCTCTCTCTGTCTCTCTCTCTCTCTCTCTCTCTCTCTCTCTCTCTCTCTCTCTCTGTCTCTCTCTCTGTCTCTCACTCTCTCTCTCTGTCTCTGTCTCTCTCTCTCTCTCTCTCTCACACTCACCGATTACTGGATAACACGTCTGCTGCAGCTGAGAGATCCTAAAACAGGGACATTTCTAGCATTTGGCCCAGGACTAGATATACAATCGATAGCAGATACTTTCTTTACCTGTCGATCACTGTTTTATCAGTATGTGTACTGTAGAGCATTAAGACGCCATGGCGACATTTAGCGTGTCTTAACAAACCGCGTGGTGCAGCTGTAATACTGCTGAAACAAATACATACTCATGATATGGTCAGAATTGTACAATAAACTCTATTTTACCATAGATTTCGCTATTATTTAACTGTAGTCAGTTCTCCCCAAAGGTGACATTGAAACATGCAGGAGAGCCACCCATTCGTGATACACCAAAATGGTTATTATGTGTGATGCTCCCATCCCGTATCTTTTGCAGAGGTGCTGAAAGCCGTTTAGATCCATCAGTAACCAAACCGGTAATAATAAATTATACATTATAACAAGCCCTGCCCCCCGAAAAAAATACCCCGAGGAGCATTTCCCCCTAACCTTTGGACTTCATGATTTATGTGCACCCCCTTCTCCAAAATCCAGGATTCGCCCCTGAGAATTATTACCAGGCGTCCGTCTGGTACACAAAGTCAACCAGTCTGCACCGATACCTTGACGTCAGTGTGTAAGTTAAAGTTACCCCATTGGCACACGAGAGGTTCGTCTAGTTACAACACGGTTTGTCCTGGCTTTTGATTGACAGGCGTAGGGAACGAGGGCGTTCATTAACTTGTGAAACACTTGAAAAAATCTTCATGAATGTAGCAGTGTCGTTAAAAAAATAACTGAATGGACAACCACGACTACCAATAACTCCAGTGTGCCCACAAGACGTTTCACTGAACTATTATAGGATATTGATATAGCGCTACTAGTACGTGCTCAAGGCGCCGTTTTCCCCCTCGATCATTGGATGTTAATCTCAACGGTACATCGTAATATCAATCTCAACTCCCTTGGGGATCTTACAACTCTTGCAGCCACAAGGCGCACCAGATTATTGCGGATTTCCCAGCCTTACGAGGTACCCATTCACAGCTGGGTTGACTGGGACACATAGTCACAGCACTTTGTCTAATTTTACTGCACGTTGCTGTATCCGAAACTAGGTGTTTGCACGTATTCATGTGACCACCATCTTCTCATTTACCAACGTATTCATGGGTGCACAGGGTTGTGTACTGTACACTTGGGGTTGTGACAACACTGAAAAGGTCTGCATACAAAGTTGACTCCAAGGTTTTTACACCCGGTCACAGGTGGGCTCGATCCCGGCACCTCAAGCTCGCTGGATCACTAGCCTGGCGCCTTAGACCGCTCGCCCACTATTACAAATAAACTACGGTGGAAGGGCAAGAAGAATGTTCCATCAGGGCATGTTTTACAGGCGAGTTTTCTGCTGCCACACAAATATAAGACAACCAAGGACAAACGATAACGTTATTTTTATTTGAAGAATATGTGAGTACATGTCGAGAGCATTGTATATATACGAAGAAGAAGCAATAAAAATAAATAATTAAAACAATATATAATATTTTTTTTATATATAACCCTCTGGATGCCTGACTATTTTTTTTTAAGAACATGTTGTCATGTTCTGCACAAGACATACATTCACGCAACACTGGATCTTCCGGTGTCAATAATATTTTATTAGAGTCCTAGTTATTGATTTAAACATATCTGAAACTCTTTGGCTTCTTGAAAACGCTGACAATGATAAGTATTGGCGAGATAAGGCATCCAAGGGGTTAGGGCTTCATTGGAAAACATTCACTGAATTTCTAAGCAATATGTACAGTTACAAAAACAGTTTTGAAAATGATAACATAATATGTTCATGTATTTGAGAAATTTATACTGGCAACATGCTGGATGGGCTTTCACCATCAACTCCGGGATGCCAGGATCTGAGACAACATACTGATGTTTCTTTACGCAACACCAGCAAGAAGAAACCCCGTGAAGTCCCTGTCAGGAGAAGTACTTTTGCGTACCTCTCACCTTATTTACCACAAATATATATATGTATCATGGTACGTCAGCGATGTTATTGATAGAATCCTGTCCATCTTGCCTTGCCTGCATCAGTTGTTGTTTCATGTGAGTTTACAGCAGAATGTTGTTTTGTAGGAAACATGTAGTATTAATAATTGGTTTATTCAATAAAGGGGCCACAGGCCCATTATACAGTTACGGTACATGAATCATATCATGAAAGTGGAAATCTGGAGCGCCATAACACTGTACAAGGTCAATAAACACACACTTAATGGGTTGTACAAGTTTTGTTAAGGTAATTGTTACGTTGTTTAAATGCAAGGAACAAAAAATTCGCTAAACGATTTTAAAATACTTGAATCGTGTGATGTTCAAAGTAATACCAATTTATCATAAGGATGAGTACAATAGAACTCAGGCAAAATTGTATGTCTAGTAAAAAGGACATTCCAAACACATGTGATATTCTGTCTCAATTACAGGTATAACACAAAATGGACATAATCTAGAATTTCTTGTCAGACCACATTTTCTTCCAGACTCTATCATTAACTGATGGCCTGAACAACGAAATATACTGAGAGCCTTACTATAAGCTGGTACATCCAGAGAAGTTAAATACACCTCTCTCTCAAAAGAAAGTTTAATGTCACAATATAAATTCAGTTTAGGATAGGAATGAATACGAGTAAACCAAGTTTGTGTATCTATATCAATCATAGATATAGCGTGTAGTCATGATATAAGATACAATTGTAAGCTTAGACCCACATATTTACAAGTATGCAATCATGTCAAAATCTGTAACCGTAAAGAAAGCTGACATGGGAATATTTTGGCTTCATTAAGTTGTTAAAAGTTTCAAGCGTTTGCATACACGTTGATAATCAAGCACATAGTGACACAAGGTGACCTTAACTCATATGGTGTGAGAATAAACCCAACAAAAATTATTATAAAACATGAGATAAAAATCACAGTAGGAGAAGATTGAAAAATAGAGGTAAGTGTTAATCAGATGAAAAACTCATTGGAATGTGAAGCAACTATGTTTTTGCATATGTATGCAAGGCTTGGCAAGGCTATGTACAAAGAAACATGTTTCATTTAAAACAATTGTATTGCATATATTACGGTAACTATTTGTTGTGTAATTCCCTTGCTCGATCAGCGCTGACGAAACCCTAGCCACGGAAGTTCTCATACACTGTGTTGATAGTCTTCTGGTATTCTTTAATCACCCTGTAGCAGAACTGGTACTGGGCCTGAAGACAGAGGGACGTACATATTATATTAGCTTCACGATCTTCTTCCTTGAGGCCTGACTAGTAGGTACACTCAAGTCAGGAAGCTATGACTGATTGCAGCAATCTGACCCTCAAGTACTCACACCGGAAGTCTTGAAGCTATGTCTGATTGCAACAATTTGACTGTCATGTACTCACACCGAAAGTCTTGAAGCTAGGTCTGATTGCAACAATCTGACCGTCAAGTACCAACACCGGAAGTCAGGAAACAGGGTCTGATTGCAGCATTCTGACTGTCAAGTACCAACACCGGAAGTCAGGAAACTGGGTCTGTTTGCAACAATCTGACCGTCAAGTATCAACACCGGAAGTCAGGAAACTGGGTCTGTTTGCAACAATCTGACCGTCAAGTATCAACACCGGAAGTCAGGAAACAGGGTCTCATTGCAGCAATCTGACCGTCAAGTACTCACACCGGAAGTCTTGAAGCTAGGTCTGATTGCAGCAATGTGACTCTTAAGTGAGTGAGTGAGTGAGTTTAGTTTCACGCCGCCCTCAGCAATATTCCAGTCTGTAAATAATGGAGTCTGGACCAGACAATACAGTGATCAACAGCATGAGCATCAATCCGCGCAATTGGGAACCGATGACGTGTGTCAACCAAGTCAGCGAGCCTGACCACCCGATCCCGTTGGTCGCCTCCTACGACAAGCATGGGTTACTGAAGGCTCATTATAACCCGGACCTTCACGGGTCGACTGTCAAGTACTCACACCGGAAGTCTTGAAGCTAGGTCTGATTGCAGCAATTTGACTGTCAAGTACTCACACCGGATGTCAGGAAGCTGGGTCTGTCAGTCTGCATCAGTCGCCCTATCATGTATTCACAAGGGAAGTCATGTGACAGTAAAACTGTTCAAAGGGACGTTGAAACCAAATCACTCACTCACTCATAAGACGTATGACTGTCAATCTGACAATCCAATACTTACAAAGGAAGTCACAAAGCTGGGCCTGACTGTCTGTAGCAATCTGACTGTCAAAAACACGTCTATCTCTTGGTCTTGCTTCAGACGTTGGATGATATTCTGCACAGCACACAACAGTCCGCATTTGCTGGCACCATCCCTGGAAGACGAGGCAACATCAACAGCCAGTATATTCAGTTTCCATAACCCATTAACCTCCAGTAACATTTCATATAAACAAAGCCTCAACAACACAATGCATTCCCTAAAATTACATGCAAAATTAAACCAAAGTAGTTCAGACTTATTTGATAGTGTCGGACGGAACCTACATGCACATGACAGCGATGTTGCCGGCGGCGATTCTGGAGTCGATGTCGTTGATGAGACACAGGAACTGTGATGTGTTTGTAGGCGTGTCCACACCCTCCTCCCAGTCACTCACAAACAGCAACATGACTTCTCTTGTTGGTGCTCTCATCAGAGTCCTGTGAGAACAAGAGATATCAGAGCTACAGATAACGTTTTGGGTGAGTTATGTACTCGCTTGTGTTCATCTCAATTGGGTATCCTAATTTTTCTTCGAGTAACCAAATAAATTGTACCCACCTCACTCAAACTCAATTGAGTATTTTGCCATTTTCCATAAATTGTTAAAATATAATAAAGTTTAAATGTTGCTTTACGTGTTTGTTATATATATTTGATCTGTAACATGAGAAACAATAAGAATGACTGCAAGTTGCCAAGTTCAGGTGCTGAAATAGTTGCTGAATATAATTCAGTTATTTTATCTTTTTTGTTTATACGCACGTAAAATCAAGTTTATTGAGTATTTACAAAACTTCAAGCATGCTTGGACGCAACAGACTTAATAGGAATTGAGTTTTCACATAAATATTTGCGTAATTGACGCAGATACGCAGCTTATCTGCCCCTCTGGATATATACTATCCCCAAAAAGAAACGCATATGCATTTTGTACGTATAAAAATCTATTAATTTCCTTTTGTGTTCAAACAATCGTCAAAATATGTAACAAAAGTGTTCAGAACATGATTTTACACAATTGTGCAAGTCAAAAATCGATTTTATCTGAAAATGTTGATTTTGATGAGATTTCTTACAAGGACTAAAAAGGCATCGCCACAACGCAATAGAAATCACCTTGAAGTTGAAATTGTGCAGCAAAGAGCATACACTGTCTGGCTATAAAACTCCAGATTACAATCGGAAATCGACATTTGTTTTGAAGAAGTTTCAAGGTCAAATCACTACGCCACGTCTTGACGCTGCGACACGGAACATCGCCAACGAAAGAATTCAAGCTGGAGATTATCAATCTTTTGTTGCCAGGTGTCTGAATGTTAGTCTTAGCACGATATCACGGCCTGCAGCTCGTTACAACCAATCAGGTATACCAAATGACCCCGTACAGGCAGACCCCTAGTCACCACTGTCGCCAAGATCGGTACATCCGGGTACTATATTTACGTGATCGTACTGCACGGGTGAGAGCACAACAGCCAGGGTGCCTGGACTTCGGAGGATATCCGGTAAAACGGTACAGAACAGGTTGAGAGAGATTGGACTGAGAGCCAGGAGACCCGACGTCGGGACCGTGCTACGTCGTCGCCATCGCGCTCAAGGTCTCCGTTAACTAAAATTATCCACTTGGTTGTATAGCCATGACCTTTTTCTAAACTGATGTTACAATTTATGCACTAACGTCTATTTGTGGACGAGTTATGCATGTTTGAAAATACAACATTTTCGCAACGGATTTCTGGCCTATGCATTTCTTTTTCTTCCATAAAGTTGGTTCTATATTGTACTTCCCAACTTCAAACAAAGAAGTGAGTTAAACTATAATGTGGCAGTGGTGATGTTACAACCATGTAGAGAGTCATGGTTTATCTGTGCCTATTTAATTCCTAGGCTTCCACGTAGTCATGACAACAGTAGCAATAAGGCCCGATGTACTGCGTACCTGTAACAAGACATTCAGTGCTATAGCCTTGTTCTTTGATTCCAACTTCTCGACACGAAAGGGTCCACACTCCAAAACCTTATTTGTCTTCGGCCAAAACAGGGCTTCGTCAACCTATCAGATACATAACATGTGTTCATGTATACCTTTACAAACTGTAGATAGATATTTACACTACGTATAAGCATTAAGATAGATAAAGTTAAAAGTTAAATTAAGTCCTTATCTGCTAGTAAAGCTGGTGCACTGACGTCATGCAATAACAGTATTATTGGGGAATTTAGGGTCCGTTTGATGTGCCTGTACTTTGTGACATTGACGGCCATTGCTGATTGACACCCCAAGTGAATCCCATAAAATAAGATGAATGTCCATCAAGTTAAAGTAAATAGTCATTTGCATTCAAATGTAACTGTGGTATATTCATTGTCCAGTGAGAATGCAATATTTACATTCTAACCCAAACTTCTGTTTATATAATAATTGTCATATATAGAACTGAATGCTTGTACTTGTATCAAAACGAACGGCCGGAGGGGTAGAGACACACGGGGCACAGGACATTATCCTGGGACCTCAGTCACACTCTTTGCCAATGATTACCAGTGTCCGTGGTGATGTTACAAGAAAGGCATACATACAGAAGACAACGGCACAAGTAACGTATTGAGATACGTGAATCAAAACGAGAACGTAATGTTATTTTGTCTCACAAGCGTAATGGTGAAATCAGCTATCAGGCATCCATACGTCCACTTGAGACCATGACCCGAGTTACCTGTGATGTGCATTCCTCTGAGACGAGAGACACGACGGTCTGGACATTGTGGTCAAACACCATCCTCCAGAAGTCCACCACAGTCCACGGCAGAGGCAGCTGTGTGGCCAGTAGACCTTTCTGGCGGGTTTCCGTCTATATATAGACATTGAGTCCAGAGACGTTAGAATGGGAGACATTAAATTTGTGTTGCAGTAAGGAGACGTTGACACACGTGTTGGAGTAAGGAGACGTTGAAATGTATGTTGGAGTAAGGAGATGTTGAAATGTGTGGTGGAGTAAGGAGACGTTGAAATGTGTGGTGGAGTAAGGAGATGTTGAAACACGTGTTAGAGTAAGGAGATGTTGAAACACTTGTTGAAACACGTGTTGGAGTAAGGAGATGTTGAAATGTGTGATGGAGTAAGGAGACGTTGAAATGTGTGATGGAGTAAGGAGACGTTGAAATGTGTGATGGAGTAAGGAGACGCTGAAATGTGTGATGGAGTAAGGAGATGTTGAAATGTGTGATGGAGTAAGGAGATGTTGAAATGTGTGATGGAGTAAGGAGACGTTGAAATGTGTGATGGAGTATGGAGATGTTGAAATGTGTGATGGAGTAAGGAGATGTTGAAATGTGTGATGGAGTAAGGAGATGTTGTGACACGTGTTGGAGTAAGGAGACGTTGTGACACGTGTTGGAGTAAGGAGATGTTGAAATGTGTGATGGAGTAAGGAGATGTTGAAATGTGTGATGGAGTAAGGAGATGTTGAATTGTGTGTTGGAGTAAGGAGATGGAGTAAGGAGACGTTGAAATGTGTGTTGGAGTAAGGAGATGTTGAAATGTGTGATGGAGTGAGGAGATGTTGAAACACGTGGTGGAGTAAGGAGACGTAGAAATGTGTGATGGAGTGAGGAGATGTTGAAATGTGTGATGGAGTAAGGAGATGTTGAAATACGTGATGGAGTAAGGAGATGTTGAAATGTGTGTTGGGGTAAGGAGACGTTGAAATACGTGATTGAGTAAGGAAATGTTGAAATGTGTGATGGAGTGAGGAGATGTTGAAACACGTGGTGGAGTAAGGAGACGTACAAATGTGTGATGGAGTGAGGAGATGTTGAAATGTGTGATGGAGTAAGGAGATGTTGAAATACGTGATTGAGTAAGGAGATGTTGAAATACGTGTTGGAGTAAGGAGACGTTGAAATGTGTGTTGTATTTGAAGCGACATTGAAATATGCGTTGGAATGTGCTATAGAAGGGATACCTAGATGCACGTTAGGTTACATTGATGGACGTTGAGCCTCTGAGCATTGTGTAGCATTTGGGTGAGTAAGTGAGTGAATATTTCTCAGCAATTACGCATCTAATCGTGGCGTATTGTAGATGAGAATTACTGTGCTAGAGAAGGAATACCTGCATGCCTACACGGGGGGAGCATACACGAATGTGAACCTAGAGAGACTTTGGGACCTCCGATATTGTTAGAATTCAGTGTGAAAGACGTTTATGAGATGATATATTGAGTCATGTGGTATAGAAGGAGGGAACTGGGGAGATATCATTGCGCCTGTTTGAAAATGGAAACACCAAGGCACGTGCCACAAAGTGACATTTTGATAACAGCGAGGCTGAACAATACACATTCATTTGTTTAAACGGCTATTTTACAACAGTTTATATTTTTACTTTTGGATTTTTCGAGATTGATAAATACATTGCTTCATCTTAATGATATCATGCAAATTCATCCAGGTCTTACAATGCCATACAAGATACCAACTGAATCTACAGGTTTCAACAGAATCATTGTCTAGAACATCGTACTTACAGGTACAAATACTGCGTTGATATAATCGTTACTCTCAGCAACCGGGAGAGATAAGATCGGCCTGCATTTATCAGCTGAAAGAACAATTATTGCATTTGAAAACATAAAACAAAGTTTCAAAATCTTATGCTTGATGATGTACGTGTATTTGTTGTACTTTAGTTTACTCAACCAAAGTGGAAACAACTGAAATTTTTGTCTAGAAGTCACACGTACGGTGGTGATGATATATTAAATAAAATCTCCAAAGTGTTTTTATTGAATGAAGCAGGTAGTCGCCTTGAAATTGACTTTATGTCAGAAAGACGACCTTGACATATACCAGGATTATTGAAAATCAGAAGCCTTAGTATTACAGTTAGCTTTGGAACTACGGAATTGTCAGCCACAAGGTCTAGAGACTCCAAGGAACTATCTACTTCAAAAGACTCTAACCACCAATCAGTCGTGACCAAGGCTATTTCATACCTCCTCATAGATCCCCATCAGTCATAATCACTTTGAGGGGCGGTCAGGTAGTCTAGTGGTAAAGCTTTGGCTCATCACCCCGAAGACCCGGGTTCGATTCCCCACATGGGTACAATGTGTGAGGCCCATTTCTGGTGTCCCCCCGCCGTGATATTGCTGGAATATCCCTTTGTGTCTACTACAGACTTCACTATTTCTATTCTTTCGTTAATGCTGTAGACTTCAGGCTTCATATGTTAACGCTCCCATCCTCTGAGGCAAGGTGTTGCTATTGTTAACTGGCTTCCCTAATCTATTGCAGTACTAATCCAAATGGTTCTTTATAAACATCTCCTACACCAAAACGTTGCTCTCACAGTAATAAAGAAGTTATTCAAAATATATTGTCATCCTTCCCTAACATGCCACGTAAAGAGCAATCACAGGTTTGCTTCTTTCAAAGAGGAGATTTCTAGTTCAGTGCTAACGAACAGATGAAGGCACGGGTGCATGGCAAAAAACTTATAACATTACCTCACTTAGAAATGAACCCCTGAAGCTTTTTTAAAACCACAGTGAGTGAGTGAGTTAGTTTAGTTTTACTCCGCACTTAGCAATATTCCAGCTCTATGGCGGCGGTCTGTAAACAATCAAGTCTGGACCAGACAATCCATGAGCAGCATGAGCATCGATCTGCGCAATTTCGAACCGATGACATGTGTCAACCAAGTCAGTGAGCATGGGTTTCTGAAGGTTAATTCTAACCCGGACCTGCACGGGTCTTTAAAACCACAGAATAACCAAACGAAACCAGACCAACCAATAGGAACCCTGACAACGTAGTTAAAGTATGTTCAAGGTGGCCCCTGGGATGGATGATAATGCAATTTTTCCCCAAAATTGAAATTTTATACTTAGCCTGACTCATGTTATGGGCTTATGTCCCTTTTCCTTCGAACGGTAGTGGGAACTTCAATCTCTTTGGTCCCTGAAGCAAACGTAAAATCACTCACCCATTTGGGTTGCCTCCCTTCACCCTTCCCGCCACTGGTATCTCACGTGACCGGCACATTGCCATGCTCTTGTTACTCTCTCCTGAATTAAGCCAGCACTCAAACCTACAGGGAGGTCCGAAGTGCTGAGAGGGGACGGTTGGGAGGGCCCTTCAACTCATTAGTCAGGATATGCATAAAATATCAATTTTATTCGAAAAATTACATATTTTTCCTTATCCTGAATCCGACGGAATAGGTGGTGGGTCAGCCACCTACTGGGACTCAAAGTCAAAGTCAAAGATGTTTATTGTACAAATGCCTCCGGCCCATATACACTGGAGTTATACATATACACTATACATATGTTGCAATAAGTAGTAATTAGTGCTCCAAACAGCAAATGATGTCACAGGCAGAAAATTACGCACAAGTAGGGAAATACGATGGGTCTACAAAACTTTATATCAGATTGTTGCGTTTAATATGAGCATAATTAATATAGTACGACAGCTTTATTATTACATGCTGGTCAGTTGATGAAAGCAGTAGTTTAACCGCTAATGAAGGGGGGGGGGGGGGAGGCATTCATAGATAATATTCAGCTATATATTTCGTACGCAAGTCTTTATAAAAAGGCCATACAAGTAAAAAATGAATTTCATTTTCCACATCTACATTACACACAGAGGGCATTTCTCTTGCATCGTTCAATATAACTTTCTTCCTTCGTTTACCATTATGTTGATCAAGTCTAACCTAAAACGTATAAATGGATATCTTAAATTCTTTGATGTTAAAAACGATAGCTATTTCTCCGGCTGGAGTAATGATTTGTATATTCTATAAGAGTCATACCGTGAAGTATTATCTATTACTGAATGCCATTTTTGATTAAACAACCCCTGTAACTGAATTGTCAATATAGCGTCTGCTTATATACACCCTGGGAGCCCTTCTTACGGCTTCTTCCTGTTGAATTTTGATGAAATCGGGTGACCACCTTTTCTTAATAAACTAACCGGAGTAAATCTATTAGATTTCGTGGATTTAGACAACTAGTGCACCTCAATGTCTAGTTATCTGAACGGCTTATACGTAAAGGTAAGAACGTTACAAGAACTGAATCGCGACCCATCTGTCAAGGTAAGAATGTCACCAGAACTGAATCGCGAACCATCTGTTGAGGTAAGAACGTTACCAGAACTGAATCGCGACCCATCTGTTAAGGTAAGGAGCGTTACCAGAACTGAATCGCGACCTCTCTGTTAAGGTAAGAATGTCACCAGAACTGAATCGCGAACCATCTGTTAAGGTAAGAACGTTACCAGAACTGAATCGCGACCTCTCTGTTAAGGTAAGAATGTCACCAGAACTGAATCGCGAACCATCTGTTAAGGTAAGAATGTCACTAGAACTGAATCGCGACCTCTCTGTTAAGGTAAGAACGTTACCAGAACTGAATCGCGACCTCTCTGTTAAGGTAAGAACGTTACCAGAACTGAATCGCGACCCATCTTTCAAGGTAAGGAGCGTTTACCAGAACTGAATCGCGACCCATCTGTTAAGGTAAGAACGTTACCAGAACTGAATCGCGACCCTCTGTTAAGGTAAGGAGCGTTACCAGAACTGAATCGCGACCCATATGTTAAGGTAAGGAGCGTTACCAGAACTGAATCGCGAACCATCTGTTAAGGTAAGAACGTTACCAGAACTGAATCGCGACCCATCTGTTAAGGTAAGGAGCGTTACCAGAACTGAATCGCGACCCATCTGTTAAGGTAAGAAGCGTTACCAGAACTGAATCGCGAACCATCTGTTAAGGTAAGAACGTTACCAGAACTGAATCGCGACCTCTCTGTTAAGGTAAGAACGTCACCAGAACTGAATCGCGAACCATCTGTTAAGGTAAGAATGTCACCAGAACTGAATCGCGACCTCTCTGTTAAGGTAAGAACGTTACCAGAACTGAATCGCGACCCTCTGTTAAGGTAAGAACGTTACCAGAACTGAATCGCGACCCATCTGTCAAGGTAAGGAGCGTTACCAGAACTGAATCGCGACCCATCTGTTAAGGTAAGAACGTTACCAGAACTGAATCGCGACCTCTCTGTTAAGGTAAGAACGTTACCAGAACTGAATCGCGACCCATCTGTTAAGGTAAGAACGTCACCAGAACTGAATCGCGACCCATCTGTTAAGGTAAGAACGTCACCAGAACTGAATCGCGACCTCTCTGTTAAGGTAAGAACGTCACCAGAACTGAATCGCGACCCATCTGTTAAGGTAAGAACGTTACCAGAACTGAATCGCGACCCATCTGTTAAGGTAAGAACGTTACCAGAACTGAATCGCGACCCATCTGTTAAGGTAAGAACGTTACCAGAACTGAATCGCGACCTCTGTTAAGGTAAGAACGTCACCAGAACTGAATCGCGACCCATCTGTTAAGGTAAGAACGTCACCAGAACTGAATCGCGACCCATCTGTTAAGGTAAGAACGTTACCAGAACTGAATCGCGACCTCTCTGTTAAGGTAAGAACGTTACCAGAACTGAATCGCGACCCATCTGTTAAGGTAAGAACGTCACCAGAACTGAATCGCGACCCCTCTGTTAAGGTAAGAACGTCACCAGAACTGAATCGTGACCCATCTGTTAAGGTAAGAACGTCACCAGAACTGAATCGCTATAAATCACCATCTGTTAAGGTAAGAACGCCACCAGAACTGAATCATGACCCATCTGTTAAGGTAAGAACGCCACCAGAACTGAATCGCGAATTCTCTGTTAAGGTAAGAACGCCACCAGAACTGAATCGCGACCCATCTGTTAAGGTAAGAACGTCACCAGAACTGAATCGCGATCCATCTGTTAAGGTAAGAACGCTACCAGAACTGAATCGCGACGACCTCTGTTAAGGTAAGAACGCTCACCAGAACTGAATCGCGACCCATCTGTTAAGGTAAGAACGTTACCAGAACTGAATCGCTTTACCTCTCTGTTGGTAAGAACGCCACCAGAACTGAATCGCGAACCCATCTGTTAAGGTAAGAACGTCACCAGAACTGAATCGCGACCCATCTGTTAAGGTAAGAACGTCACCAGAACTGAATCGCGACCTCTCTGTTAAGGTAAGAACGTCACCAGAACTGAATCGCGACCCATCTGTTAAGGTAAGAACGTTACCAGAACTGAATCGCGACCCATCTGTTAAGGTAAGGAGCGTTACCAGAGCTGAATCGCGACCCATCTGTTAAGGTAAGGAGCGTTACCAGAACTGAGTCTATATTGTGTATCATCTGAACCAAGTATCGTAGACAATGCCGGGACGTGGAATTGTCTATCTGGCTGACCTGAATTTTCACTATAAAATCCCATCTAAGACCCAAGTGGGCTGCCGCATGTTGTCCGATGTCGAATCTGGTTCGTCCGAAGTCAAGGGCGTGTATCTACGCTGGCTTTGTTGACACATGTCATCGGTTCCAAATTGCGCAGGTCGATGCTCATGCCGTTGATCACTGGGTTGCCTGGTCCAGACTCGATTATTTACAGACCACCGCCATATACCTGGAATATTGCTGAGTGCGGCGTAAAACTAAACTCACTCACTCATTCGTGCGGCTGTAGCTAGTGCAGCGAGAAATAGCGTCTCAACTCAAATGTAGTCTTTTCTCAGTACATGACTGAGCTGATTGCCGCTGAGTATGTTGGGAGAGAGAGTAGATCCCTTTAGGTGTCTAGTTGCCCTCAAATGACATAAGCATTCGGCCTTCACAGCTGAAAATCCCCTATGCGTAGCAAAATGGTCAAAGCCTTTCCATTTATCATCGTAGAGGTTCCGAGTCGATCGTCTGAAGGCCAGTGTAACTGCCTTAACTGCTCTAGTGGAATATCCTCTTTTCTTCAAGCCGTGCGTAATACGTTCCATGCGTGAAGTTGGAATCCCGTTGGATTGCCATGAGGAAGCCTTGTGTGAGGATGGATCAGTAGATTCGGCCAGTCTGGTAGGCACAGCGTTGGTTCTCCTATGAACTGTATTAGGTCTGGAAACCAGGTTCTCGCTAGCCAGGATGGCACGACCAAAATTAGTCTTAGTAATTTGGTCTGAGCGATTTTTAGTAAAATTTGTGGTAACAGGATCGTTGGTGGAAATTCTTACATGTTCAGTCCTTCCCATGAAATCGTTAGTGCGTCAAGAGCCCAGGCTTGAGGGTCTGGTACTGGTGAGACGTACGTCGTAACCTGGTGATTGAAGCGTGTTGCTAATAGATCTGTGAGAGGACGGCCTTGGTCTACTGTCAGTAGTTGGAATGCCGCAGGGAGTAACATCCACTCTGTGGGTGACGGGTGGAGTGGTCTGGATAGGGCGTCGGCTAACACGTTCTTTGCTCCTGGAATGTGGAAGGCCTTCATCCGTCCTTCGACCTTCGTCCGCTAAGTTGAAAAGCTGGAATGTCAGTTCTAGTAGCGTCGATGATCTTGTTGAGCCTTGTAGATTTATGTAGAAGGCTACTGTCGAGTTGTGTATGTGTATCATGAGGAACTGATTCTTTTATAGCTGTGCCCAATGTTGGACTGCTTTTATGACCGCCCTGAATTCCTGTTTGTTTATGTGCAAGGATCTCTTCCAGCGACCAAATCCCTGATGCGGTTTCTTCGTTGCAATGCGTTCCCCATCCCTGTAGAGATGCATCCCAGAAGAGATGAAGATTGTACGCCGGCTCTTGCAAGTAAGTTCCGCCGTAGACATTCGACTTCGTCCATCATAATAGGTACAACTTCAGGTGCTGAGGTATGGAGATCTTCTGCTGACTAAAGAGAGCGGTCTCAGGTGTAGTCTTCCTCTGAGCGTGAGAGCATGAACTGACGTGAGGACGTGTAATATACATTGCCACATTCTTATCGGTAGTGAGCCGTTGAGAGCGGCTGGAATACCCGCTTGTATTTCTGCCCATCGATCTTCCAGAACGTTGATGTTATTCTGCATGGTCTGGAATCTGACGCTCAGAAACTGTATGTCCTGTGATGGCTCTATTTCCGATTACATTTGATTGACTAGCCAGGCTAGCTGAGTTAGTAAACTGATCGTAAACTGTAGTTGATGTCTCAGTTGATCTATTAATTGATGAGCTTGAATCCCGTTGTCCAGATAAATGGCACTGTGAAGTCCTTGTTGATGAAGACACCCGACAATAGCCACAGGGCCCAGGAAATTCCAAAGGGGAGGACCTTCCACTGATAGTGCTGTCCTTGATACAGGGATCGTGAGTATTTCCTAGACGCTGGATGCATCGGGATTTGCAGGTAAGCGTCTTGCAGATCTATGCTGGCTATGAGATGATGCAGTTGAGGTAAGTGCAGCATCTTGAATTTGTCTGGTTTCAGTAGATAAGATGGATGATTGTAGATGAGATGGAACTTCTCGTTGGAGTTCTTCTTTTGGTACAAGGAAAATTGGAGAATAAAAGCCCGGTGAGAGGTTGTGTTGATCCAAGATCTCTACGGCATTCTTTATTAATAAGGAGTCGATGGCCTCTGTAAACTTGCTGCGTTGTGGCTCGGGGTAATGATGTACCTGTGAGGTGACAGTAAGCAGAAGCATTGCCTTGAGCTGAATTCTGTATCCCTCTCATAAAATCTCCATAATGTAGTCATTGCCTAGTATTCTCCAGCTCTCCCAGTAGCCGCCCAGACGTCCACCCACTGTTGACGGTTGTAGATGAATGGTTGGGGGTGGGACGAACCAGTCGTCCCAAACCTGATCTGTAGGAACGCCTTCTGCCAGAAAATCCTCCGGAGTTATAGAATGAGTGACGAAAAGAAACTGACTTGCCACCCCCAACCGTGGGATATTTCTTTCCCGTGGTAAATTCACGACCAAAACTGGTTACGCTGTGACGGATGACGATTTGTGTAAGTCATGGTCTGCGTAGATTTAATTATCATCTGATCCTTAGAGTCTTGTAATACCTCTCTGGACTCTGTCTAATGGGGACGCCCATGGTTAAAGTAGTAATGGTTTAGTATGTAAGTCTGACCATGAACACGATGATAGGAGACGTAGAAGCATAATCCCCGCTGATGGAGATGCCAAGTAATCCGAGATAAACTCTTCATCCTTTTGAGTGGCATTAAGGGTTGGCAAAACCATCCGTTCTTGTTCCGACTCTTGTATGCAGCCTTTGATTCCTAGTAGCTTTCAGATTCCTGAGATATTGGTTTGATCGGCGGGATGGTGATAAGAGTCAAAACCCTCATCCTGTATGCAGTATCTATTCGCTGGATCGGAGTCCCGAGTAGGTGAAGATATTGGCAGACCATCAGCAATCCAGGATAGTACCTCCGACGTTGTTGTAGATAAAGGAGTTTGATTCCTCTTCAACCTCTTCTTCTACTATAGGGGCTATCTCCGGAGTAGGGTTCGCAAACCCTGTAGAGGGCGTGGCTCTGGTAGTTGACGTTCAGTAGTTAATCGTGGCTCCATCACCTGGATAACCTTGCCCGTAATGTTGTCTACGAAGTCATCAGGGTTGAAGGCTTGCGTAGTAGGCTGATGACGATGTACCATCTCAGGAGGTTTGTGAAACTGGCTGGATGACATCGGTGGTAAGGTAGCGTTTGCAAACGCTAGCGGGTTGTCCATAGTCTGCTGATGATAACTATCAGTTGATTGCCTCGGAGGATTCGCGACCTGTGCATGTCTGCGATGACGTTAGCTGCCTGTTGCTCTGAGGGTTTGCAACCCTGATGACATCGTAGAGGCACTGTAAGGAGTGGTCTGCCTGAACATCTTTTACCTAGAAGACTGTGATGTCGATCCCTCCCTTGGAGGGGACTTCCTCCTAGATAGAAACTGCCATGTCTGAGTTCACATCTAGTGACCCCGATACATTAACAGATGTATTCATAGATGACATATAATCATGCCAATAATGGTTGTCATCCCCCTCCCCAGCCCAACCACCAACACACCTCACACCCCCACCCCACACCCCCTCTCCAATATAAAAAAACAATTGAAGGGGGTGACAACCATTATTGGCAGGAGTATATTATGACTTTTACCAATAGGTAGTAAAGACAGCAACTCACGATTTGATGACTGATAACCAACCCTCCCAGCGTAGCTTTTGTTATCACGCCGTTCCTTGTCTAACTTCTTGCGTAAACAAGACAACAAATATTTATGAAAATCAACTGCACTAATTTGGATAAGTGTCTAAATATATAAAGGATATGAAGCCGTAAAAGGGACCCGAAGTATCCGACCAACACTCCGCTTGGGGAGGAAGGAGAGAGTGACAAGAGCATGGCAATGTGCCGATCACGTGGGACACCACTGGCGGGAATGGTGAAGGGGAGGCAACCCGAATGGGTGAGTGATTTTACGTGTGCTTCAGGGAGCAAAGGGATTCAAGTTTCCACAACCGTTCGAAGGAAAAGGGAGATAATCATATAGCGAGTCAGGATAAGCAAAAATTCAATATATAGTAGACAACATGATACACAGTTATCGCCGGTGAAATGGTACCTGGCAGAATGTCCTTGCTACGGTTTTTCCGCGAGTTTTCTGACAGAAGAGCTCCCTCAGTTTCAGAGGCATTTAATTCTCCCTTCAGTTCAACGAGTTTCTGAAACAATGTAAGCACGATACACAGCCAGGTCACACATGAGGTACAAGGACCCGGTCTACAGGTGTGGGGGTAATGTATAACATGATACACAGCCAGATCACACATGAGGTACAAGGATCTGGTCTACAGGGTAAGCTAGATTTTACATCTTTTATCGTAAGGACAAAAAGTAATATTTGTTTTTGTCTTTGGTTGTCATTATTCAGACACGGTATGGCAATAATATCCATCTCGGATTTTAGGGATATCACAGGGCACTTAAATGTCTGGGGAACGCGTTACAAAACAAATCCAATGTCATGCACACAATTTCAAAACATTCTTTAACAGGAAGTCGAAATGGCTATTGTTCCCAAGAGCCATTCACTATGGTGAATGGACGTCTCTTTGCAAACCCAAAGCCCTCACGCTAGTATATGTTGCAGATGTTGGTGTACCTTAAAGGCAACACATTACCTCCCATTCTTTTTCAAGATGGCTTCTTCTGAAGCCGAAGCAAGGTTGTCGGTGCAGAACCGGCTGTCAAACATGGTGGGTGTCATGTGTGTCATGTCGCTGTACAGCGCCTCCAGCACCACCTGGTGGAGAAACAGGTACTGTTCCTGGGGGCAGAAATCAACACTTAACCGTAGTGTAATAAAAATTGAGGAAGACATGTTTGGGGAAACTGACATTATATAATAGTGCTATGTTTCGAATAGGTGTCAAGCAGACACGTCTTTGGTGAATCAATCATTATCGTGATGACCATGAAGAATGTTGCTTTATTTACACCCTTTGACAAATGATGTACATGTGGTTAAGGCCAATAATATTTTGTGAAGTTTGACTAATATTCTGAATTCACACTTCCACTGACTATCAGCAATACTTAGGGCCACCACGGCTATCTCACCTTTGTTTGCACCATGCTGACCCGGTCTGCTCTCATCTTGAGGACAAATTCGTGGACGTCCACCACTCCCTCCCGTCGAGCTCGCTCCATCAGGGCCTCCAGAGCAATAAATGTCCCTGTTCTCCCAACTCCAGCACTGGAAATATACATATTTCCGAGGGAGACGGTATACAATGTACCTTACGTGAGTATCATTAATGTAGTTGGTGTTGTGCATCACTAACATTGGAAATCTTAAATAATCGAATTCACCACGGAACAATCTCAGTGACACAGTCTGGACAACGACAACATAAGATGGCCGAGCAAGCCAAGGTGGATGCCAGTCCAGGCCTATCGTAGTCTGACGACGTTTATTTCATGACTCGTGTGTGCGATAGAAGTGGCTCATTTCAGCATGGTGTAAAACAGAGAGATGATGAAAGAAATCATTATTGATAGTCAACCAAGAATGTATATATCCCCCTCGAATATCTGCTAACTGAAATAGCCCCCAGGCGTTCATATCATTCAAGGTGGGTATGGTGTTTTTTCTTCGCACACACGCGCACACACACATAGAATATGACCATATGATCCTTTTTTTAAATAGGTCATGTTGATAAGAAGAGGTAGGTGAAATTGGCAACCTGCAGTGGACAACGACGGGAGCCTTGCTGTCAGCCGCCATGGACCGGAACACCTTCCAGAACCGGACGAGCGGAGGGGATGATGGGACGCCATGATCAGGCCACGTGACATAGTGCAGGTGCATCACTTGACGGCGTTCGTTCAGCTATAACGGAAAGTAAGCTTCGTATTCAGAGAACATATCTCCTTGAATGGACACTGAACTCCTCTGCGCGCATGTATATGTATGAGTGAGTGTTAAGCTCAGATCCAAATGTGTGGGGGTGATGTATAACATGATACACAGCCAGGTCACACATGAGGTACAAGGACCTGGTCTACAGGGGTGGGGCTGATGTATAACATGATACACAGCCAGGTCACACATGAGGTACAAGGACCTGGTCTACAGGGGTGGGGTGATGTATAACATGATACACAGCCAGGTCACACATGAGGTACAAGGACCCGGTCTACAGGGGTGGGGTGATGTATAACATGATACACAGCCAGGTCACACATGAGGTACAAGGACCTGGTGGGGTGATGTATAACATGATACACAGCCAGGTCACACATGAGGTACAAGGACCCGGTCTACAGGGGTGGGGATGATGTATAACATGATACACAGCCAGGTCACACATGAGGTACAAGGACCTGGTCTACAGGGGTGGGGGTGATGTATAACATGATACACAGCCAGGTCACACATGAGGTACAAGGACCTGGTCTACAGGGGTGGGGTGATGTATAACATGATACACAGCCAGGTCACACATGAGGTACAAGGACCTGGTCTACAGGGGTGGGGTGATGTATAACATGATACACAGCCAGGTCCACACATGAGGTACAAGGACCTGGTCTACAGGGGTGAGGTAATGTATCACATGCTAAACAGCCAGGTCACACATGAGGTACAAGGACCTGGTCTACAGGGGTGGGGTGATGTATAACATGATACACAGCCAGGTCATACATGAGGTACAAGGACCTGGTCTACAGGTGTGGGGTAATGTATAACATGATACACACAGTCAGGTCACACATGAGGTACAAGGACCTGGGGGGTGGGGTGATGTATAACATGATACACAGTCAGGTCACACATGAGGTACAAGGACCTGGTCTACAGGGGTGGGGTGATGTATAACATGATACACAGCCAGGTCATACATGAGGTACAAGGACCTGGTCTACAGGTGTGGGGTGATGTATAACATGATACACAGTCAGGTCACACATGAGGTACAAGGACCTGGTCTACAGGGGGTGGGGTGATGTATAACATGATACACAGTCAGGTCATACATGAGGTACAAGGACCTGGTCTACCGGTGTGGGGTGATGTATAACATGATACACTAGGTCATACATGAGGTACAAGGACCTGGTCTACAGGTGTGGGGTGATGTATCACATGATACACAGCCAGGTCATACATGAGGTACAAGGACCTGGTCTACCGGGGTGGGGTGATGTATAACACATGATACACAGTCAGGTCATACATGAGGTACAAGGACCTGGTCTACCGGTGTGGGGGTGATGTATAACATGATACACAGTCAGGTCATACATGAGGTACAAGGACCTGGTCTACCGGTGTGGGGTAATGTATAACATGATACACAGTTAGGTCACACATGAGGTTCAAGGACCTGTTCTACCGGTGTGGGGTAATGTATAGCACGATAGACAATCAAGTCACACATGAGGTACAAGGACCTGGTCTACAGGGGTGGGGTAATGTATAGCACGATAGACAATCAAGTCACACATGAGGTTCAAGGACCTGTTCTACCGGTGTGGGGTAATGTATAGCACGATAGACAATCAAGTCACACATGAGGTAGAAGGATCTGGTTTTACAGGGTTCTGGTGATGTATAACATGGTAATCTGCCAGGTCAGATATTGCAAGGATCCATCCCGCCCAGAGTATCCCCTAGTCATTGTGAACAGTATATAAGAACCAGATGTGATATATACTACCCATCAAAAGTTAAAACTTACTTAAAGCACCCGCTACATGTTATGTATATAATTTGGTTACATCAAAGATGAATTTCTACACTAACTTGGGGGAACCAACTGCAAACATTATGCAAATGAGCTCCATGAGGATCATGCATCAAATTGCTGAAAAGCATGTGCAAATATCGTGCGTGTGAACAGCTACGTTTTGGTGTAAAGTTTTGTTAAGAATTCGCAAATTTTCACTCAGTTTCATCACTTATTGAACTCATGACAATAATCTTTTCAATATTACGAGTTTGTTTTACAATACTCCAGTTCATGTGTAAACAGTACCTATAAATAGTATGGAATATTTTGCAAAATCTAGTTTAGAACAGTTGACTGAAGTAGGTGGCTACATTTACACTAATGAGTCTAAACTTTTAATGGGTAGTATGAACCTTCTTGTGCTGTATGGTAATCTGTGTGATGCAGTAGTCCGGTCTCTCAGTGACCCCGTCGTTGGTGATGGTCAGGTCTCCAAGTTTCAGTGGACTCTTCTCCTCCGGCCAGTACTTCTCACACTTCACCTGGACATACATAAACAGTGAGCTCACAACAACATACATAAACACAACGACCATTCAACAACATACATAAACACATACAACAACATACAACAACATACATAAAACACCGACCTTCACAACAACATACATAAACACCGACCTTCACAACAACATACATAAACACCGAGCTCTCACAACAACATACTAAACACTGACCATTCACAACAACCATACATAAACACCGACCTTCACAACAACATACATAAACACCGACCTTCACAACAACATACATAAACACCGACCTTCACAACAACATACATAAACACCGACCTTCACAACAACATACATACATAAACACCGACCTTCACAACAACATACATAAACACCGACCTTCACAACAACATAAACACATCACAACAACACACATAAACACCGACCTTCACAACAACATACATAAACACCGACCTCACAACAACATACATAAACACCGACCTTCACAACAACATACATAAACACCGACCTTCTTCACAACAACATACATAAACACCGACCTTCACAACAACAACATACATAAACACCGACCTTCACACAACAACATACATAAACACCGACCTTCACAACAACATACATAAACACCGACCTTCACAACAACCGATACATAAACACCGACCTTCACAACAACACATACATAAACACCGACCTTCACAACAACATACATAAACACCGACCTTCACAACAAACATACATAAACACCGACCTTCACAACAACATACATAAACACCGACCTTCACAACAACATACATAAACACCGACCTTCACAACAACATACATAAACACCGACCTTCACAACAACATACATAAACACGACGACATACATAAACACCACAACAACATACATAAACACCGACCTTCACAACAACATACATAAACACCGACCTTCACAACAACATACATAAACACCGACCTTCACAACAACATACATAAACACCGACCTTCACAACAACATACACAACACCAACATAAACATACATAAACACCGACCTTCACAACAACATACATAAACACCGACATACATTCACAACAACATACATAAACACCGACCTTCACAACAACATACATAAACACCGACCTTCAACAATATATAAAACGATCACAACAACATAAACACCGACCTTCACAACAACATACATAAACACCGACCTTCACAACAACATACATAAACACCGACCTTCACAACAACATACATAAACACCGACCTTCACAACAACAATAAAACATCACAACAACATACATAAACACCGACCTTCACAACAACATACATAAACACCGACCTTCACAACAACATACATAAACACCGACCTTCACAACAACATACATAAACACACCGACCTTCACAACAACATACATAATAAACACCGACATTACATAAACACAACAACATACATAAACACCGACCTTCACAACAACATATACACATAAACACCGACCTTCACAACAACATACACATAAACACCGACCTTCACAACAACATCACAACAACATACATAAACACCGACCTTCACAACAACATACATAAACACCGACCTTCACATAAACAACAATACATAAACACCGACCTTCACAACAACAACATACATAAACAACCGACATTCACAACAACAACATACATAAACACCGACCTTCACAACAACATACATAAACACCGACCTTCACAACAACATACATAAACACCGACCTTCACAACAACATACATAAACACCGACCTTCACAACAACATACATAAACACCGACCTTCACAACAACATACATAAACACCGACCTTCACAACAACATACATAAACACCGACCTTCACAACAACATACATAAACACCGACCTTCACAACAACATACATAAACACCGACCTTCACAACAACATACATAAACACATAAACCTTCACAACAACATACATAAACACCGACCTTAACAACATACATAAACACCGACATACATAAACACCGACCTTCACAACAACATACATAAACACCGAGCTCACAACAACATACATAAACACCGACCTTCACAACAACATACATAAACACCGAGCTCACAACAACATACACATATCCAATGACATTAACAACAACATGCACATTTGAAGAAGAACACGTTTTATGGATAGAAAACTTTATTGCAATATATGAGATGTTTCTGGCTAGATCTTAACACTGTTATCAAGCAAATGATACACACACACATGGCGAAATATATATATATGAAGAGTATTTGAATTTATACAATTAAAGAGGTTGGTGTTCAATAACAGCGATTTGAAACTATGATCGTTTGTTAAACAACTTTCATCCTGAGTTGAATAAAATTCTCAGATTTAAATGTTCATTTGGCAAGGTAAAATTATGAGGATTCGCAATCTTATTTTCACTTTATTTGATTTACTTTTTTATCTAATGTGAAATTCATAGTTGATCGTAAGCTAACATATTCAAAGAGATTCATATCAACACACACACAAACACATTCACAGAAGCACACACAGACATTCTCAGTTGGTAACCCAGCTATACACCTCCTAGTACGTCGCACAGTATGTCTCATTGTCTGCTTCGAAAGACTCACGTCCACCATTACATGATATAACAAGAAGACATGGTCATCAATATCCCCCACCAGAGTTCTGTTCCTATTTGGTTCCTGTTCCTTAACTCCACCACAACATTCATGTCCTGAAAACACATACCACATTTGGCTTCCCTATCTGTAACGGTTACTGAGAAAATCTGAGCCATTGGGGATCAGTTCAAGAAACGCAGGACAAGGGCCATAACTCTGTCACGAATTGTAACACGATTTCCGTTTTAGAACACCATCAAGGCATTCATGACCTGAAAACACATACCAAATTTGATTTCCCTGTCTATAACGGGTTTTGAGAAATTCTGTCATCATCATCGGACGGACGGAGCTCAAACCAATATCCCCCTCCCACTTCGTGGCGGGGAATAATGGTATATTTGATCAATTACTTGAATCATACAGATGAGAAGAAATTGACATTTAGATGTTTGAGGAGCAGTATCACCTTGATTCCCTCCTTGAGTCTGGTGAGCATGACGATGATGTCGGTCTCCTCCTGCCAGATCATCCTCCAGAAGTCGCCCACAGTCTTGGGCATTGGGCCTTGTGAACACACATAACACTGTTACTGTCGATGGCATAAAAAGTTCAAACAAGACATTCTTACGGTCCCATTACAGTGAATTATATCCCAGGACAACGTATTGACGTAACTGAATAAACTGGGGTCGCAATTTAAGTTAAGGTTATCATTAAGATAAATTTTATGAAAATTTAATATATTTTCAAAATTATCCGACAGGTTGGTGAAATAAACCCGACATATCTCCAGCATTTGTATTACAGAACACATCAGTAAGGACAGGTGGTTAAAACCTTACCTTGGGTTGCAATAAAGGCCTTCTTCTCCTTGTAGGTCTGTTGACAAGTGTCCAAACATTATAATTTAGACTGTACTTTCAACCCTCTCAGTGACTCTCGTATTGAGCAGGATCAGTGTTACCTTAGTTACTATTTTGTTTCAGGTTTTAGTGACTAATGTGAAGAAATGACTCATGAAGTAATCAACATGTCAGCTCAGGACGCTATGTTCATCTGGTTGAGGGACAAACACTGGCTCTGAAAGGTCCTTACAAACAATGAGGGTATAATCCATAAAGGCGTTACATGTTCATGTTCTTCTAACGTCTAAATCCCTATAAGAGACACATTGATTTATAACAGTAAATGCAACCTGTTTAAACCCAAACGCAACTATCTATACGTCGATACCACATCACATACCAGGTCACTTATTCCTTGAGACATTTCAGACATTGGAGATATGTAATGCGCAAGCGTTAAGGATAAGACAGACATACGTTGATGTAGTTGGCGTTGATGTAGTCGGAGTGCTTGTCCCTAGGCGTCTTCTGCAGGACAACGCGGGAGTGGTCATCTGGAAAAGAGATCATTACAAAGTGAATCGGTATTATTTTACGCCGCTTTTAGCAATATTCCAGCAATATCACGGCGGGGGACACCAGAAATGGGTTCACATGGGGAATCGATTCATGGGGAATCGAAGCTGGGTTTTCGGCGTGACGAGCGAACTCTTTAACCTCTAGGCTGCCCCACCGCCCGATCATTACATACGGACCTACTGTTTGACTTTATTGCTACTGTTAAACTGAAAAGCATCAGAGGTTTCGTACACGTGAAAGGTCAATATTAATTTTCGTGGTATTTCACAGTATATACCGTCCACCGTTAAACAAATTAAAAGCGAGCTCGTACAGGGATACATGGCTTTGAATCTGTTCTTGGGCCTGTGTTCTGGGGTGGTGGCAGCTGTGTGAGGGTGGAGCAGACCTCGAGGCACTCTCTGGAAATATAGACACATAGTAACTACTTCTTCCTTAAACGTCATAGGCACTATATCACACCACGCTTTCTAAAATAAAAATAAATAACGTATTACTCTCAATAATACTAACCATCAGCTCTCAGGGAAGCTACCATATATTTTATTCCTCAGGGAAGCTACCAAATTTTATTCCCTCCCCGTATTTTGATTACAATATTAAATTAAAAAGTTCGACTGAATTAATGCAAAGTTGCAATAAATCGACTCTCACGCCCTCTACCGGCCGAACATTATTTCAAGCGAACCCCCATATAGTTATGTCCCTTGGGGCGCTCTTTACGAATATCCTAAGCACAACTTGTGATTGAAACCAGTTTGGCAAACACCGACAACACCGCGTACCACTTTACATTCCATATATGGCAAGTGTTCTCTGTTTGGAAGCTGTTCGCCTTGAACTTTCAATCATCGATTTCAGGCAAGCCGTTAGGGATAAGTCTTTTATTGCATCAATATGAAGCTAAAGAGAGTCCATATGCTCAAATATATACTCATCGCAAAAAGTTAAGCAACACAAATTTGTAGTCTCATTACATTTTCATTGATTGAAATTGCAAATCTTGGAATGATGCAATAGAAATGTGAAACATATGTACACACGATTAGCAAAATGAAATGATATTGAGCAATAATCGACTTACGAATCATCAAAAGCATGTACCCGTGAAAGAGTTGTGTACAATGTGCTGCATTGATGGAATAAAATGTTAACATTAAGGTTCAAGTCAGTTTTGGACAGTGAAGCAGTGTTCAGTAAAGCGTATGACCGCCATGAGCACAAATGCAGGCTTCTACACGTCTTTGCATTGACCAAATGAACCTTTAAAGTTGATGTTGTGGAATGTTCTGCCGTTATCTCTGTAACGCCTGCTCAAGGTCATCCAGAGTCTGGGGGTGAACATTGAGACCGTGAACACGACTTCCAATAATGTCCCAAGCATGTTCAATGGGATTAAGGTCAAGTGATCTTGCAGGCCAGTACATATGTGTGACGTTATTGATCTAAACAACATCGTTAACAACTCTTTCTCGGGCACTATCATCCATGGACGGGCATTATCATCCATAAAATTGAAGTTAGAATCCGCTTGTTGTACCAGAGGAATGATTACAGGTAGGTTTACACCGATCAGGGTGCATGTGTGAAGAGTGGAGCACATTCATGCCACACATTTCGCATGTTCTTTCTGAGGGTGGTTGTGTTTCGGTGATGTTGTCAGTGTTATCAGATAAATCAATTTGACAGTCCCTAAAGGTTATGTATTCTTTGAATATTTACCTTTCAGTAACACTGAAATTACACTGAAAATACTTGTTGCTTATTTTTTGTGAGGAGTATATATAATATAGACCAAAATATTGTCGAAAATGTGTGACATTGTGCCTTTAAGCTACAGTATATGGAATATATACAGATGTACGATAAAAAAACGACGTGCACCAATACGTACGCAGCTTCAAAAACGAAGCCATCAATATTTGAGATGTAGTTTGGACATTGTCTGTGACGGGACAGATGCAGCATGAAGGTACCCACATTACATTATGGAAATACTCAAATGCTCTTCGAGTATTTTGGACACATTATGTCTTATATATTTGGAGCAAAGTAAATGTCGTTTTTTAGGAGGAAATATACGCCACTACTGTTCACCAGAAGGATATATAAAAGACACCTTACTGTAGAAATAATTAAATAAAAAAAGGTACAATTCTACGTACCCCATACTCGGACACAAACTTGTCTTCTCTCTTGGCGATGTATTCTCGAAGCTCAGCTACCTTCACCTTGGTCAGTTCCACGTTGACATAAATGCCGTCTGCATCCCCTTCATCCGACACGGCCCCTTCACCTAAGGAATCACAGAATATCACTGCTGCCGCTATCTATAGGATAGTGGCTGATCAGGAAATATTTTGGGTTTACCTTCTAGCAGTGACTACCCGTGAAGATCCGGGGTAGAATAGGTCTTCAGCAACCCGTGCTTGCCACAAAAGGCGACTATGCGTGTCGTAAGAGGCAACTAACGGGATCAAGTGGTCAGGCTCGTTGATTTGGTTGACACATGTCATCGGTTCCAATTGCGCAGATCGATGTTCATGATGTTGATCACTGGATTGTCTGGTCCAGACTCTATTATTTACAGACCGCCGCCATATAGCTGGAATATTGCTGAGTGCAGCGTAAAACTAAACTCACTCGCTCATTCTAGCAGTGACAACATGCAGTCCAAGTTTGATCCATGCGGTTGGTGACCGCCTCCGTGGTGTAGTGGTTAGAGCGTCCGCCCGGAGAGCGGAAGATCGCGGGTTCGATCCCTGACCGCGTCATACCAAAAGATGTTAAAATATGGTACTTGTTGGTCCCTGTCTGGCGCTCGGCATTAATGGGTACAACAAACACTGGTCGGCTCGGAGTCAGTATAATGTGACTGAGTGGGGTATTCATGCTTCACTGCGGCATGGTATCTCAGTGGGCTAGCACTATAAAACCAGCTTAAGTCAGGGCTAGTACAAGCAGCCACACATACACATACACACGCATGCACGTCGTCATATGAGCGAAACATTATCAAGCACGACGTTAAACTCAATTTCACCTCACCTCACCATGCGGTTGGTTGTTTTCTAAAGCTGCACTGACGGCGGTCTGTATACAATCGAGTCTGGACCAGACAATCCAGAGATCAACATCATAAGCATCGATCTGAGCAACTGGGATACAATGACATGTGTCAACCAAGTCAGCGAGCCTGACCACCCGGTCTCGTAAGTCGCCTCTTATAACAAGCATGAGTGGCTGAATCCGAATCTTCGCGGGTCCTGGTCCATGGGGCATCAAATGGATGTCAGAAGGTGACCAATAACATGCGGAGAAATACATTAACCCTTGGCCATAAAGACAATGAGTGGACAATAAGTGGAAAGTGAGCCCAGTGCCTGGATGAAGAACCAGTGATCTACACAAGAGTCAAATTCATCACCATTTCAATCCATGTAAATGTGAACTGGTGCATCGGGACAGGGTCTATTACATCAGTATTGGTATGGAATGGCCCTTACTGTGAGACTCAACATTATATATAACTTTATTCAGTAGAAAGGCCACAGGCCCATGTACAATATCTATTACAATACTAAAGGTATGATGTGCACAACAACTAGAACATATTTTTATAATATATATTCACAATAATAATGCGCTACATCGCATAAACGCTTCCTTAACCAATTTGCATAAATCTATTTTCATTTTGAAGAAGGCGAATGATAGAATTTCTATCTTTACAGTCAATATTTAACATGTATTCTGTTCTTAAATCATCATATTGTGGGCAAATAAACATAAAATGAACCTCATCTTCTAAAATGTTCTTACAAAATGGACAAAATCTTAATTCTCTTGGGATATTATTTCTTCTACCTGTATTCTTCATAATATTTAATTCACCGAATCTTAAAAGTGATAAAAACCTTCTTAAATCTTTGTTATATAATGTTGACAACTATGATTCCATATTAAACGTACTTTTGACACATGAATAGAACTCTAAATTAGAATGTTCATTTAACTTAGAAACTATACACTGGATGTTTTAAATATTTAACTCATTGAGAAAACTGTTTAAAAAATAGCATTGCCCACATAAAGCTAATAAATAACTTTGTCACCATGACGCATAACAGGTATTTATACAGTTACGTGACTATAGTCAGAGGTCCAGGACACATTCATCAGGGCTGTACGGGGTATTTATACCGTTACATCACTATAGTCAGAGGTTCAAGACACATTCATCAGGGCTGTACGAGGTATTTATACAGTTACATGACTAACGTCAGAGGTTCAGGACACATTCATCAGGGCTGTACGAGGTATTTATACAGTTACATGACTATAGTCAGAGGTTCAGGACACATTCATCAGGGCTGTACGGGGTATTTATACCGTTACATCACTATAGTCAGAGGTTCAGGACACATTCATCAGGGCTGTACGAGGTATTTATACTGTTACATGACTAACGTCAGAGGTTCAGGACACATTCATCAGGGCTGTACGAGGTATTTATACTGTTACATGACTAACGTCAGAGGTTTAGGACACATTCATCAGGGCTGTACGAGGTATTTATACTGTTACATGACTAACGTCAGAGGTTCAGGACACATTCATCAGGGCTGTACGGGGTATTTATACAGTTACGTGACTATAGTCAGAGGTCCAGGACACATTCATCAGGGCTGTACGGGGTATTTATACCGTTACATCACTATAGTCAGCGGTTCAAGACACATTCATCAGGGCTGTACGAGGTATTTATACTGTTACATGACTAACGTCAGAGGTTCAGGACACATTCATCAGGGCTGTACGAGGTAATTATACTGTTACATGACTAACGTCAGAGGTTTAGGACACATTCATCAGGGCTGTGCGAGGTATTTATACTCTTACATGACTATAGTCAGAGGTTTAGGACACATTCATCAGGGCTGTACGAGGTATTTATACTCTTACATGACTAACGTCAGAGGTTTAGGACACATTCATCAGGGCTGTACGAGGTATTTATACTGTTACATGACTAACGTCAGAGGTTCAGGACACATTCATCAGGGCTGTACGGGGTATTTATACTGTTACGTGACTATAGTCAGAGGTCCAGGACACATTCATCAGGGCTGTACGGGGTATTTATACCGTTACATCACTATAGTCAGCGGTTCAAGACACATTCATCAGGGCTGTACGAGGTAATTATACTGTTACGTGACTAACGTCAGAGGCTCAGGACACATTCATCAGGGCTGTACGAGGTAATTATACTGTTACATGACTAACGTCAGAGGTTTAGGACGCATTCATCAGGGCTGTACGAGGTATTTATACTCTTACATGACTATAGTCAGAGGTTTAGGACACATTCATCAGGGGTACACATTCATCAGGGCTGTACGAGGTATTTATACTGTTACATGACTAACGTCAGAGGTTTAGGACGCATTCATCAGGGCTGTACGAGGTATTTATACTGTTACACGACTATAGTCAGAGGTTTAGGACACATTCATCAGGGCTGTACGAGGTATTTATACTCTTACATGACTAACGTCAGAGGTTCAGGACACATTCATCAGGGCTGTACGAGGTATTCATACTGTTACATCACTAACTGTCGGAGGTTTAGGACGCATTCATCAGGGCTGTTCGAGGTATTTATACTCTTACATGACTAACGTCAGAGGTTCAGGACACATTCATCAGGGCTGTACGAGGTATTTATACTGTTACATGACTAACGTCAGAGGTTCAGGACACATTCATCAGGGCTGTACGAGGTATTTATACTGTTACATGACTAACGTCAGAGGTTCAGGACACATTCATCAGGGCTGTACGAGGTACTAATAGCGCGTTACATGACTAACGTCAGAGTTTCAGGTTACATTGTCAAAAATTAGTTAGTGAGTGGTTTTACGCCGCTTTAGCGATATTCAGAAATTGGCTTCAGACAGTGTAACCATGTGGGGAATCAAACTCAGGTCTTCAGCGTGGCGATTTAACCATTAGGCTACCCCACCACCCCGTGTCAACACTGTAGGCGAATGTTCTGAAGGTTAAAGATCAAACAGTATGTGAAATACTGGAAATACTTGGAAATACTGATTACATCCATGTAAAAATGTGTGGCAAGACAGTAAGGAGAAAAGTAGGCAACCCCATTTTCATGCATATTGAAAAGCACAAGGAAATTCAACAAGGAACGGTACATATATACATTTACGAAACAGTAACAAACATGATGTCTGATGCAGTTTTGAATTGTACCTTATGTTCCCTTTGTTTTGATCTAGGTGAACAGTTGACTCTTTTCCCCTGTGGTAGTGGCGGCGCCCACAGGTGGGGCGGGATAATGTTACCTTTGGAGAACACGTGGTACCATCTTTGGAAACAGAGCTTCTTTAAAATACACTTTTTTTCTGTTTCTTTTAATTTATTTTAAAGGTATTTATACTTACCCGGATATGCTTGATTAACGACGACATCGGGCGAAGCTGCAGCGACGTCAGTGTTCGACTTCCTTTGTTTCCGTCTGTGTAATGTGATCAAAGTGTATTAAAAATAATGTTGTTAGCCCCACATAACAAAAACCCCAACATGTTCAAGTACAAAACGTACCATACAACTTTATGGATGACAACTTCTTGTTTATTGCACATAGCGACGTTTCGATGTAGGTTCTTACACTGTTCTCAAGCTAAAAGTATTGGTCCATGCAATAAACAAGAAGCTGTCATCCATAAAGTAGACAAATTATAAGACTATGTAAAATTCTTAAAATACAGCACTGTTACAGCTTTAACGAATGACAATAAAACGATCTGACAAAGATGTATTTCATTTTCGACTCACCAACTTCTAGAATGCCCATCAAACAGTTACAAAACGTATGTGTATCTGCAGCAATAGATAATTATAATACATGTATTCTTTAAATACAGTACTGTTACAGCTTTAACGAGTGGCACTTAGACGCTCGTACTCCTTGTAGAACCTGCATCGCTACACGGTGACATATTGAATTAATGGAATCAACGCCAAACATAGTTTGTCACTTTGGTGTTGCTGTAAGCTGTAACGTTTGGTGATGTTATTAACTGTTTGTGAAGCGTTGTAATGTTGTCATCTGCAACGTGTAGTGATGCAGTAAACTGCTTTGCAATGTAGTTCAGTATGTGAAATGTTTTGTGCCTTTTTAAACTGTTATATTTCATAATGTTGTTGGCTGCTATGTTTTGCTGTAACTTGTATTCTTGTGTAATGCGGTGGATTGGCATGTTTTGTAATACAGTAAACTGTTGTGTTTTGTAATACAGTAAGCTGTTGTGTTTATAATACAGTAAACTGACATGTTTTGTAATACAATAAACTAGCATGCTTTGTAATACAGTAAACTGTTGTATTTTTTAATAATGTAACGCTTTATCATCATGGATTCTCCAGTTTGCAGTCTGTAATATGTTGTGTAAACTGTAGACTTTTGCCCATTTATTAGTGTGTCTAGTAGTGCGAAGTGTTCATGTGGTGTAGTAAGCTCTAAAGTCTTATGTATTCAGTTGTTGTAATCTGTTACGTTTTGCGTTGTGAACTAGAATGTCAATTACCTCTTCAGGAAATACATCGCAACGATCATCGACACAACAACGACAACGGCAAACGCATACGCCACACCAGCACCGGCATGACCACCTGAGTTCGAGGGTTCTGAAATAATAATTTTCCTGCAGGTGAGCAATATTTCATATCACAAGCGACATTTTATCATGTTTTAGGTAGGTTCATCAATGAACGAGGAGGTAACCGAGAGACTCTATCCGACCCGTGGTCTCCAAAGTCACATTTGCAGCACAGTCGTATATACTCTAGAACAGGAACCAGACAAGTCATCTGCCCATTCTCCAAACATAATCAACCAACCCTTGGAACAAATACGTACATACTTCAAGAGAAGAACCAGGCAAGTCATCTGCACATTCTCCATTGTCCAAACACAACCAACCAACCCTTGGAACAAATACGTACATTCTCCAGAGGAAGAACCAGGCAAGTCATCTGCACATTTTCCATAGTCAAAACACAGCCAACCAACCCTTGGAACAAAAACCGTACATTCTTCAGAAGACCAGAACCAGGTACGTAATACTTCATCAAGCACATTCTCCATAGTCCAAAACACCAACCAACCCTTGGAACAAAACGTACATTCTTGAAGGCAAGTCATCGCACATTCTCCACAGTTAAACACTTCAGAACCCTTGGAAGTACGTACACCAGGGAAGTCATCTGCACATTCCTCCACCAAGTCCAAACACGACTTCAACCCAACCATCTGCACATTCTCCACAGAACGAAATACTTGGAACAAATAGGTACTGTTACGTGCTGATTCCGTGAAAGAAACCAACAAACAACTAATAAATATGTTGTGATTAACGTTTGCATTCCAAAATTAGCTAAGTTCACAAATCAACACAAAGGTACCAATATGGCGCCACAGAATAGTGTGGCAGTACAAGTTCAAAGGTAATATAACAAATGAGCAGTGATTATAGCAATGGAGGCAATGATGGTCAAATTCATCCCCGGAAACAGTAATCCACTTGTAATCCAGTAATCCAGATGTAAAGTGAGATCCAATGGAATAACTCGCTCCACTTACATACTAAAACCTAACCTCATGAAATTTGTTCCAACTGTTTACACCACCATTATGATACATTGCTCAGACAGACCAAGCGACCACGGGTCAGGATACATTCACATTCCAGTAAACCCGCCCACAGGATACAGCCACATTCTAGTGAACCCGCCCACAGCCGAGATACATGCTGTTCACCAAGACAGATTCTGTCAAGACAGTGGTACTTACGTTGAAGGTTACACGTCGCACCCACATACTTGGGTCTGCACCCACGGGGACACTCCCCTGTGATTGGGTCGCACACCTCCTCGACGCACATCCCACATGTCTCGTTGCAGTTGTAGCCGTAGAAGCCGGTGCCGTTGCAGTCTGATTAAAACAAGAAACATTATGAGTCATTAATTAGCTTTGTCACGGATCATCCCTGATTCAACACATCTACCACAAACTTGTGGGTGCTGGAAACTCGAATCGAATCGACGTATATGGGTCATTTTCAAAATTGGTAGGATTTTCAATTCTTTATTACAGTAAAATCAAACTCTTCAAAATTGATTTTATTTTTATTCAAATACAACCTCAAACACTTAATTATTAAAAAAATACAAACATGCAGACTGAAATGTGCTAATTGACCTTTTAATTGATACAAAAGTAATTAAAAGGGTGGGGGACTGTCCTGACCGTTACCACTTCTTACACAGAATAGGGATTTGGAAATATAATTCATAAAAATCTTTTAAAGATGGCAGACACAGCTTTTACACAGACTTAATCAAAGTTGGAAGTAAAATCTATTATCATGAATCTTGAAAGTGTTATTTTGTATCTTTCATTTATTTGCATATAAAGATTGCATTTTTCTAAATGAAATGTGTAATAGAAATTGTAACTCGTAACAAATATGACATGTTTTCTTCCATGCTGTGGTAATGGTTTGGACATTTGTCATATCAATACAAAACTTGTGAATGAATTAAGGTTTTTGAATAAGAACAAATTGTAGCTCCTAAAGAATAGAAAAACATACCTGTCTAGATTGAAAATCACTTATAATCTAAAGAAGAGTGCAATTGGGGAACGAAAATTGAATGAATAGTAACGGTTGTGACATTATTGGTAACGGTCAGGACATCAGTGTAACAAACAAATGTTATCCCTCTAAAAAATTGCAAAAGATTAAATTCTGAAAGGTACTGCAACAACTATGATACTGTACACATGGTCATGCTACACAGGCAACTGCATAGATGTCAGTTTGCTGTTGATATTATCGTGCAATATTAGTCTCCACGAAATATACTTCTTTCATTCACTTGGATACCTTTAGTTTTTGTTAATAGTGAGATGGTAACACATATTTATCAAATACAAAGGCCAACATATTAGCACCTATCAATATTCTAAGTAAAAACAGTCAAAACAGACTACACCAAAAAAATCTTTAAAGGTTGGAATACAATTAAGTTGTTTAACATTACTACACTTTGTCCTAGACGTTACCTTTGATTCATAAAGACTATAGATCTTATAGAAAATAGAAACTTAACATACTAAATTCGTTTTGGTTTTTATTATTAAAAGCAGACAGATAAGTAAATAGAAATTTATCATCACACCATAGAACATATTCTTCATAAATGAAATTTATTAAAGAAATGTCCTGACCGTTACTATAATTTGTCCAAACCGTTACTAAAGACTGTGTTTTTTATGCTACTACATCAAAACTCCTTTGAACAGTAAAATTCCATGCTTAAACTATCTAAACTCTTAAAGTAATTATAAATTTGTTATACTTCAAATATTAATGAAGAACTGTTGGAAATGCAAATCATTTTGTCCTGACCGTTACAAGAACTGTCCAAACCGTTACTTTGCAGAATGGTAATGGTTTGGACAGTAACGTTCAAGTCAATTTGTAAGTAAATCTTAAATAAAAAAAATAAATGATCCCTAAAAGATTTCAAAGCACATGCCTTCCACCTCTTCCTTTTCTGGGCACCATATCCATTGAAATTTAAAAAATAAGAGATACATATTTGACACAAAATACATTGGTAACGGTCTGGACAATTAAGGTTGACACATAGCATTGATACTTATTTGACGGTGTCAATTTTCTTTAAAATGTATTGAATCTCTTTATTTCATCTGCTGTCACATGCACAGGGGCTAACTCAAACAGACACAGGAAGTAGTATTACAATCCAGCTCCAGGTGGAAATTATTGCAGGAATTTCATACACTGGTAACGGTCAGGACACAGAATCACAGGACAAGCATGTTACAATTTGCAGAAAAAAAACTTTTTAAGTTAAAATTTTTTATATGCAGCCTGAGTATGCTTGATCAATCCCAATTGGCATAATATGATTTAATTTGTTTATTTGCATTTATAATTACATTATTTGTGAACATTGATATTAGGACCGTCACCTCCGGACGGAGCAAATCTGCCAATTTTGACCCCAAAATGTGGTTAAGCATAAATTTCAAAATGACAAGACTAATGATATACAACATTTAATGACTAGTAAACATCTAAATATGTTTTCTAGAACAAAAAAATCCTTTTAAACTCGCAGATTTTTCTTTTATTTGGAACGGACAAAAAATACTACCAATTTTGAAAATGACCCATATACAAAACTAGATAGCAGTTAAAAAGATGGAGCATTACAATGCAGTGTAGATTTTCACTAACTGATCTAATGACAGTGCTGTAGGCCTTGATCGTTCCTCGTTCTGCTCACACCTACAACTGCATGTACAACCATAATGTGACAACCCACCTGTTAGACATTGAAGCCCCTTCCATCCTCTCTCACACCAGGAGCCTGGACACTCTCCTGTCCCCTTGTCACACACATGTCCACCCAGACACTGTCCACACTGATGGCTGCATGCTGGACCGAAGGTACCATTTGGACATGCTACATATGAAAAACATTGAATTTACACATTCAGATTTGTTTCTTTTCCCAATCAAGTCAAGGGTACAAAACGTAAAATATCTAACGTGAAAATGCAAATGATAAACAGGGCAAAAAGGAAATAAATTACATGCCTGGCACATGTTGGCACGCTCCAAAATGGATATTTGTATTCCTTGTCATCTGTACAGAGTAAATAGCCCTTGTCTTGTCGGAGACATTCAACAATGCTTTGGACATTGTGTGCCACTGCAGCAAGGAATCCATCAGTTAACAAAAGGCGTGTTTACTGAATATCAGTACTCGTTTGGTGCACAAAAGTAAATGTGTGTTTCAGTCGATCCAACCAAAGACTTTGACATTTGTCTGTCACATTAGTTGTTACATTGACAGGTGGTTATCATGACAAAATATCTCTGGTTGAATATGGCTTAGGCTATTTCCAAATTCATGGCTGAAGTTAGACATTAGAATATAGACCGAGGTCCAACAGTATTTGGGATTTGAATTTCAAGACTACCGAAACCCTCGTGCACGCCAATGGCAGAGGCACCAGCAGCTCAAGCCTGCAAAAGGACCTCTGCAATTCTGGTGACACATACATTGGTGAAACCCTCAGACCCACAATAAAAAACTCAAAGAACAACAAACTCGACCTCAACTCCGCTATTTTCGAACACATCAACATGATCCAGGAAGACGCCAACACGTGGGAACCAAAGTCCTATCTACCAACAACAACAACTGGCATCACAGGAACTTACAAGACATAGACATCAGGAGATCCCAACCAGCAATCAACCCTGACGTTACTTACCTAGCACCTAGAGCTTGGGACATGTAATTTATTCATCAATGCTTGTTTTTCAGACAGACAGACAGACAGACAGTATATCTCTTTTCCAGACACTTTTATTCAGTAAAGGCCACTGGCCCATAAACAGACAGACAGATTGCGTGGTCACAGATGCATCACATCACATAAATGGTACACATAGAGTTATACACAAGCTCTGCTCTTAATTCGAATTTGTACATTATATAACAATAGACTAACATCCTTAATCACATCAGCATTGGTAGATTGCATAATATTTATAAAGTTGTTAAAATTATTTCACAATATCTTTATCTCGAACATCAGATAAACATGCACAGATATACAAAATATGCCACTAATCTTCAGCAACATTAATACAAAATAAACATTAAAATCTTTCATTAGAAGCAATATTTTCATATCTCCCAATCTCTATTGGTAAGTTAAAATTTACACATCTGAATTTTGAAAGGGCAGATCTAAAATTTAAACAAATATTACCATGTCAGTATGTTTTTCTTCATCTAATAGGGTTTCATACTGACAACTATAAATAGTTTTGTGCGAATTTCAATGGAAGTATTGCAGGATTGCTTAAAATTATCATTTTTAAAAAGAAACATGAAATACGTAACATTTCCATCATCAATACAGTGCTAATTAACTACTGGCTTTCCGTGTTATCTTATCACTGTTGTAGTTTCACATGTACATATATAGCTGTCTGTTTCCTGGTCTTTCACTACAACACTCTAAACGACTCACTAACTAATCAACAATACAAACCCCGACGCAAGCAACCCCCTTAACTACCAATATAAGCCCCAAACTGCCAGCGCTTGCTCGCAAAACCCTACTTCTAACCCCAACCTGGCAATGCATAACAAACCTCATAACTGAACACAATCTAAGTAAGCTAAAATAAAACACCCCCCCATTAATAATCTTAAAGGTCACATAAACCCTAGGGGGTAAAAATACATAAATCACTAACTGGCATCGTTATAAATGAAACCCCGTCATTAAAACTACTCATTTCGACCTTTAATTGACTTAAATCGACCTTTTTGACAACAGTGCACAATTCTCACCCGCGAACGATATTTCAACCAATCAGAGCGGCGCGACTCTGTGACGTCATATGAGGAATAGCTTTGAGGGCCGATGCAGAATTCATCTACATTTTAGGGGGTAAATTATCTTGTTTACAGGCTTGTATAAACCTGAAATCGTGACAATTGTTGTGGAAAATGAAAGCTATATGTTCTCACAATCTACTGGCATTTAATTTTGTCTCCTGCTTTGCCTAGTTTTTCAAGTTACAACTTGTTTTCATAGACGCTTCTGTCACAATTGATTGGTGTCGTTAGGCCCTATTTGTATAATGACTGATCCAAATTGATCCCATTTCTGTGTTTTTTACCTCGATATTTAATCATGTCATGTAAAAATCTGTTTGTATTCTCAAACAGTGTCGGCCCATAAGTTTTCACATGCAATACAGCAATTAATACTCCCTTGTTGTAACCCGTGTTAGGTGGTATAAACCTACACATGTTATTTGTCATCATTCACTTGATGGTCAGTTAATGAATTTATAACAGGTATAATTAGTGGTAACACACTTAGATTACCCGACAAAGGTTCCCATTTGGCATTTCTTGTGTCTGGAGTAAATATTCAACATTATAAACATCGATCAAAGGATTAACCGATAACACGCTGATTGATTAATTACTTTTATCTTACACAGCGGAATTGTCAAAAGGTAGTGTTTATGTATGTAGATTTACTAATCTATACTGAATACACTATGTTGTGTCGGTGTCTGCGTAAAAACAACGTCCTTCTTTCAAAGGATTAACCGGCAATACATTGATTGATTGCCCATTATTGGCTAACTAAATTACTGTTTTTAATGAAAGGCGGACATTATGCAATTAGTTGCCAGGTGTGCTATCTTGGGTGACCAATGAGACTATACACCAATACCTGAAAAGATTTATCACTTTTCGTATATTAAACTGTTAAAAGACACATCATTTGGAACAGTTTTGTGGATATTGATGGATACATTCCTCAAACAAGGTAATGGCCTGATATTGTTCCTATAACTTTAATCTGTTTTAATTTTAATATTTGCATTTTGTTTTTTATTCATTTGTCGTAGCATTCAACAGAATCATTGTTTTCGCCGTGAAGTGTAATGAGACATACAACATACACTAGGGTGTGTGTGCGAATTATGATTCACATTGGCAAACTATAAAATGTCTAGATATTACAGTTCTGTTATAAATTCACTATAAGTATCAGCAGATCGTCAGCTTTTTATTTAGTTTCAAAATGCATAAAAGTATGATAATAAACTAATTAGGATTATAAGACCAAATATAAAGACGCACATTGACTAGTATCTACATACTGGTGAGTGGACATTAACCATGTGAATGTAGCAAGAAAATTTATCGCGCAGTATTGTGACTTCGACCCCCACCTCGCTTCCGTGGAAGAAATCGTTATGTTATAAGTTGTGTCATGCAAAAATCCTTTTGGTTATAATTCCAATACATATTTAACTACGAGTAGAAAGTAGTTTTGATTTTTCTAACTTGATGAAAACAAACTATAATCTCATTAATTCTAACAGACTTTACGATTTTCAAAATGGCGGCGATTCTGTCGGGAACATCCGCCAGTCTGTGGATAAATGCTATTTAGGTTTGTTTTCACCGAGTTACAAAATCAAACTACTTTCTACTGGTAGTAAAATATGTATTTGATTGATGGCCAATAGGATTTTGCATGACATAGCATATAACATAACAATTTCTCTCCTGGCAGCGAGGTGGGTGTCAATATAATACTACTTACAATATTATTGTTACTTCGACCACAACCTCACTTCCGAGGAAGAAATCGTTATGTTACAAGTTGTGTTATGGAAAATCTTTATGGTCATCAATCATATACATATTTTACTATAACTAGTAAGTAGTTTTGAATCTGTAACTTCCGTGAAGCGATCTGAACACAAGTAAGATATCGTTTCAGGCTTCCACAACGCTCGCTTCGCACTCACAAACGTAACCCATTTAGCACGAACTGCGGGGTCCTGTAGAAATCTGTGCATGGTGACACCATCACCCGACCCCTAGGAGCAATTGACGACAAAGCAACGATTCGGCATGTCGTCGTTGATGTCGAGAAATCATCAAAATGATGAGCGTGCTACACACTTTCTATACAACTAACTGAAAATCGTTCCTCATATGACGTCACTGCAGTGCTCTGGCGACAGAGTTACGTAACCTGTCTGTGGTTTCGTTGGCGAGCGAGAGGGAAGCAGGCGACTTTTTGGCAACTTTTAATCGCTCGGTATTAATTAACCACAAGTTTTTAAAGAATAAATTTGGTGTTCCGCATAAGACTAACCACAAATCTTTCATATGTAATGGTTAAAAGAGTAACAAAAAACAAAGTTTAGTGGTTCTTTAAGACCTAATCTAACAATTCCTAAAAGAAACACACAACTCTCCACCGAAGTCAAAACAGGCACAAACCAAAACACCGCAAAACACAAGATTACATACATGAACACTGTTCAAACTAGTGCCACATTCACACAGACGGATACTTTGTGTACAAAATACACATGTTTCGGCATCCAGACATCACTACCCTCAAGACAAATTAAATCATACAGACTCCCAGACAGCCAATCAATTTTCACGACAGATTTATAACCCATAGTAATAGCTCTCCGTGCTCGTCAAACAACACAATTTAATTCGAATTCTAACAGACTCACTCAGTGGGCTACAAGCAATAAAAAAACAAAACCCCAAAAGCCAACCAAAACTTATAACTGAGACACTAAAAACCACTCAGGATCTACACGCCTTTAGAAAAAAGGTAGAATTCAATCTATCCCTGCCATTGTGGTGTCTTTGGCAACGAACATGCCGACCAAGCAGCCACAGCCGCCCTTACACTCCGATAACTGAATTTAAACATACCATTATCATTTAACGAAATAGAAAGCCTATCAAAACAAATCAATCTTCATGAAGTTCAACCAAAATTCAAATTCTAAACTAAAACATCTGCTCCACAAAACACTTAAAAACACACTTAAAAACTACTATTAATCCTAAATGGTTTGACAAGGCTATAACTAAATTAGGAACAGGTCAAAAAAATGAAATTCCCATCTACCTTAAATAAAAAGACCCCACCAAACAGACCAATGCACACACTGCAAGGAAACAAAAACGCCCGAACCCGACCAACTACACTGTACACACTACTAACAACAGAACGGTGCCCCAGAGTTCACTGGACACTAACACACATCTAATACTACAAACACTCCTTAGCCCGCTATATTACACTTCAACCTTCAAAGCCTTAGGTATATTTCTCATAAAAACTGGTCTTTTAGGTCACATGTAATCCCACATATGTCAGAAAGCGTACGTAAAATCTCCTCATTATCTCCACTATATCGCCACTTTGTTCACCCTCCTTGACAACACTTACCTACGTCACATCTCCACCTTGTTCACCCTTCCTGACAACACTTACCTTCGCCACATCTCCACCTTGTTCACTCTCCTTGACAACACTTACCTACGTCACATCTCAACCTTGTTCACTCTCCTTGACAACAATAACCTACGTCACATCTCCACCTTGTTCACTCTCCTTGACAACACTTACCTACGCCACATCTCCACCTTGTTCACTCTCCCTGACAACACTAACCTACGCCACATCTCCACCTTGTTCACCCTCCCTGACAACACTTACCTTCGCCACACTCCAATTTGTTCACCCTCCCTGAACACAGGTGACTTACCGTCGTCACATCTCTGCCCCGTCCATCCATCACGACATCCTTCTTGATCACATGATCCATTTACAGGGCTGCACTTCCCTGCACACTGACCACAGGCTTCTGAACACCCGTCACCATATCTGCCTTCGTCACATTCTGTCAACAAGAGTTTAGTTGTCCACAGTCTCTAAAATCTAAAACGTAATCCTCCAACATTATCCAACTAAGCAAATCTCACCATGCAGTAGACTACCTGTATGAAATGCCTTCTACAACACAGTCAGGCAGTACAGGCTGTTATACCTCCCTACCTGACATACTCAACTTGTCACGAAGCATCTCGTTTCTATAACAGATGTAATTAAAATAACTTTATAATTGTTATAGTGGGTTGTAGGTGCATCAGAGTGCAAAAACATAATTATAAAACATTCCAAAATATTATACCACGATTGTTTGAAGCAAAATTGCTTTCCTTTAAGAGAAAGTGAAAGACAAACGATCTGGTTACCTTGGTGGCACGTCATCCTTTGCCATCCTGGTTCACATCCATCCGGGCAATCTCCTGACACGTTATTGCAGATGGCGTTGTCCCGACAATGGCCACATCTAGAGCTGCATTGCTCCCCATAGAAGTAGTCATCACACTCTGCATGACAGACCGTTACTTTACATTATGAACATCGTACTCCTAGACGAAAGTAGGCAAACCTTCACAAACCGATTCCATGAATTGATTATTAAACGGATAGTGTGAATAATATCCTGCAATCTTGATGCACTTTATTCGCAGCTCCTTACCTTGACAAAACGGTATCTTGAATCCAGGGGCACATGTTTGACACTCTCCTCCTATTTTGGCACATGGCTGTCCACCCTGACACCTCCCACATCTGCCTGTACAGTTGAAGCCGTAGGTCCCGTCTTGGCACGCTGTCAAATTACATCAGAATATCCGTGGAGGGAGGATCGAATATTATAGGTGCTAAAGGTAGGTGATAATCAATATGTAGTGATGTAACTGGTCCTTCGGCTACAGGTCTTTAAATATCAAAATATATCATTTTTTTTTCTGCAATATATTGGTGAATCGTATGTTAATGCGATGAAAGTCACAATTGTTTATTCATAGTAACTAGTCATGAAAGGTTTTGTACATGTAACTGTCTTCTATAAATAAATACCGAAGATGCATTTAGTATGAAACTAGTTTCGAAATATGTCAGATATTTCACCTATACGGTCATGCTTGGTATAGTGTTAATGACAGAATTTATTAGTAAACTTGCCTATACACTGCAGTTTGTATGTACCCATTTTCTGAAGTGTTGGTAGTCAGTTATGAACTCTAAGAAGAGACAACTTCTTTGAAAGATATTTTTGAATTTGTATGGATAGTCAACTTCTTTTTGTAAAGAGTTCGAGGTTTCGACCTACTCATCTATTGTATAAATTCAGTCTGCATATTGTTTAATCACTGTGTACATCTACTTTCTCTCAAATGACTAATCAGCAATCCAATGTATATGCTATTCACACTTTGCTAAGGATCGAATCATGGATTCAACATATTACTATGATGTGGGGCCAAATTTGGTTTACATATCTAAGCTTATTGTAAGCATTGATCCTAGGTTTCAGTATTGTGGAACCAATACCTGCTATTGACAGGCGTTGCGTACTTGTCACTGACTCGTTCCATGATTTGCAAAATGGTTGATGGTTATTCATGCATAAGTACATAAGGTTACATTAAAGTGACTGTTTGCCTAAAGAGGGGTTACCATGTTTTTTATTCATCCAGTTTTAAATGGATACAATTTCAAATTATGAATCTACCTTTTAAGTAAAGTTGTGAATTTTTGTGATCCTTAGCAAAGTGTGAGTAGTACATTATATATATATATATATATAGATATATATATATATATATATATAAACCATGTCAATTGTATATGCTCACTATGTAGCTGTGTATATATTCTCCTCTTTGTATCACTTGCTTGATAATGGTGTTAGTACCTACACCGAAACGTCGCACTCATTGCAATAAAGAAGTTGACTATCCATAGAATCCGTTTTTTCTTAGATGAGATGTTAGTGTTGGCTGAATCCGGCATAAAGTTATGGGGACAGCAAACTTGCATTATTAATTAGTGATAGTGAGAGATACTGTTGATTATGATAATCCAACGAGCCCAGCAGTTAATCTAGGCGAATATTGTCTTTATTGCCATAACTTTGAAATTGACATATCACAACATTAGGTACTACAAATACCATAGAATCGACAAGAACTGATTCTTAATCGGTTAATGTTATTTATCAACCACGCGGTTTTGCATCAGTATAATTTGTAATCTTACGAATCTTATGTACTATGATTCAAGAGTTGTCAATCGAGGTAATGTATCGTGTCGTGTCGTTATACCAGTAAAACGTCCTCGAACTTTAACTATAATGGTTGAGGGCTAAGGTGTACTTTTACTACACTATACACTGTACATGGTGGTAGGGCGAACTGTATTTCTTTTTATTAATATGCCAAATTTATTACTGTCTAAGGTAAACAGGGCTAACTGAACTGACGCGTTAATCTATTGACGAAAAGTTAATTCTCCTCCTTTCCCCACTCCTCAAATCTCTAGTTTGTAACCTACACAACATAATAAATGTATAATAAATGGGTCTGACAGCTGACGATGATCACAATGACCACACTACTCACGTGTCTGACAGTCCAGTCCTGTCCATCCGTCTTCACATCCAGAGTCACACTGACCTGTCCTCTTGTCACACACTTCATAAGCGTCCTTACATCTACACTCCCTGTCACACTGGTCACCGAACCAGTAGTCACTGCACTCTGGAATAACACACAACAGTAAAACATCCACGCGAGTACCTTTGGCCTCATGAATGTTATGCTCCAAGTTTTTTTTCAACCAAAAGCATTACAAAGAGTTACAAGTTCATATATATTTGACAATGATTATTCAGCTATTCCCCAATGCTACTATCTACTTCACCTATTTAGGAGATAAACGTACTGTGTTTGCAAATTAAATGAATGTTAGACCGAATTGATAGTCTCTTAATTTCATTTGAAGCCGAACGCATAGCGTGAGGTTTTAAATGATTAATTTAGTTTACTGTTTAGTCAATGCAACAATGTAATACCCTTAGAGCTTGGTTTTTATAATCCCACCTTCACACAACCGAAACCAGTCTATTGTTTTGTGTGCCGTGTTACTGTACACCCCACCCCACCCCACCCCACCCCAACTCCGTCTGTCCCACTTCTTGGAAGTATTTGTTGACAGTTACGCAACAGTTTGAAATGGCGGACGAGCTGGTGAAAAAAGGTTGAAATTTGAAGTGACAGTGAATGCTTGACTGACTGACGAATCTGAACCCTGCAGAATCGAAGAATAGATCCTTTTCTAGAATAGATCCTACGAATCAGTGTTGTAACTCATCAAAGACTGTTGATTTTTATGACCGATGAGCTTCGATCATAATTACACATACGTGTCTCTACCCCGGTATGCGAGTGACAGTGCTGGCCTAACGCATGCATGCGACTATCTTGGGATTCCAAAACATTGTTTTCATCATTTGGGACTGGATTGTGGCCAAGCTTTTTTCAAAGGGTATGAACATAGATCACCAGCAGTGACAGCCTTGCGGGGAAGCTGGCAGAGAGCAGAATTCTGGTGGTTCAATTTTTGACATGTATTTTTTTAACAATGCATCGGGACATAATGGAGTATAAATTTGGTGTTTTGCCTGACCGTTATCTTGCGAATTTCCCATTCTAAACGGAAACACCTATACCATTTACCAGGTAGGTAAATGTTTACTAACGTTTTGCTGCAACTTTTGTAGAGGGGATGTATGTTTGCAAGGCTTTCTGATTTATATCTTAGAAAATGTTTGTTTATGTTTGGGGCTGTGCATTGTAATTGAGTTTGAATATATTTGTAATATAATATGATAGTAAGGTTCCATAATAATTGTGTAGGAAAAATCATATATTTGTATTTTTCGAGTTTTAATAAAAGGTTTATCAGCATTTCCATCACGTCTGTTGTGCTGATATTAGCAGGGCGACTATATAAGCACTACAAAAATGACTTGGTTTCCTGAATGCTGGAAACCATCCGTATACTGGGTAAATGGGGAATCCAGTTGGTTTCCATTCACTGAAACTGAGTAACTGAGTTTCCAACTAGATTCCATTTTGGATTCTTTGATTTTTGCATTTCAGTAAATGGAAACCAACAAGAAACTAAGGTTATAGGTTTCTTGTTGGTTTCCATTCCTGGAATTTGCAACTGAAGGTTTCATGAAAAACCAACTGGAAATGGTGGTTTCCATGTCGTTTCTTCTCAGTTTCAGTGTTCCGGAAACCAACTTATTTTTGTAGTGAAGGTTGTAGAGTATCGCTGATATTAGCCATGTTGGTGGCCAAGCTGAAGTAGTGCGGCAGTGTTGTATACGTGCGCAGTGAAGCGCCGTGAAATCAGACGCATTGTCAAACCAAAATTGATTGCCTCTAATTTATTGATTGCCCAATCAAATTCGAGAATTTCACCTAGCCATGGTAGAATATGGATCCTTCCCTGTTCTTTTTAATGCAAAGTGCTGATACAGAAATCAAAGCTGTCCTGATATTTTCTGTATATCCCATGATTAGATGTCTACATGAGGAATCATTCAACCATTGCAGCCAAAATGTAAAGGGTCTAAAGGAAATATTTGTCTAATATACTCATCTAATTTGTGAATGTATAGAATTTTTTTTAATGAAAGGAGAGATAAACACAGATATGAAAAACACATTTGAATAGTATAACGTGTTGGCTAAGTTAAGTGGCGACTGTTTATGTTGGTGGTAGCTAGCCTGTTGTTGCAGAAATACCAAGTGCTGTCATGGTCCACTTTGAACCGCAGTCGACTGTGCCAGTGGAGCTTTTTTCGGCCTGAACCTTAGAGTGATCCGTCTCTTGTTTTTACATGAAACTGAAAGACTTATTCGTTCGAGACGTTCCAGGATGGGAACGTTTCTAGAAGGGTGGCAATAACTTTCTAAGGGGAACAATGATTTGATGCTTTCTTGGTCTTATTCTAATGTACTTGCAAAGTACTATTCAGCATTGAAAATATTCTGAATATTCGATAGTTCATATAGATTAGTTCTAGGGTCTTTTAGTTCTGCAGCCATGTATTTGACCCATGAAAGAGCTGTAGATGTAACACAAACCTTTACACAATGTTCCACTCCAGTTGTCCTGACAGCCATGTCTACAAATCCCATCCACATTGGAACAGTTCTGATCTCCTCCAGCACAATGTCCACACGTCTCCATGCAGTCAGAACCATAGCCTCCCTCAGGACAAGCTGTAACGATATTGTACAAGTTGGGCTATTTGTTGAAAGCACGATGGAATGAAGACATGGAGATACTTCCCTGAACGCTAACCAAGAGAGTCAGAACACCCGTCACCATATCTGCCTTCGTCACATTCTGTCAACAAGAGTTTCGTCGCTAAAATCTAAAACGTAATCCTCCAAGACTATCCTACTAAGCAAATCTCACCATGCAGTCGACTGCTTGTATGAAATAACTTCTACAGACATAATCAGGCAGGATAGGCAGTTTTATCTCCTTACCTGACATACTCAACTTGTCACGATCCATGCAATCTTGTTTCCATAACAGGTATAATAAAATAACCTTTACAATTGTTATAGTGGGTTGTAGGCAGAGAAGGGTACAGAAACATATATAAAAATATTCCAAAATATTGTACCACGATTTATTTGAAGAAAGATAGCTTTCCTTTAAGTGAAAGTGAAAGACAAACGATCTGGTTACCTTGGTGACACGTCATCCTTTGCCATCCTGGTTCACATCCATCCGGGCAATCGCCTGACACGTTATTGCAGATGGCGTTGTCCCGACAATGGCCACACATAGAGCTGCATTGCTCCCCATAGAAGTAGTCATCACACACTGCATGACAGACCGTTACTTTACATTATGAACATCATACTCCGAGGCGAAAGTAGGCATACCTTCACATACTGATTCCATGAATTGATTATTAAACGGATATTGTCAATACTATCCTGCAATGTTGCTGAACGTTATTCGTTCTTCCTTACCTTGACAAAACGGAGGCTTGAATCCGTCAGCACATGTCTGACACTCTCCTCCTATTTTGTCACATGGCTGTCCATCCTGACACCTCCCACATCTGCCTGTACAGTTGAAGCCGTAGGTACCGTCCTGGCACGCTGTCAAATTACATCAGAATGTTCGTGGAGGAAGATTCATTTAGTATAATAATAGAGCTCAAAAATATTCTAGGTATTTCACCAATACGGTTATACTTGGTACTTTTTACTGACCAAATATAATCTGTGAAGACGCCTATGAATTGCAGTTTGTATGTACCCTTTGTCTGAAGTGATCATAATCAGTTCTCAACCTTTTAGATGAGATGTCAACGCTAGATGAACCCGGCATAAAGCTAAGGGGACAGGCTGTTCATCGACGCAACAGTATAATTTGTAAATCGATGTATTGTATCATCTCACACACACACACACACACACACACACACACACACACACACACACACACACACACACACACACACACACACACACACACACACACACACACACACACACACACACACACACACATTAGTATTTAAAGTTCAGTGTATATACCCATCTTCCTAAATAAAATAAAACAATATTAGTTACACGGTGTTTTGAAAGGGTGTACGGGTCTTACAGTCCCGGGTCTCACAGTCCAGTACACCCTTTCAAAAGACCGTGTGACGAATTTATTACCCTTACGATATTTTTATTAGGTTGTCTGTAAACAACAACATTCAATCATCGGCAGAATGAGACGCAAGACCTTTCGCCATGGATTTTCCTGAACGGTCATAAAAGGAGATAACTCGGGATGGCTTAGTTTATGATAAAAAATATTGAATTTGAGGTTTTGTAAAACGACAAGTGAAATACAAAAACATTTTATTCTTTGGATATATTCATTGACACAACAAATAAAAAATTATGACAACAATTTTATTGGTCTGTTTATACTCATTATTTTATACACCAACTCTCAAATTTCAAAGCGATCAGCCGTATGGCAGCCACATTCCATCTAAGGTCAAGGTCATTCGTAAACCCCTGTAGTGTGTCACATGACAGATTTGACAGTGTATACGGTTCGTGATTTGGTATGCTTTTGCTATTGACTAATCAGAATTCGACAAATTTATCTTCAGGGTAATAAACAGTAATATTGTGACGTCACACCCCTCAGTGTATTCCAACAGACATAACGTCATTCTTAGGAATATAGAACAAAGCTACGTTTTCAGTGTAAATCTATGTTATATGTAGGTTTGACGTTTTATATTATCAATCATTAAACACTAGAATGATGTTGATACTCAGCAGTTGTATTTTTACACCAAAATACTTAAGTTACGTATATGAAAGGCATTGACTGTGTGTAACACAGCTATTTGTTAAGCAGCTATTTCCTGGATACACAGTAAACCAATACGTATAATATGACGCCACACCGTAGATATAACGTAACCGTCAGGCATTCAGTGGCGCTTTGTATTGTAAACTCACATCGGTCCATTAACATCTTGTTTATGCTTTAATAGTGAATTCCTCTCCCCACACCCCTTGGTTTAGCCAGCAACTCTCTAGTTTGTAACCTACACAACATAATAAATGTATAATAAACGGGTCTGACAGCTGACGGTGATCACAATGACCACACTACTCACGTGTCTGACAGTCCAGTCCTGTCCATCCGTCTTCACATCCAGAGTGACACTGGCCAGTCCTCTTGTCACACACTTCCTGTCTGTTCTTACATCTACACTCCCTGCCACATTGGTCACCGAACCAGTTGTCACTGCACTCTGGAACATCACACAACAGACAACAATCCACGCGAGTGGCCTCATGAAGACTGTGTTCCAAGTACTTTCAACCAAAAGACATTACAAAAGAGTTACAGGTTCGTGTGTATTTGACAAAAACTATTCAACTATTTCCCAATGCTACTATCTAATTCCCACATAGTGGACTCCCTGTTCTTTGGTAACCAAAGTGCTGATACAGAAATGAAAGCTGTCCGAATACTTTCTCTACCCCAGTAATAAGTGGTGTCGTGAATTGAAAATCATGGAACAGGTTTTACTGGCGGAATCCAACCATTGTAGAAAATAACACACAAGAGTAAACATTCTACCTTTTAGCCTCATGAAGGTTATGTTCCATGCTTTTTTCAACAAGAAAAAAAATAAAATTACGAAAGAGTTACAGGTTCGTGTGCACTTGACAACAATTACTAAGCCATTCCCCCATGCAGCTATCTACTTCACATATCATGGGCTCTTCTCTGTTCTTTGGAAACCAAAGTGCTGATTACCCGTGGAGATCCGGGTTAGACTTGATCTTCAGTAACCCCTGTTTGTTGTAAGAGGCGACTAACGATAACGGGTGGTAAGGCTCACTGACTTGGTTGACATCTGTCATCGAAATACAAATCCATGCTATTCGTAAGGGAATCTATCTAGCATTAAGCAAATCTTTCAGGAATTTAATAGACCTATCTTTCTCCAGTGCAACACTCATTCATTTGACTCTAAAGAGATATCTACTTACGTCCCTGACAGTCAGTCCCGTTACGGCCATCCTTGCACCCACTCTCACAGTGTCCAGTGGTTTTGTTACACACCTCAGATGTGTTCCTACAGTAGCACCAGAAACTGCAGCCAGGCCCGAAACTCCCGTCAGCACACTCTGGTAAGAAACAAACAAACATTTATTGGTATTGGTTTTACTAAAGTGAATAGTAAACAAATTCAAGCATAAAAACAATTTCAGTGTCATCAAGTTACTATGTCACATTTATCCTAATCGAATAAATATTTCACATAGATCTCTTAGCAGTCGACAGTGTATAGAGACAGAAATATATATTACCATATATTACCACTACACATTACAAAATCGAGTCGTTATTGGTTGGTAATGGGGGCAACCTGCGAATACTTTCCTGACAGCCTGCCCCAGTGTATCCATCACGGCACCCACAAACGCAGTATCCAGTGAGAAAATATCAGTATGCATGATTTACCATAGATTTCCACTTCACAGAGATTGAGAATGTACTCCGAGCCGTTCAGTGTTGGCAGCTGGACAGTGACATATTGTCCACGTATTGGTGTCACACAGCTGATGTTGACGGGGGAGCTGGGACGGTAGGACTGGCTCTGCCGATAGCACAGGTGATGATTGTCTACCCGTACCACGAAACCTTTCATTCGTTCTAGAATTATACAAATACACAATGTACATCAAGACGTCAATATGGGGGTTGGGGGTGGGGGTTGGGGTGGGGATATGGTGAGTCAGATCAAGGTTGGTAAATGAATGATCTAAGGGTAGAGTCATGGCATTGTAGTCTTTAGCTTGCAAACCTCTTTCCCAAAGCAGCACAGAGTTATACAATAGATAGTGCCAAGTCTATATTCATTCAGACTGATACTTATCCTTAGCAGATTGGAATGATCCACTGAAATTCAACACAATCATTGCAACGGAAGCATTTGTGAGAATATATCTAAGAAAAACTGTATTGAGTCGTTGGATTCACTGAACATATGGTATTAACTGGGCAGGCATTGTAACAAAATGTTATGAACAATGTGTGTCATTACATCTGATCTAACTGGTTCATTGATTGATTGATTGGGCATTCGGTAGATCGATCAATCGGTTTATTGATTGATCATACCTCTGTTACAAACGTAAACCAAAATTGTTTACGGGCAAATTATTAATTGCCAATATTCTAATGATATATTCCTCAAGTCCTATCACAGATATTAACCACATTGAAACATTGTTAATTTCAGTACTAATACAGATGAATATAGTATCTCTATCCAACTTGGTATGTAATTAACACTCAGATGAAGCTTTCATTGAGTGGTGAGTTGTGATTCTTTTCTGTACAGTGTGTTCATAATACTTGCGTGGATGTGAGAAGAATATTTTCAGATTGGTGATGAGGTGTGTCTCTCCCAGATCCACTCTCCACCAGGCGGATGTCCGGTCTGTTGCCGTGTGTGAACAAGTCCCTGACCAGTACCTGCTGTTGACCACACCGTCCACAGCCAGGGAGGAATTCTTGTCTCCACACACGTCTCTCTTGGTGGTGTTCGCCCACCGACAGTCATTGATAGTGCCGCTTTGTTCTGTTGGTTTGTTCAGAGCTATATTTCCTGGTAACAGACACGTTAGGTTTGTTATATTATTTCATTTGGGAGGTTATCATATTCTGACTAGTCAATCAGAACTCGTCAATGATTAACTGTAATGAAATAGCTAATTTGACATATTATGACAGATAATTGTTGTAAAATGACAATGATTGAAAATGAGGAACAATTCTATGAATGCTCATATGGCAACAAGATACACAATAATGGACAATTCAATATACTATTTACAGTATGTGTCAATGAGCAAGAAAAACAATTGAAATGAACTAGGTGCCACATGTCTGAAAACCTCCATGAATAGTATCAGCAACGCCAACCAACACCACCATACGGACTGTCATGTTATGTAGGGTGAGCACGTATGATCAGTACAATCTACAATCAGTATCTGGAATGTCCACAACTGAGACTCTAGCGGTTAAGCCGTCCCCTCACGCTGATCGTCAGAAGTCTTATTTCCAACATTTCCATCTGCTGTTCCTGGTGCACTGCCTTTGTCAGCTGATTTAGGTTTAGAACTAAAGGGTCTCTAGCTCACTCTTTCGTTTAGCCAAGGTTATCCCAAAGATCTTCTGCTGAGTTCAGATCAGGACTCTCATCATTTTTCGGAAAGGGATTTTGTGTCTCAATTAATGACATTTGTATATTTATCTAAAATGGCTGAAAACAAATATTTTCCTTATTGTAAGTTGAACCAAATGCTGACATTGTTCTGTTCAGATGGCTTGCCTTTGTGGGTGTTGAAGCGCGCAGCCGACGGCCTGGACACGCTCCTCATTACCTTAACATTCGCTATCAACACTGTTATGACTACGCTAAATTACATCTCCAGGGATGCCTTGCCTTCATATGAAGTCATAGGTGATTGTAAGGTATTAAAGTATGTACTTTGATAAGCTAAGGTCCCGTCAGTGACAGTATGTACCTTGGTGCCAGTCCTCTGTGTTACAAGCCTGTATGTGTGAAATTCACACACTGATTGTTGTGCATAGACGATTTTTAAAGTAGGCACAGCAATATTGTCCCATTTACTTGTTTAGGGAAAGCCTGACTTTGTTTAGATCCCCATGAGAAGGTGGTAAGAGTTCCGCCCGTATCTCCCTACATTTTAACGATGAGGGAAAGGATTTGTATATATTCAGGTAATATGATTTGACTAGAAGCCATAACATAAAGGACATTGTTCATACAGACATTAAATTATCAGGGTTAGGATTAGGATTAGGGTTAAGCTAGGGTTAAGGGGGGATACGGGCGGTAGTCTTTCCGACAAGGTCAATGCCATGCTTCTTCGTAAAAACTGAAGGTAGTACCGAGCTGACCTTTTTTCATTTGCATGGAAAAACTAGACAAATTTTGCCAATATTTTATAACGATATGCGTTATTGAAAACTGGAAATATTACAGACTAACCGACTACGTTCCTCAATCTTAAACCTGCCAAGGGTCACATTGATAACGAGCATCGGACTTAATACGGGACCAGTATCTCTAAAGCTAACAGAACCAAGGTGCATTACGTTTATCTGTCTTTACGGCTGTTTGTATTCCACGTTGGTCAAATCACGTGCGTGCCACATATACCTTCGTGGCATACTCGCGACTGGCCATCAATGCTTCGGTCCAACTAAATGACATAATCTCACGTTCACAATAACAACGTTATCGTAAGTTTTATCTGTAAACGCGATTATTTGCGATAGCTAGAATAGATATATATTACGGAAGACAGTCACAAATCAGGGGGTGGCTGTCTAGTAAATTCACTCGGGTCTCGGGTGTTGCGTGGGCGTGGTTGTGCCACTGGTACCTCTGCTGAGCGAGTTGAAACTTCAGCTCGCTCTTAATAAGTGGCGTGGGACAGAAAGTGGCAATGGCGACACACCAACCCACAAACATGGCAACACCTGACGCAGGACCGAGACGACCCTTCCACAGACAACCCAAGACTCCACCACAGAACCGGGCGGAACAGACGAGCAACTGGAGGACCCCACAAACCAATGCCCCAGGTACCAACACTACAGGTACCCCTCCAGTCACTATATATGGGGTCCCACTTCCTACACGGTCCATATCGCAGTAAAGCACCGGTAGTTGACATGATGGACGACAAAGGCAGCGTCATGGCGGTCGTCATCATGGATCATAGAAGATGACCAGTGGCAGAAGCCCAGACAACCCGGTCATCATCAAGATGTCAGCAGATAATCAACAATCAGGACATCATCGGTAACCCAACATTCATGTGAGTGAACTAACTTTCAGGTTCAAGTCAACCTAGGCATACATCACGAATCATCTGCAAGTTTCTTCCGATGTGTGTGACAATATCTGTGAACTTTGGTTCTGACTCTCACCGTGAACTGTGTACGTGAACTTCTCAAGGACGTTCTTGTTTATGTGAGGTATGTTGTATCTTCTCCGGTCATTGTTTTGTTGTGTTCACATTTGTCATGTTTTGATATATTGAGTATGTATTGAAATCTATGTGATGTTATCAGACATACATCTTTATCAGATTAAGTTGTTGAAATCGGCTAGGTTCTTACTCTACGGTACGATCTGGTCACACCCTACGCCCTACACATGTACGCATTTAGTGCAGATCAACGTTATCTGCGGGATCCGAGTCTTCCCATACAAACCAGACTCCCGGTTTCAAGGATTTTCCTCATACTTTGTAGGTCTATAACCGTCAAAATAGATCATAGCTTTCCATAAGCTATTCAATACAATATGATTTCCTGCTTACATTTTCATGTCATCCATTTTGAACATGTGAGCATCAAATTTATAAGTACTCATTATGAAAGATATGACATATCGTTCCCTGTCGTAACATCGTCTGAACAAGAATACCCATGTTATGGAGACCCATTGCTAGGCATATTCACCGAGCTATTTAGTGGAGACTGTATACCCAGTCTGTATCGTACTACATGTACTTCGTTCGCCTCTGTGAGTTTACTCTTAACTATGATACCGGCGGAAGTAAGTAACTTCGGGTCCCTGGCTCATATAAACGATTCGTAGAAATATCGTCGAGCCAAATTCACTTGAATGAATTTTTCATTATATGTCAGTTTAGGCTTTTGAAGTTGGTTAGGTTCCCTTCTCTTCATGTCCTTACTTTGTTTAGAGCAGATCACAATATGTGTTAGCCTTGCCGAGTCTAGACTCCCAACTTCAAGGACCTTACAGTTTCCATGAAAATATCACATTTATATGCAAACGACGACGCATTGCGCACATTATGTTTTTGTTTCTATATGTCATAATATGTACTTATCAGTCAGGTATTGCGACTATATGGTCAACCGCGAGCAGGATTTTGCCGCTCGGTGGAAACGTCCAGTGTGTTGTTTGTACGAGCTGGAAAGCCGCTTACCTGTGTTTTGTGTGTACACGTCAGAAATTCCGTTTAACTTGTTATTGTTATATTTTGCTACGCCGATGTTGGCAATTCGATTTATATGTTTACTTCTACGTTCCTGTATATCTTATCTAAAACCGTTACGATCATTTTGACCATTTATCAATGCCTGTACACATGTTCTCGTCAGCCATCATGGATCCGAGGTACCAGTTGTTTCCGTACCGCAGTTTACTCATCACTCGTAATGTACTGTATGATGTCATTTTTGTTCAATGAAATTTCGAGACGAAATTTTAAAAGAACAGGGGGATACTATTACCACGGAAAAACTAGACAAAGTTTTACCAATATTTTATAACGATATGCGTTATTGAAAACAGGAAATATTACAGACTAACCGACTACGTTCTTCAATCTTAAACCTGCCAAGGGTCACATTGATAACGAGCATCGGACTTAATACGGGACCAGTATCTCTAAAGCTAACAGAACCAAGGTGCATTACGTTTATCTGTCTTTACGGCTGTTTGTATTCCACGTTGGTCAAATCACGTGCGTGCCACATATACCTTCGTGGCATACTCGCGACTGGCCATCAATGCTTCGGTCCAACTAAATGACATAATCTCACGTTCACAATAACAACGTTATCGTAAGTTTTATCTGTAAACGCGATTATTTGTGATAGCTAGAATAGATATATATTACGGATGACAGTCACAAATCAGGGGGAGGCTGTCTAGTAAATTCACTCAGGTAAGAAACTTTACTTCCTTCTACTTTGACATACTATTGTTATTCTATGTTAACTTTAACCTATTGTAAATACATTAACTATAAGTTACCACCCTTGGCAGTACCTTCAGGTTTATGTGGAACGAGGCATCCCTTAGTATGTGTCTCATATCTACTGTTTTACCGTTTAGGATTGTTTATTTAATACTGATTGACACTACACTGTTTTGTGATTGTTATAGAATGTATAGAGTGTGTCGGATATTTTAACTATTGTATTACGTTGTGAATACTATGCTGTTTGGGACCGTTGCAGAATGTAGATTGTATGAACCCCCACTGGGGTGATGTGTAGTGTAGTGAACTATTGTTGTGTACATTGGAATATGTATCGCGATTAATGTAGTATGTGTCGTGTATAACGAATCTACATGTGATGTTTATGTACTTTGATATCTGATTGCATTGTGAACATGTTCTAATAATTAATTGTCAACTATGCTATTATTGACTGATTATGTAAAATCGTTTAGTGACTGCTGTGTAATAAACTCCTTGTTTATTTACTCAGGTGTTGTGTTGTGTGTGGGTTGGTATGGGCAGACCTCTTGCCAAGCGAGCTGATTCCCCAAAATTCGCTCTTTAATATTAATATTCATCCCTTTATGATCTCATTGGAACCGTTTGAACCGTTATCGTACTGAGAAACCTAATACACATGTGCATGATATATAAGAGTAGACGAGCAAATGTTTAATCCCGGGTCACAACATGATCTTAGCATAGCTTCAAATCAAACCAGAGACATAGTGTTCTACTCACGTCTCTGACAAGTGGGGCCTGACCAGCCCTGGAGACAGCCACTTGGGCACCGGAAGTCGGCATCACATCCGTCGCTTGCACAGTGACACTCACGAGCTAATCATAAAAAAATGTTATCGGATGAAACAGTTATTGGATGTGCACACATTTGAATTAACCTACAGTAACTACAGAACGTGCTGTCAGAACACACGACACATGCTCTTAATCACATTGTATTGCGCTAATGTATTGAGAAACGCCCAAATCTATGGGGAATTTGCTAAGAAGTGAATAGTCTATTGATATACTTATTGTATAATCTACTTTCATGTATTCTTGAAATGGATCAATGTTTCATAATAAATTTGGTATTTATCTATCCTGACTCAGCTACAAATGGAATAGAAGTAACAAAACTCTCTCCACGTCCATAATAGAAGCGACAAAACCCTCCCCACATCCATAACAGAAGCGACAAAACCCTCTCCATATCCATAATAGAAGCGACAAAACCCTCCCCACATCCAAAACAGAAGCCGCAAAACCCTCTCCACATCCATAATAGAAGCGACAAAACCCTCTCCACATCAATAACAGAAGCGACAAAACCCTTTCCACATCCATAACAAAAGCGACAAAACCCTCTCCACATCCATAACAGAAGCGACAAAACCCTCTCCACATCCATAACAGAAGCGGCAAAACCCTTTCCACATCCATAATAGAAGCAAAAAACTCTTTCCACATCCATAACAGAAGCGACAAAACCCTTTCCACATCCATAATAGAAGCAAAAAAACCCTCTCCACATCCATAATAGAAGCGACAAAACCCTCTCCACATCCAAAACAGAAGTGACAAAACCCTCTCCACATCCATAACAGGAGCGACAAAACCCTCTCCACATCCATAATAGAAGCGACAAAACCCTCTCCACATCCATAACAGAAGCGACAAAACCCTTTCCACATCCATAACAGAAGCGACAAAACCCTCTCCACATCCATAACAGAAGCGACAAAACCCTCTCCACATCCATAACAGAAGCGACAAAACCCTCTCCACATCCTTAACAGAAGCGACAAAACCCTCTCTACATCCATAACAGAAGCGACAAAACCCTCTCCACATCCATAATAGAAGCGTAAAACCCTTTCCACATCCATAATAGAAGCGGCAAAACCCTTTCCACATCCATAATAGAAGCAAAAAAACTCTTTCCACATCCATAATGGAAGCGACAAAACCCTTTCCACATCCATAAGAAATCTCTGCTATAAGCTGAGTTGATTGTAGAATTGACTAAATCATGATATAATATATGCTATTTGTTTCAACAGTAAAACAGTAAGGAAATGTTTACAAAAGATATTTGCTAGAACGTGTTCCTGCATCTTGTCAGTTATGAGTACAATTTATGTTCCTTAAAGAGAGTTATACAGTGAGTGCCCAGGAAAGAAATACAAACCTTTACACAATTTTCCACTCCAGTACTCCTGGCAGCCATGACTACAAGTCCCATCCACATTGTGACAGTTCTGATCTCCTCCAGCACAATGTCCACACGTCTCCATGCAGCCAGAACCATAGCGTCCATGGGGACAAGCTGTAACGATATTTGTAGCATCGTGTTTTGTGTTTTTTCCTACACCAAGACACGTCACAACAGTAGCTGCTGTAACAGTAGGAAGTGTTCGTCAGCATACTCTATATTTAAACACCAAATAAATATAGTTTTAAAATTATTTGATAAATTACGGTAATTTCAACTTTCCTTCTTTTTTCCTTCCTTTCCTTTAATTCACCAACCACCCATCTGAGTTCCGAGCCCGGGTAATATATTAAATGTTTTTAAAATATGTTGTCAGATGCCTGTTAGGGTGAAATATATTCAACATACAAGTACAACATCGAAATACATATTTCCTATTGTGAGGTCCGGCCACACATAATGATAATGATTTTCGATTGTCCTTCTCTTCAAAATACTATTTAATACTACACTTCTGATTGGATTTTGTGCTAATTATGGACAAAAGTACTTTCAATACTAATGGCATCTTTACACAAAACTGTCTCTGCCGAAAGCTGCTTAACTAACGCCGCTTAAGCGACTACTGCATCGATTATAGAGGATTTGAAACTGTCAAAATGTTATATAGCGGACGTGACTACATTATACAATTATAAACTATTGTAGAGGTCGATATCGGTTTTTATTGACCTGAGTAAAACAATATCGACCGAGATTGCGAGGTCGATATTGGTTTTCTAAGGTCAATAAAAACCGATATCGACCTCTACAAGAGTCTATAATTGTTTTATTATATAATGAAAGAGAAATGGATTTTAACATAAACTTTTAATGCACACACTGTGATATCTATCCGAGTGATCTGATTGGCTGAAAAGCGGGGGAAGCCCCTTCGTACGGGATTCCTTGTCTATTTTTAGTAACCCAAGTCAATATCGTAATTTATCAGAAAACTCAAGTCAATATCGTGTTTTTGCAGTTTTGACCAATCGTGGTACAGGAAAAATACTACCTATATAATAAACATGTTTATTAAAAAATGGTAATATAGACAAACGTAATGCAGCAGGATACAATACCAAAGACAAAGCAACTGGATTTGAAGTTATTTCAAACACTAGACAATGTCATCCACGCTATTTAAATGTAAACATGTACAAGTTGTACTTACAAAGGTTGAGTACCTCTAAAAGCGAGTATACAATAGTTACCAGCACAGAGAGTAACTGGCCAGTGTTTCTACAGAGCTCCCAAATGTGAACAGACACATCTATACACCCACCATGATGCCAGTTATAAAACAATAAGTGTTCCAGATATACCTCAACTGAGAGGATGCCAAAAAACAGTTTCCAAAAGTGTGAAATTTTGGTGAAATGAAAATGGTGCAGACACACCTAAAGACAAAATCAAGGCGAACGGGGATTCGAACCCAGTAACAGGTTTGGGGTGTGTCTTTAAATTGATTAAGAGAAAAGTAGGACGTCTATTAAAGAATTAACCCTAAATTAATGACAATGTACTTTTTAGTTTATCTCAACTGAACAACGACTAAACGAGAAAATATAAGGGAGAGTTTGTTGAAAATCTGACATATTTTATTTGTGTGAATGATTGACATACGGGCTAATCCGCGTATGTCTGCTCTTATATATTCAAACTAAACTGACACACCTAGTTTGGGCGTTTCTCTCAAAAATGAAAAAGAAAACCGAAAAAAAAACCCACCAAACCCAACGTAAATAATTCGAAAAGAGTTATAATTATACTAACAAACGGTATTTCCAACTTTGTTCAAACTGAGACCATAAAATCAGAGGGCGTACATACCCTTTTAGCATTCCATTTTCAAAATACATTTTTGACAAGACAACGGGGCGTCATAGTTGGGTACATAAGATACCGGAACAGTGTGATATGGTGTCATATATAAGAAATATTATTGGCTCTCCCCTGTATGTATTGTAATAAAATATTAGTTTCGCCCTAGAATATTTATACATGGGTCCAAGTTCTTTATCTTTTTAAAAGAGTTCATGCGACACTGTACTTTATTTCAATACACTTTTTTGAGACAGCGAATTAAAGACTGGACTTGTGTTGTATTTGGGGTTTAAAATCCAGTCAGTAATACATGTAAGTGGAGTCGTGAACAGAAATTCCTGGAACAGGTTTGGTGGGCCGATCCACTCATTTGCCTGCACCATTATGTTAAGCAAGACAAAAAATAATGTCATGGTTGCCCACTTTATCATTCCAATCAAAGTATGATTTCCCATCACCCCTTGCAGTAATAAAAAGCAGGGATTGGGAAAGGCAGGGGCCATAGGCCATTTTGCACATTAGAATGAAAAATGGCCCATTAAAATTTGAAGGTTGCTATTGATACAAGGTCCTTTCTAAATTCAGAAAATGGCTAATAATCCTGAAAATGGCCCATTGTCAAAGTTCTCTATCCCAATCCCTGAAAAAGGAAAATTTTTCTCATTAATTTGCATCCGTTCAATCGTAGCTTATCGCCAGATATTGCTGGAATATTGCTGAGTGCGGCGTTATATAACACACAACAGTAGATTATGTGAGAATTTTACTATACGTCTACATGTAGGTGTAAGCATACCTTTACCAATCTTCAGGATATGTGATCTGCACATGTCCTAACTGGACTAACAGGGCGCATTTTAACGCTATATTTAAAGACTTTGACAAAATAGTTTATGAATCTTTGAAGTTCTTATATTGTTTTCAGCAAGTTGTTGCCTGACAAAAAACCAAACAAAACATTTTGTATTGTATTTATTTTCCATGAAGAGTGAAAAAAAATATATCCTCAGTGTATGGGTCAATATCCAAACACTAGACTTCAACTACACTCTATTGCCCACGCCTGGAAGGTTCATTACCAAAACTGTAGAGACATTCACCATATACCCCAGACAGTGAGGATCTGTTAGAAAAACCCATTCGTATCGTATCCGTGTGATCTGTACTTTATTACTTGTCATAGTATCATATTGAAACAAGGATTACTCCATTCTCAATTAATGCTCCCTTATCGCGCATGCGCAGAGCGGATGTAACTGGCTAGCAGACGCCGCGCGAAACCGCGCAGGACGAACTTGTTCGACATGTTGTTGAGTTATCGTATCAGTACTAAATCTCCAATATCAAGGTCACGAGTTCCCGTATTCTATGACATGGTGTCAGAAGTAAAGTACTGAAGACATAATTAAGAAAGATGGCACGTTTTTCGTCTCCAGATTTCTCTACACCGGCCGAGTGGCCCCAATGGCGGCAACGGTTCATGAGATTTCGTTCTGCGACGAAGCTGGATAAACAGTCAGAAGTTCAGAAAAGTTCACTCATTTACGTAATGGGAAAGGAAGGGGAACACATTATGAACTCTTTTACATTTGACGAAGGTGATGAGGGGAAATTTGACAAAGTGATTCAGAAATACGATGAACATTTTGTTCCAAAACGGAATGTGGTTCACGAGAAAACCAAGTTTCACCAACTCAATCAACGATCGGGTGAAAGTGTGGAAGTGTTTATACGCTCGTTGTATGAACTTGCAGAGTACTGTGAATTTGGGAATATGCGTGATGAAAGTATTCGTGACAGGATTGTCATTGGAATTTCTGACAGACAAGTTTCAGAACGGATGCAATTAATTCCTGGATTAACATTGGATCAGACTATGCAGACAGCCAGGGAAACGGAACTAGTCAAGTCTCAAATCAAGAATCAAAACAATTTTCAGACTTAAGAAGAGGTAAGGAGTAGAAATTCCAGAAATATGAACTTTAATGCCCATAGAGGTAGAAGATTTGGCCTCCCACGAGGTTTTCATCATGGAAGTAATGGTAACCAAAGGAATCATCAATCATACGGTCTGAATAAGCCCTGTTCACTTTGTGGTCATCTTCATTCAGGAAGGTGTCGCGCTAGTGGTCAGACATGTCCTGTATGTAACAAGAAAGGACATTATGCCAAGATGTGTACAAGCAATAGAAAACAAAATGTTCACAGTGTAGAGACAGACGTTTTGTCCGATGATCAGGCAAGTGGATTCTATATTGGATCTGTCAGCTGTGAAGATGATAATGATGCATGGATGGTTACATTTTATGTTCAAGACACACCTGTTGAATTCAAGGTTGACACCGGTGCAGACACCACGGTGATTTCAGGAGAAACTTATGACAAACTTTTCAACAAACCAAAGTTACTACCACCAGATCGTGAACTTTCTGAACATTCACACCTAATAGGGTGTTCAGGATTGTTTCCTGCACAGGTGTAATATCATGGTGAATTATACAAGTTCAACGTTTATGTCACAGACGGACATAACAATCTGCTGAGTAGGAATGTTTCATACAAGATGGGTTTGGTGAAGCCGAACATTCATGAAATCAGCACAGAGATAAACAAAGTACAGTCAAGTATATTGGTCCTTTCGAACTTGTGAATTGTGAACCAGTGATGATAAAACTGAAACCTGAGGCAGTTCCCTTCAGTATTGCAACGTCACGAAGAGTACCATTTTCTTTGTTAGACAAAGTGAAAGAAGATTTGACACGTATGAAGGATGCCGGTATCATAAAAGAAATAACCGAGCCAACAGAGTGGTGTGCACCAATGGTACCTGTAATCAAGAAATCAGGAAAAGTAAGGATTTTGTGTTGACCTGAAGAAGCTAAATGAAGGTGTAGAAAGAGAACACTTCATGATGCCAACATTGGCAGATATTGCTCCAAAGCTATGTGGATCCAAGATATACACAACCCTGGATGCCTCTAGTGGTTATTATCAGATTCCTCTACATGAAGATAGCCAGAAACGTACTACATTCATGACCCCTTTTGGACGTTATTGTTTCAAGAGAATGCCATTTGGAGTGACCTCAACTCCAGAGATATTTCAGCTCAACATGACAGATCTCTTGTACGGTCTACCCGGTACAGAAGTCATAATGTATGAAGTACTCATTCACGGTTCGTGAAATGCTGAACATGAAAAAAGACTTAACGACACAATTAACGCCATACAGAAAGCGGGACTTAAGC